TTAAAAAGTATTTATATATTTTTTTAAATAAAGGTTAAACATGTAATACCTAGAACACCGTATAATTTACTATTAATTACACCACATTTTTGTCTCTTTTATTTATATTTATTTTGAAAAATTATATATATTGCCTACACTTGCTGATCAGCATGTTCCACAGGTTATGGTAATATTTTCCCTCCTCAAATTAGTCTTCATAAAATATAGCGTCAATTTAATTAATAAATAAATTAAAGAAATTATGCTTAGGGTTCTTAACTGTGATTTTTACTGGAAAAACTAGTTCTCATATATCTTACGAATGTTGTGGACAAATTTAATTAACGGAATACAAATTCAGGAATTAATTTAATGGTTAAATACATATTTAGAGAATGCAGATACAAATTTTGTCATTCAGAAATAAATCCGACAAAATTATATTTTTTGACTAATTTAATTATTTATTTTTAAATAAAAAGGCAAAGGTTTCCAGGCAACGAATTACATTCTTCTCATATCAGGATGGGATGCTGCGATATATAAAAGTGTAAATAAATTGATATCTTGTGTTGATCTTAATTTAGCTTATTGAATTTTAGGGAGAACTTGAAATTAAGAGTACATTTTCAATGTCGAAATCTGAAAGAGCAAGTAACATAAACTACGTCCTAAACCATTTTCTTAGTTTTTTAAACTCAAGCTTCCTTGTGAAAGCAAAAATTATTCTCTCTTCTCTTCCTAATCAATCCTTCAGGAGAAAATGGATCCTCTGCAGTTCACAACAGCATTTTGCATATTTATGTTTATAAATTTTTAATTACAAATTAAGCATATTTTGTGGCTAAGATCCCCTGTGCAGTTGAACTGCAGAAAATCTTGATCCATCCGTTCCTGAATTCCTGTCCATTTCCTTGGGCGCCGCACGTTTGAATCTTCTATATAATTTATCGATCCAATAATGACATTCATGGAGAAATTATTTTCACCGTCTAAGTTTCATGGAGATCGAGTCCAACTTGAGTTTGGCTAAACTATGAAAAACAATTATATCACCTAACTTGAATTGAGTTATCGTGGACCTTTAGGCATGTGAACAATTATGCATGCATTTGATTTTATGTTTACCAGGGAAAACTCGTGTAATAATATTCTAATTCACGTACTAAACAGTCAATGTTCAACCCACGTTGCTTATTCCTTTGACGGGGTATGTTCAATGCTTCTATGGCGAAGTTTTGTTTCAAAGCATAACTTTTCTCATTCAAGGTAAAGAAAGGAAGCTGTAGATCATAATGGGGGGTTTCGTTGTTTGGTAAGAAAACCAAAATTTTCCTTTTTTCTCTGATGGGGTAATTTTCAAAAGAAGTAATTATTAAAGTCATTTGAAGGAGCTAAAGTTAAAGACGAGCGTCGCAAGAAATTGAAAATTTGTGTACTAGAATGCATGGAAAGAAGAAAAAGTTGTATGTGGAAGATTAGTACATAAACCGGCCAAGTGTATTTCCTTTCTTAAGTTTGCTTTAATTACAACGTCGGTGGAATCCATCCTTTTAGTGTCTTTTCGATTAAGACTATGAGGAATCCAAATTAAACTTAAGTTAAATTGGAGTGAATTATTGATTCAACATAAGTCTAGGCTGTGGGTGAATTTCGTAACTTATCCACTCGCAACATTTTAATGCAAGTATTAATTACAAAACGGGACAAATACGTTTTCTTTTTTTTACACTTTATTTAAAACATGTTTATTTAAAGACTTTAAGCTCCTTAACTTACATATAAATTTAAGTTCATTAATTTATTTATAAGTATTTTTAAACTTATTAAAAAATTCCGAATATAAAATAATTTTTTTAAAATGTTAAGCTATGACTTAAAAAATGTTCATAATAAGCAAATAGGCAATTTCAGCATTATATTCAGAAATCAAATTAAACTCAAACATTATAAATCTAATATAACCCAATATATTTTTACCCCCCATATCTAACACCTATCGTATTTTTTTTCTTTTATTTTCAATTTTTTATTTTAATTTTTCTCCAAATAAAAAATAATTAGGATAAGTAAAATCAGATATAACATATTTTTCAGAAGATCTAGGCGTGAATTATTTATTTATGACTTAACCTACTAATTGTAAAATTTGTACTTGAAAATTTATTTAAAGACGTATATAATAACAAATTTCAGCTAAGATATTTATTAAAAATGCATAAACATGTGACAAGTAAAAATGAAAAATGCGAAGTTCTATTAAAAAAAGGTGTAAATATTATTTCAAATTCCAAAGTCATAAATGTTCATCACGAATCAAAATAAGAAACATAAATAAATGCAAAGTTGGGAAATCCATCATCCATCGTGTAAAATAAATCTGGAAATATAAGGTATAAAATGACCCAGATCTTCAATTATTTACTATGACAGCTCATCTCATCTAAGATCGTCGCATAATATCGACCCAGTCACGCCGTTGCAACCTTGTAGGTATTGTTCCTCGTGGCAGCGTATGCAACAGAGGAACAGCGGTTTAAGGATTCGGGTAGGGCAAAGTCACTGTAAGTTCATGCACTCCCCACGTAATCGGGCAAAACCAACAGGGTGGACCATTGACACTTTGATTTATTCACATTTCCTATTAACGATTTGTCATTATATATATATATATTTCATTATTCACCTCATTTTAGAAATTATTAAGATAAAAAAAAAACAGAAATATACAGTTTAGTTCAAATGAGATTGAAATTTAAGAAAAAAAATTAAATAACTCACATCCTTTAAAGAAAAAACTAAAATGTAAGTACTCGTATTTAATGCATAAGAATAAACTAGGTTCAAAATTGTATTTATTTATTTTACTAATTCTGTTATTTAGTATTTATTTATTTTATAATCCTAAGATCATTAATTTACATTTAACTTAATAAATAAAACTTAAATAAGTGATAAAAAAAAGTAATTCTTTGATTGGAATAAAATCAATAAAAAAAATTATAAACCATATAATATATAGAGAATCGGCATTTTGACCTTTGAGGAGAAGGAAGAATTAGCAAATGGGATGATGTTCTTGAACCGATCCTCATGGGTAAACAGTTAACAAAGATTTGTAGTATATATTTAAAAATACGTTAAAAAGTTTATAAATATAAATTTAATATAAAAAAATAATTAATACTGTTAAAATAAATACAAATTTTTATACATTTTAATATGAAACCAAAACACATCGGAGTTCAAACGTGGATGGTTTTCAATAGAATTTCTAACATATTTTTAAAGTATTATTCTGACCAGCCTTGGGATATATAGACTGTTTAATGATATTTCAGTCATACTTATAATTATTAATCATGTATTAGGAAAGGTAACGAATATTATACTCCAAGAAAATATTTCGTGTTCAGTCATATCTCCCGCACACTTGTCCTTCTCGACAATCCAAATCGTTCACTTGCCTGAATTTTATCACTCTTTTACTTTAATTGCATGTTTATAAATTTTAAGAAAAAAATATTTAAGTATTTCTCATACTTTATCGTATCTTTTTAGTTATATCTTTATATATATAATTCTCACATCATTTAATTCATGTGTTATATCTTCAAATAAATAGACAAAGAAAAAAGGTAGTTTATTAGCAAAAAAGAAAAAAGGTAGTTATTCATTCTTCTTTTATCTTGTTATTTAAAATAATAATTATGATAACAATTAACATAATTATTTGTATTTTTTAAATATATAAAATTTAAATTAAGATATTTTCAATTATAATTAATATATCAAAATACTCAAAGTATTTGAAATTATCAATGCTTGGAATAGTTTTTTATAACGAACTTTTTTAACTTGTGACTTTTTATAAATTTAACCAACATCTCAAAAATATAAATCGAAGAGTAGAAATATAATATAACAATATAATTTAAATTTAAACTATAAAGGAAAATGATATTTTAATAAAGGGTTAATCAAAACAATTTGGTAACTAATATTTAAAAATAAAAATTGAAAAATTAATATTTATTAAACATATATTAAAATATTCTAAAATTTTAAAAATACATAGTTGTAACAAAAAAAAAGATTTAAATACTCATTAGCATTTATCAAATTTTAAAGTAAAACTAGAAAAGAAAGAGTTAATTTTGGTCACGTGGAACGCGCCGCACAATTCGCGGCGGTGGTCTCTGTTTCTTCCTTCCATTTATAAACAAGTGAATCCATCGTTGACCATATCCCACGTTGCTCCATTGCATCCTTTTCAGTTTTAGTATATTACTATTTTACTTTGCCAAAAAGTTTACTAATTTACTACTGTTGCAATTGACACGTATCCGCATCAGCTAATGAATGTTGATAAATTTTATTAAATATAGCTAATCATTATTTTTCCCTCACCCTCAAGCTAACTTAATTAGTTAATACATGTATAATTTAAGGGGATTCAATTATTTTAAAATAAAAAATTTAACTGATAGATAAGGTAATATTAATTTTTATGCATAATTCAAAAGGGTACACTCTTGTGATCAATTTAAACCTCATATATAATGATATTTTTTTTTTCTCTATAATAACTCTTGATATATATTGGGGATCTAAGTCGTTAAAATTTGAAGTCAAAGAGGCTTAAAAAGGATCATACGTGCGCCCGCGTTAGCCTCTAAAATATTAGTCTGGACAAGTGTAGTATGAAAGCTTTAACGAAGACTTTTGGCATTGTTTTTCTTTTTTATAACTAAATATAATGAAAACGGTGAAGTTGAATTGAGAAAAAAGAATTTAGAAGTGAAATTAGAGGGGATGGGATGCATGTATTACGTGTTTGAGCGGTGTGGGGCATTGGAAAATTTCCTGCATCCTGACGCACTATCTGACGCAACTAAAAATAAAAATTGGCTATGAAATGAAAATAATGAGAAAATGGAAAATCCATTTGGTCTACGTTCTCCCAAGTCTTCAACTCTAAACCCGTTTTATAGCCGACCATATTGCACCGGTAAAACACTTCACAGACTCTTTCTCTGACTCTGTCACTCTCTTCTTCTTTCTTTTCCACGTTTCCATCCCTTCTTTTTTAATTCTATATTTTTCAGCTCTCATCAATTCCTCTCTTAATTTATGGACAAAGGATGGGGTCTTGCTCTTGATTCCTCTTCCTCCTTCCCATTCTTCTCTTCACCCTCTGCTGCGCCTACGCCTAACCACAACATGTTCAACACTTTCGGATTTCCAGCCAACCTTAGCCGCACCGCCACTTCTCCCTCACCGCCCTCCCATGAAAATCGGACGGTCGTCGGTGAAGTCGACTTCTTCTCCGATAGAAACGACTCATCGCCTCAACATGAACACATCAACATCAAGAAGGAGGTTTCTCCTCACCATGGAACCCCTCCCGAGTTTGATCTTCATGTAAATGTAAGTTCCCCATCATTTTGTTAGATCCTGCTTTATTCTTAATTATTAGTTTTCAGCTTGGCCAAGTATACAAACTAAAAAAATTACTTGTTTTATTAAATTTATTAATTATTAATCGATCACTTTTAGATTACTTAAATAATATAAATATTTCATAAAATTATTAATAAAAGAATAATAATAATTATTTTCTTAATTTTTCCATAAACAAACAGTCAAAACAAATTTTTCCTTCTATTTCTAAACATATAAATAAAAATAGAAAATGGAATTTTTTTCGTTTTCTCTAATATTTTTTTGGTACCAATTTTTAGACTGGTTTGCAACTCCTTACTGCAAACGCTGGGAGCGATCAATCAACGGTGGATGACGGGGCTTCATCGGATGCTGAAAATAAACGTGCCAAGGTCACCGAGGTACATAAAATTTTTTATAGATATTATTAATATTACTTTTATGGAAATTTAAGTCGTTATCATCATATATTTACTAAAATTAAAAGAATTATAAATATTTTAATTATTAATATAATAATTGGTTTTTTAATCTATTTATAGGAATTTCATTAACTTATAGTGTTTACAGAAATTTTTGTCATTCCGACTGTGCACTTATCGAAATTTATTAAGTATTATATTCGGTACAAATTAATTGAGATGAAATATTATTGTTTTCAGCTGGCACAATTGCAAGAGGAACTTCGACGCATAAATGCTGAGAACCAAAAGCTAAAAGAGATGCTCAGTCAGGTGAATAGTAATTACGATAACTTGCAAATGCGTTTTGCCATGTTAATGCAAGAGCAACAAAATCAACGTACTAAGAACATGGAGCATGAGGTAATGATTAGTTACACATTGTTGATATCTTTAATTGTCAAATTTCAATTATTTCTATGGCAATATTGTCAACTTAATTATTTTTATAACTAATTTACATCAAATTGGAAATAAAAACAAAAAACAAAACATTTGACCGGATTTTTAACCTTTTTTTTGTTTTTTTTTGTTTCAGGTTGTTCAAGGAAAAGTTGAGGAGACAAACCATGGGATTAGCAGAGGAATGTCTAGACAGTTCCTTGAGATAGGACCTAGTAGTGGTATAGGTGAAATAGACGATCAAGTATCTAATTCTTCTTCAGATGAAAGAACTCGATCAAGCACTCCTCAGGACAATAAAAATGAGAAGAATAAGAAAGAGATTGATCCAGACACGGAATCTCAAGGTTGGGACTCCAATAAGCATCACAAATTAAACCCTTCCAACGCTATCGATCAATCCACTCCGGAGGCCACTATGAGAAAAGCTCGTGTCTCAGTCCGTGCCCGATCAGAGGCATCCATGGTGAGAATTAATATAATCACTCTAAATTAATTTATACACGTTAACCAAAGCAAGTGATGAACAGTACAACTTTGTAACTGAATTATCTTATTGATTGTAGATCAGTGATGGGTGTCAATGGCGAAAATATGGACAAAAAATGGCTAAGGGAAACCCTTGTCCTCGAGCATATTACAGGTGCACTATGGCAGTTGGTTGCCCAGTTCGCAAACAGGTGAGTTGATTTTTGGATTGATTAATATATAATATTTAGTACAGAATATTGTCATCATAGAAACTTACGTGTACCTTGGTTTATTAATAATATATTACAGGTTCAACGTTGTGCGGAAGACAGAACAATTTTGATAACAACTTACGAAGGGACTCATAACCATCCACTACCTCCTGCTGCTATGGCCATGGCATCAACCACTGCAGCAGCTGCTAGCATGTTGCTATGTGGGTCAATGTCCAGTGCGGATGGAATAACGAATCCTAATTTGTTGGCAAGAGCTATTCTTCCTTGCTCTTCTAGCATGGCAACGCTTTCAGCTTCAGCACCATTCCCTACAGTGACACTGGACCTCACACACAACCCTAACACATTGCAGTACCAAAAACCCCAGGTCCCATTCCAGCTACCATTCCCATCGCAGCCTCAAAACACAGGGTCGGGACCCACACTAGCACTATTACCGCAGGTGATTGCACAGACACTCTATAGCCAATCCAAATTCTCTGGTCTTCAATTGTCTCAGGACGTGGGGTCTAATTCTCAAACTCCAAGACCGTCGTCGCTCGCTGAAACGGTTAGTGCCACCAATGCAGCCATCACACCCGATCCCAACTTTACTGCTGCACTTGCTTTTGCCATCTCCTCCATCGTTGGCGCCGCTCATCCAAATAACAATAACAATAACAATAGTCCCAATGTGATCAACAGTGCTACAATCAACAACTTTTTAGGAAACTAAAGTTCTTTGTTTTTGGTCATATATTGTTTTTTTTTCCCTTTCAACGTGGGAAAGGGAGAATGAATTTGTGAATGTTGATATTGCTATTGTCCATGTCAATATGTCATGGTAGGGTCTAGAATACAATTTCTTCGTTATTTCTTTGTTATTTCGTCGATCTTCATTAATTAGGATTCAAAATTTTTCAAAGTAAACAGACAAGAAAAAGAATTTTAAGAGACTTTCGTACACTTTTTTTTAGTTTATTTTGACATTTTGTATATAGTATATTAAAATAATTTTTTTAATTTACGTTAAAAAAATGTTGATATATTGAACCAATCATGTGACATTATTTAAGCTATGACAGGAGCCAAATATGTCAGTTGTGCCGTTTATGTGGTCGCACCGTACCTCATCCATGGTACAAACGGGTCTTCCTCAGCTCTTCTTTGACTTCATCGATCCAAATAAAAGATAGTCACTTGTTTTAGATCCGTGTGAATGTGTTGTGAATCCTTCCTCCAAGGTAATTAAATACCCAGACCAACTTATTTGAATATTCATGTGCTTGCATGTGATGGGGAAGACTAAATTAGCTTCTTCCAGAATGGGAAACCTTTTATAGGTATATCAAGTAAATGGACAAAAGGAAAAATATATATAGTTAATGATGTGATATAGTTAATAAAATTTAATATAATAAAATATGAGTATAAAGATATACAAGTTCTTTAAAATACCAGACCAATCTAGATGGCAGGTAGTTATTACCTGTGAAAGTTGATCACCCTCCTAGAACTGCACACTCTAGCATTCAATATTAGAATTGAGTTTTATATTTACTCTATAAACAAGAAAGGTATGGTGCATTCATTGACCTGGTTGCTACATAAATATTAGGAACCAGATTACCGTTGTCTAATATAATATGACAATATTCATATTTATGTATTTAGAATTTGAACATAAAGATCTGTAGTGTAAGATATTACAAGCATTTGATTATTCATGACAAATATTTAATACCATAAATTGATTACTATGTGGTATTTTTTAATATTTTATGGTACAATTAGGGTTTGAAGTTTGTAACTCCCGTAAGAAAAAAAAAATAGTCTAGCGTTTGTATTTCAAGCCAATTTTAAATTCTGACTTATGCTATCTTTTTTTTTTCTCCGACGTAATAGTTTGTATGTTACGACATTGCCCAGAGAATTAGCCTATATATTATGGCGGAAGTTTTATGAAAATGTCAGTTTTAATAATTTCCTGCATATTAAAGAGGATGTTGTTTGTTCTTAATTTGGATATGATTCAATACTTGAATATGATTGGAGAGTTTATTCTTATAAATTTTTCAATTCGATTCGAATTGTGCATCTAAATATAGTGGGTGAGAAATTTTTTTATATACACAAAAATTTAAATTTAAAATCTTACTTATGCAATATCAAGTTATTTATCTATCAAAATAACTTAGGTGGGTTGTTTGTCAGTTTAAATTGTTGAGATTGAGAATTATACGATTTCATATTAAAATTTTACATAATTATACCATATGAAATTTTATGTATATCCACTCTTTTTAAATATTTATGAATTGGGGCCTTATAAATAGATACAACATTTTTATATAAAAAAAAATGGTTACGTGAAAATTCACCGTGAAAGATCACAGTCCTGACTTTTCTAATTACTTTATAATAAAAGACAGAATGTAGATAATTTCCTTTATATTAAATTTTCCGCTAATTATAAAGATTCTCATGTTTACTTTTGTAATCATTGTTTCATTAAAGTTCTTGATGGTAAACATATTAGTGTATGTCTTTGAATAAAATTATCATACTTTAGAAAGCACGTATTTAAAAAGTTAAAAGAATATAAATGTTGCAAGATGGAATTTCAAGTGTGAAAAAAAAATATTAATCCCTTTGAACTTAGCTTGAAACATACTTAAAATCTTAAACTTGAAAGGAATGATATTTTTTGTTCTCATTTGAAAAAATTAAATCGACAAAAATGATTTGAACATTTTAAAAATATAATAATATGTGATATGACTTGAAAGGTATAAAAATATCTGAAATTACATTACATATTTGGTTATTTAAAAGTAAAAAAATGAGTGAGAAGTGAGAGTGAGGTGAATGTGGCGTGCTAAGGAAGCGACGCGACGTGGTCATGGGTTTATAGTTTTTAGGCATTCTGTTGCAAACCCGAGTGGGCACGTATCCTCTTCATGCATTATTTATTTATTATCCACCGTTCATGAATCTCACGTTGGATCCTCCTTCGTCAATACGTGGCCTTTTCTGGCTCTATCCTTTTAGATCTACGGCCAAGATCACGTAGAAATGGACGCTAGGGATTGAAAGATTCCACCGACCCGCTTTACCTTTTTTTCTTGAATTGGGCTTGCGTTCTTATTAGGCGAAAAGAAAGGAATAAAAATCGGTAGGGCCAGAAGAAGGGAAAGGAAGGAAGGTGTGACAGTGTTGTAGTGTGTTCCTTGCAAGTTATAATTCTCTCATCTCTCAACTGCATTCTTCTAATCTCTTCTCAATTTATTGGTAATTTCATTCTCATGATCTCCATTGTTATTCTTCTTCTCTTCTGTTTAAATTAATTCTTTTATCGCATTTCACTACACTCTCGTTTCTGAGGTTTTGTGCTTTTATTTCTCCTCATCTTCAACACCCGTGAGTTTCTCTATTTTTTCACTCAATACATTTTATTCACTGCGTTCTCTTTTTGTTTAATGCGGTTATTTTTTATTTTTTTTTGTTATTCATGCGCGGAATGTTTCTGCAAATTATAATTTATTATTCCTATATAATAATAGCTTTTGATATCCTGTTTATCTCAGTACAAATTGAAATCGTTTTCTGCTATGTCCTGATTTTTAAATTGCACGCATTTGTAGATTTTATTTTATTCGTATCAGTGTGAATCGTCACGCCTCCTTGATAGTAATACTAACCATTTTCACTTGTTAACACACGTTTTCTCTAATATTTAACATTTTTGTTTGGTGAACAGTGGGACATGGGGAGCAACGCGAACGCGGTCGTGTGGTGTTTGTTAGTGTCAACCCTCTTGGTTGCTGCGGTGTTCTGTGAACCCGATGATGGGCTGCGTAGGATTGGGCTAAAAAAGATTAAATTGGACCCTAACAACAGGCTTGCTGCTCGAATTGGGTCCAAGGATGGTTACTCTTTTCGGGCTTCCATTAGAAAGTTTCATCTCCAAAACAACTTTGGTGGCACTGAGGAAACTGATATTGTTGCGTTAAAGAATTACTTGGATGCTCAGTACTACGGTGAAATAGCCATTGGAAACTCTCCTCAGAAGTTCACTGTCATTTTCGACACGGGCAGCTCCAATTTGTGGGTGCCATCGTCTAAGTGTACCTTCTCGGTGAGCCTTTTGCTTTATACACTAATCTGTTATTTGTGACTTATGAATGTGTCCGATCGAGTTCCTTCATTTATCGTGTTTATTCATGTCATTTTGCATTTTGGTGCAGGTTGCGTGTTACTTTCATGCCAAGTACAAGTCTAGCAAATCAAATACTTATAGGAAAAATGGTCTGTCCTCATCATTTCTAATAAGGCTTTAAAGTTAATTTCCTTTTTAAGTCCGTGATGCAGTTTGCGGAAGTTCCCGCCGCGTTTTGTAAATTAAAAAACTATAGTTTTGAGATTTATGTAGCTGCTTAATATTCTTTTATTTGTTAGAGTAGTTTGAAGTCGTCTGTTTTTTGTCTCTATATTATATCAATAGCAAAAAATTTGTATTCCTTTCCCAATGAGTGAAACGGGGGATGGGTTATGAACATATAGTGTACCTCTACCATATGAAGGAGCTAAAGTTTGAAATTTTGGACCTGTAGAAGGAATGCTGAGTATTATGTCTTTCTGTAAAACATAATATTTTTATTGCTGTTATTTAGGGACTGCTGCTGCAATTCAATATGGTACTGGAGCAATTTCTGGTTTCTTTAGTTATGACAATGTCAGAGTCGGTGACATAGTTGTAAAGAACCAGGTAGGAAATGTTGAATTTCTGATTATCAGCTTTTGTTTCAACAGAGGAGGGTGTGAGTTTTGCTTGTTTCATAGTATGTTGATTAATAATTGATACCACAATCAGGAATTTATTGAAGCAACTAGGGAGCCTGGTGTTACATTTTTGGTGGCCAAGTTTGATGGTATACTGGGACTTGGATTTCAAGAGATATCAGTTGGAAATGCTGTTCCAGTGTGGTATCAATTAACATTTTAATCTTGATTCTTCATTTTGTTAGTACCGTATTGAAACAGCCTCTTGCAAATGCAAGGCTGTCTACTCCAGACCCCACTATCTCTTCCCTAGACCCTGTGCGTAGCGGGAGCTTTATTGCACCTGGCTGCTCTTTCTTATTTTATTAAAAATTTGTTGAATCCCGTCTGATTATCCGATCTTAACCTGTCATAGGTATAATATGGTTGAACAAGGTCTCGTTAAGGAGCCAGTATTTTCATTTTGGCTCAACCGCAAACCAGAGGAAGAGGAAGGGGGTGAGATTGTTTTTGGTGGTGTTGATCCTGCTCACTATAAGGGAAAGCACACTTATGCGCCTGTAACAAGAAAAGGATATTGGCAGGTTATACCTTTTTTAATAATTAATAACTTTTTCTTTGCTCACCTTTTTCTCTTTGTTAAATATCTATTTTATTTTCAGTTTGATATGGGAGACGTACTTATTGGCGGTAAACCCACTGGTATGTGTAGAAAATGTATTAGCAGAAATGCCATTTCGTTGTTCCTATGATATATGATAGAATATGGATAAATAGGTCATGGTTTTAACTTCATTGGACTTGCCTCATCTAATTGTCTATCAGGATATTGTGCTGATGGCTGTTCGGCCATTGCAGACTCAGGGACTTCTTTATTGGCAGGTCCAACGGTATGAATAAATACTTGAATATTTAGATGGTTTTCAGTTTAACATGGCTATATTATATGCAGCATTCTTTCCATGGGACATTGTCTCGTCAGTTCATGATCAATTTCAACATCAATCATTGACAATTCTCATTGCATTGTTTATATTGCCAAATGATAAAAGGTCCAACAAATGAATCTAACTTGCTTGTTTTGTTTCTATGGTCACATATTTGGTTTTGTTCTTATAGACTGTAGTTACTATGATAAACCATGCAATTGGAGCATCTGGAGTTATAAGCAAAGAATGCAAGACCATTGTTGCAGAGTATGGACAAACAATATTGGATTTGCTTTTGGCTGAAGTGAGTACCATTTATGATTTTATTCTTGGCATTTTTTTTTTGTTGATTATATTCTTACCTGTGGTCGCGAGTGGTATGTTTGAAAGATTTTACCATTTTTTAAAATAATTTTTCTTATGGTTTTTGCTTTACACCTTTAGACACAGCCAAAGAAGATCTGTTCCCAAATTGGATTGTGCACTTTTGATGGGACTCGTGGTGTTGAGTAAGCCCTGACAATAGCTTTACTCGTTGAATCATTGGTCATTTATTTAAATTTAAATACTTCAATATACTTACTGAAATGTGATTTCCATTTTATTATATGTTCACCCCCTCCCTCCGTTTAGTGCTGGTATCGAGAGTGTTGTGGATGAGAATGAAAGAAAATCATCTGGTGGTCTTCACGATGCTGCTTGTTCTGCATGTGAGATGGCAGTTGTTTGGATGCAGAACCAGCTGAGTCAAAATCAGACCCAAGATCGTATACTAAGCTACGTCAATCAAGTGAGTTGGTTCTCGTCATTTTGCTGTTCTAGATCCTTTTGTTTCTTTTGATTCTTAGCTTCATGATGATGATGCAGCTCTGTGAAAAAATGCCTAGCCCAATGGGAGAATCATCAGTTGACTGTGGGGATATCTCTTCATTGCCTGGCGTGTCCTTTACCATTGGTGGAAGAACTTTTGACCTTGCCCCACAGGAGGTATGATTTCCTCGAAGACTTGAATCTGATTGGTGGTTGCTTTTGCAATGGTTGATCGCAAACTATATTCAATTTAATGGAAAAAAAAGATAAATTCATGAAGATAAATAGGTGTTATAGTAGTGGAGGACAAGACAAATATCCAATAGAAAAGTATCAAGAACTGAATAGAAGTTAAAGCTAGTTAAATGCGCTAAAAAATGGTTTACACCTTGGCTAAAACCCATCCTGTAGGTGCCTTAGAGTAATGTTAGCCTCACATAATGGTTAACTAGTTATATGGTTTAATCAGATTGATATTTGGTTGAATGTGGTAAAGAATCTTGTATTATATGCAACTGGTTGAAGAGGCTAAACACTATAGAAAATGGACCAATGTTAGAATTTCTCTACTCATAATTTTATATGATAGCAAATGGGGAGTAGCAGCTTTTATGCATGGATGTCCGTTGTTGTCCTCATTCACTTCTCTATTTGGTTTATTCAGTACGTACTCAAGGTTGGTGAAGGTCCTGCGGCTCAGTGCATTAGTGGCTTTATTGCTATAGATATTCCACCTCCACGTGGCCCCCTCTGGTACTTTAAATTTCATCAACTAACGCCATGACATTTGCCTCACTTTAATTTCATTCCCCTCGGCTTTTGATTGTGGTTAATCTGATTATGTTTTCCCTCAATCTTATCTACATTTACGTAGGATCCTTGGAGATATCTTCATGGGGCGTTATCACACAGTATTTGATTTTGGTAAACTTAGAGTGGGATTTGCTGATGCAGCATAGTGTTCGCGTATACTTACTATTGGTTTGTATGCCCATGCAATCAAAATGGACCTAAAGTTCCTGGATTGTACATGTTTATATTAATGTTATGTTAATACTTTGGCTATCCCTACCCATGGACGGACAAAATGGCTTCATAGATGTATGTGTCGCTGTGGCCATAATTGTGTCCGTAGACTCTTAAGCATGCTTAATGAAAGGTTGTAGATGAGACTTTCTAATCCATGTTATTTCTCCCTTTTCATCTTGTTTTGCTAGATACTAGTTGCATGTGTGGCGTTATTTTGTGATGCTTCCAATTCGAAGATGAAAGGTTTTTTCAGCGGTTTTTGTTAATATTTGTCTTTTTTTAACAATAGTATTTAAGTATTAATTTTAATATTTAAAAGGAGTAAATTTTTATTAAAAAGTTATATATTTTTACTTTTAATAAAAAAATATATCACTTTTATGTGTAAAATTAGTCTTAAATGGAGTCAACATTTTCTATAAAAGAAAATAAAACGAAAAATAATGTTATACAGATAAAATGGGAAACGGAGGAATCAGAGGTTTCAAATTACAAGTATAGTGAGATTAGAAGTAACCCTGGCGTTGATAGGTGGTTTTCGTCAGTGTGGGAAAAACAACAGGGAAAATGGGAAGTGAAGTCCTTCAGAAGATATGATGGATGGCTGCTTAGTTAATATTAACCAAAAGGGAGGGGGACAAATGAAGAAAATTGCGGAGAGTTAAACCGGTGTAGCATTAGTTGGGTGGCCTGTCTAGTTACATTCTGGTACCATAATTTGCTATTCAAACATGCAGTGGGAGGGTATCCAAAGTTTGGAACCAAAAAGATGAATTGGGTTTAATTATGAAATGGACATGTTAACCCAAGAAGATAGAAGTCAATTACAGGTTAAATGATTAGGTCATGAACTCGATTTTTAATTTTATTTCATTACTGTAATAGCAAATTAAAAGTTATATGTATACTATATACATATTAATCATACTATTGATATATTTTAATTTTATTATATTTCTTAGATTAACACAGTATATATTAATATTTTGACTTTTAGTAAATTTATAATTTAATAATATCCATTATAAATATCTTTGACCTTTAAATATTTCTATTATTTTTTTAACATGAAGGGTCTGATTTAATATAATGATTTAATCTAAATAAATAAGGATTTAACATTATAAAAATTAATTAAAAATAAAAAGTCTAACAAGTTGGTCCAACTCATTATTGGCCTAATCTTTGTCATTCAGTCAAATTTTAGATTAAATAAAGTTGTACCCGTTAAATTTAGTAATCAAGATATTTCGCCCAAAGGCAAAACAACACTATATTTTTAACTCTTGAAAATGTCTTTTTAGAATTAGTTATTATTTAAATTTTACTGGATTTTATACTAGGCATTTTTAATCTCGTGAGAGATTAAAGGGACTATCTTTAATTTGATAATATTTTTTTTATCTTTATTAAAATCAAGTAATAAAAGCAAATAAATTTTGAAACTAGAAAACAATGTAGTTTTAATGCTAAAAAAGAATAATGATTTGATTAGAAAAATACAACCTCTTAAGAAAATTTCTGTTTACTAAGCGTCCTCTCGGGGCATGAAAGGATCAGAGTTGCACTATGCATGTTTATTTGGATGGCAACTAATTATTAAGTGGAATACACGATCAAAAACACCCAAAGTTAGGTAAAGCAGAAAGGATCTTATCATTTTTCAGCCATTGCAAGTTACAAGGGATAAACAAAGACCATAGGGTGAACATCATCGCTTTTTCTTTTGCTCTCACGCTTAGACAGGATCACCCTGAAATCCCTCATCTTATTCACAATTCTTCTCCACTAATTGTTGGGTTTCGTCAAATTACACTTTTTCAATTTTTCCTCGCAAATTGGCAGTAGTTGCTGTCCATCTTATTATATTCAACAACAACCTGTCAGTCTTATTATATACATTCCGTATAAATTGTCCACTTGAGGAAACTACGTCAGAACCCATTAAACTGTTTTAAAAACACTGAATTGAATAGAGATTCTTACTATACGTCGATAAACTTATCATGCTAATTGAATATTAATGCCGTAATTAGTCCTATTTTAGCCCTGTATGTGCACGGTGGGAGGCAAACAAATACATTGCTTCCAGATTTATTGGTTTATAATTACTTCCAGACCCGAGGATTATCGAATAAATAATTCTTTTATGCAATTGAAATATAGGTCATTAAATCGGTGTTCTGTATATATTTAGTTAATGTTATTTAAAAAATAAATTATAAATATTATTTGTATTCTATATGAATAATCTTTAATAAAGTAAAATAATTGTCAAACTGTGCATGACACTAAAAGAAATTAAACTATTATTTAAAATGAAAAATAGGCTTTTTTACACAAATAAAATAAATAAAAATTATTATTTTCTAAATATCCTGAAAAGAAAAAAATTACATAAATGTCCTAAAAATACATATAACAGAAGTTGATTTAAATCGACTTTCGTTTTAAAAAAATTTATACAGAAGTCAATTTAAATCGACTTCTATTATAAGTATAATTTTTTTTTTACATAGAAGTCGATTTAGGTCGACTTTCATTCTGCTTGTAAATTTTTTTCTAAACCCTAAACCCTAAATCGACTTCCATTTTACTTTTAAAATTTTTTATATAAAAGTCAATTTAAATCGACTTTCGTTTTTGTTTTAAAAATTTTTACACATAAGTCAATTTAAATTGACTTCTATTATAGGTTTAATTATTTTTATATAGAAGTTGATTTAAATCGACTTTCATTCTGCTTGTAAATTTTTTTTCCATATAAGTCGATTTAAATTGACTTCATTTTATTTTTAAATTTTTTATATAAAAATTAATTTAATTCAACTTTCATTTTGATTTCAAATTTTATTTAAACATGATTCAATTTAAATTAACTTTCACTCACATATGAATATGTTTTAGAAAGAAGTCAATTATAATTAAATTTATATTGTATAATTAAAATTGATTAGAAAGAAGTCTATTATAAATAAATAAAAATTTGTCATTTGATGATAAGAAAATTTTGAAATTAAGTGTAAAAATTAGACTAAGATGATAACATTCATTAGCGATTGCTTTGCACCTTTATTCTTAAACCTTACAATAACTTTTGATACAATGACACAATGTGCTGCACACAATATGCATGATATGCTGAAAGGATGTCACTCATTCCTTGTAACTTTTAGAGTTAATTTGATTGCATGATAACTATATGGGACGTTCAATAAACAATTCCTTAGCTCAAGTCCTTAGAGATACCTAGCTGGGAGCGGAGAAGGTTGAGGTGGAAACAAAGTTTCTTTGGAAGTGTTAATGCAAGAAAAAGATAAGCCAAAAACGTGAAATAGAGGGATCGCATCTGACGGATGAGCTGCTGCTCCCTCCCTCGGTTAACTACCATTACCCGGTTAACTACCACTACGCAGTCTTCCCTTTTAATTGATAGCTTCCGCTGGAGTACTTGCCTTCATGATGAATCCCTTGAACTTTTACTATCTTTTTCCTTATTCTTGCTAGCCGTCGATTGTATAGTTTCCTGTCTTGCTCTTGTCAAGCTCCAACCTGATCCCTATCATGCAATCAAATTAGTTTTATAAGCTATAAGGAATGAGTAACATCCCTTCATTATATCATGCATATTATGTGGAGCACAGAAGCTTGTGATTTAGTTTTTGACGCAGCAAGTAAGGGAAAACAATTCTTAATTGTTGGTACAAAAAAAAAAGCAGTTGATTCAATAGTGCGGGCGGCAATAAGAGCTCGGTGTCATTATGTTAATAAATAATGGCTCGGCGGTATGTTAACGAATTAGTATACTACAGAAACGAGACTTCATAAGTTCATGGACTTGAGAATGCAACAAAAGACGGGGAGGTGTCATTGTATTAAAATTTGTTGTAAGATTTAAGAATAAAGGTGCAAAGCGATTGCTAATGAATGTTATCATCTCACTCTAATTTTCACACTTAATTTTAAAATTTTCTCATCTTTAAATGACAAATTTTATTTATTTATAATAGATTTCTTTTTAATCAACTTTAATTATGTATTACAAAGTTAATTATAATTGACTTCTTTCTAAAACATATTCATGTGTAAGTGAAAGTTAATTTAAATTGATTTATGTGTAAACAAAATTTGAAACCAAAATGAAAGTTGAATTAAATTAATTTTTATATAAAAAATTTAAAAATAAAATAGAAGTCAATTTAAATCGACTTTTGTGTAAAAAAATTTCAAAAGCAAAATAGAAGTCAATTTAAATCGACTTCTATGTAAAAATAATTAAACCTATAATAGAAGTCAATTTAAATCGACTTCTGTGTAAAAATAATTTCAAAAGCAAAATGGAAGTCGATTTAAATCGACTTTTATGTAAAAAAAATTATACCTATAATAGAAGCTGTGTAAAAAATTTTAAAATGAAAGTCGATTTAAATCGACTTCTGTTATATGTACTTTTAGAATATTTACATAATTTTTTTCTTTTCAAGATATTTAAGGAATAATAATTTTTTTTTATTTTATTTATGTAAAAAAGCCTGAAAAATATGTTATAGTACAAAAGTAAGAAGCTAATACTAATTAAAATGAAGTGACATAAGCGGGAGATAGGGGTTACAGGGTTAGTGTGTTTTTGTGCTAATATACAGATGACAGAGTAAAACGTTAAGCATAATAAATAATTTTTGCAGTTTGGTTAGATTATAATATCTCTCAATTTACCTACCTTAGCCATTGAAGAGCTAATTTAAAATTTAACTCCAAAATATCTTTCCCCATGCCGATATATTATCTTGGATATATTCTCACAGTAAGAAGGAAGGATCAGAATGCATTATCATAACTCTTACTTTTAAAGAAAATTCCTGTCAAATTATTGCCAACATGATATCTTTGTGGATTTAATATAATATAACCACGTTAAAGAAAAAAATATATGATTTTTATTAAATTTAATTAGTAAATCCTACAACTAATTTTTTATTTATTTATAAACATTGTGTTTTTCTTATATAACATAAATATACCACATTATTAACCAACACGTACGATAAGATTTATATTTTATCTTTTCTCATGTTCCGTAAGGAGGCATTCTAAGGATATAAGATTATTCTAAAATAATGAACAAGGTATATTAGTTTATGTACTAATAATTTAATTTAAAGTAGATGGTTAACCCACAGGGTGAATTACCTCCCTTTAGAAACTAAAATGGATGTGTCATGTGTGTGCTTAAAGCCACTCTACGTTGGAATCCTCTATTTTGCACTATATAAATGGCGGGACATAGAGCACAAAATGAGAGAGACACCATATATTCCAAATCACCGATAGTTATACGATGGGTGACGCTGAGGTCAAGCCATCAGTTGAGGTTGTCGTGTGTGCTAATTCGATGAACAATACTAATGAAGACAACAATGCGCACCCAGTTCCCGACATCACCAAGCCATCACATTCGAAGTTACCAATCTTAACCAAGCTCCATGCTGGTTACTTTTTCATATGCCTTTCCTTGGGTGCACAAGCTTTGCTATGGAAGAGTTTGAGCAAACATAACAAGGACTCACAAACTCTCTGGCATGGATTTAATTTGATGCCTTCCATTGCATTTCTACTTCTTTGGTGTCTGGCAGTGCTTACTGCAGCTACTCTATCTTTACTTTACATGCTAAAGTGCATCTTTCACTTTGACATGGTGAAGGAGGAGTTTTCACATCATATTGGAGTGAACTGCATGTACGCTCCTTGGATTTCTTGGCTTCTCATGCTTCAATCAGCACCAGTGATTTTTCATAGAACTTCTTACTATCAAGTTCTTTGCTTGGCCTTTTCATTTGCAATTTTGGTACTTGACATAAAGCTATATGGACAATGGTTCACAACTAAAAAGCGGTTTCTGTCAATTGTAGCAAACCCTTTAAGCCAGGTTTCAGTTATAGGGAACTTTGTGGCTGCTCAAGTTATTGCAGAAAGTGGTTGGAAAGAGGGTGCAGTTTCAATGTTCTCTCTGGGATTAGTATATTATTTAGTTATATTTGTAACGCTATATCAGCGTGTGACAAGTGGGAACCAGTTTCCCAAAGTGCTAAGGCCAGCTTACTTCCTGTTTTTTGCTGCACCAAGCATGGCAAGTCTAGCTTGGAAATCCATTTCAGGTGCTTTTGTCACCCCATCAAAGATGTTCCTCTTTCTGTCTCTATTCCTTTTTATGTCTCAGGTAGATTCATGTCTGATTCAAATTCCACACTTTTGAGTTTAACTTAATCCTTTTCTTTGTAATGGGTCAACCTTTCTTCTTGAATACAGGCTTGCAGGCCAGCACTGTTCAAGAATTCAATGAAGAAGTTAAACGCTACATGGTGGGTGTACTCATTCCCTTTAACCTTTCTTGGTCTAGCTTGTGCTGAATATGCTCAAGAAGTGAAAGCTAGCATGGCCTCTTGGTTAATGCTGGTTATATGTATGGTCTCTGTGCTGGTTTTTATTGGTTTGATGCTCATCACTGTACTCAAAATTGAGAGGCTGCTACATAAAAATGCTCCCATTATGAGTTGAAAATAAAACACCCTTGACCCCAAATTATATCATGTGGAGCTATAGATCAGTAGAGTTTATATAAAATTTTAATTATTATAAAATAACTTATAGGTAAAGTAATGAGGAGGTGGGTGTCCTGCCTCACTACAAGCATCTTAAAAGTTCAATGCATGCGCTTCAGTACTAAACGCAAACTTCAATCGCATAAAAAGCAAATGAGCAGATTAGTAGTAGTCTACAATAATAAATCTGCTTAGTAACATAATTTAATTGAACGTTTGTTTATTAAAATTTGATCATGAAACTTCTTATAATAAAATGAAGAGAGTTTATAAAAGTTAAAAGTTATTTTCTAAACTCTCGTCTCTTCTTCCATTTAGACAAATGATGACAAAAGAATTATGGCAGATTATTTTAAGAATTTTTTTTTTTTTTTTTCAAAATCTCTATCAAGAAATTAACAATAAAAGTGATTATTTGTTAAAAATAAACTTGCGTTAAATAAAATTTATTTATATTGCAATTCCTGTTCAAGGAGCCTGTTTGTGCAGTAATTTTGTTTTTCTTTAGTTTTTTTAAAACTGTTTCCCAAATAATGTTACCAACCAAAATATTTTCCTCCTTTTCTTCTGAAAAATAGTTCTAAAAAAATGTGATATTTTGTCCGTGTGGCTCCAATGCCCGGTGAAAGAAGTTAATGAAAATCTAGTGCTAGTTTTCAAGTCATATAGCAGCAAAAGAAGCTGAATCATGCTGCAGGGCAACGGATGTTAGATTGAAGAGTGAGAATGTTGGACCCAGTGGCAGAAGAATATTAATCTTCTCATTTTATTGATTAACATGATATTATTATGCTGAAGAGAGAAGAAAACATAATTTTATTAAATTTAATAAATAAATTTTACAATTAATCATGATGAATTCTTAATTGATAGAAAATGTGCCTTTTTATTTTCAACGTGACCATATTAATTAATGACAAAAGAAACCAAATTCTTGACAGAAAGAGGTCATTCCATTCCCACTGCATGTGGTTTGATTGAAATGAAGAGACAGAGCAGAGGAAGTTGAGACCCATTCCATTCCCACTATACTTTAACGTCATTTGAAAACATATACTTCACACTTTTCTTCAACTTATCACTCAAACTCAAACTTTCGTTGAAAGCTCTCAACTTTTATTTCACTACTGTTAACATTTTTTACTTCTTCATTAATCTCTTTTGAATTTTGTTAACCCGAGCTTCGCAGGAAACGGCCTAAGAAATTGCCTGCACAATGTGCAGCTATAATGCTGCTCTCATTTTTATTTTTCTTTTGTCATTTCATACATATGTTTTTTCAATAGTAAACATACGCCTACATGAATTTTTACTGTAATTCTTATAATATAAGAACAAAAATATAAAACAAGATTAGTAATATGACAAAAACAAATTCAAAACATTGATTATAAGAACATATTGTTTGTATATATCATAGTCCTTTAATAAAACAGATGTTTTTAATGGTTGAGATGTACAGTTCATTTTGAATTGCAAAGGATCCAAATTCACTTTTATAATTTGGTCACGAAAAACTTTTATTTTGTATGATGTAATCATAATAATTATATATGTCAAAATTTAAATAATTTATACATTTATAAATATATACTTTGATTAAAATATACTTATATTATATCTTAAAATAAAGTGGGGCAATAAAATATAAATTATTATTTCTAAATGTACCTATACCTGATTGATTATATATAAAAAATAATAATATAAGAGTTAGATTAATAAAATTTAACACATAAAAAATTGCTAACGGTGTAAGTTTGTCGAGTTTAATGTCCAAAGTAAATTGATCTTAAATTTTACTGTTTTTATATGGAAAAGAAATTTTAATCATTATCTAAGTAAGTTATAACTTTAAATTTGTTAAAACACACTCTAAAGTTTTAGTATTGTTAGAAGAAACTGCTGACCTATTCAAGCTACAAGTTTTATTGAGTCGAGAAAAAAATATTTTTTTTTATTTGAGCTACAAATTTTGTGCAAACTCATTTAAATATAAAATTTAAACTCTGTGACTTTTGAATTTATATATATATATATATTATACTAAAACTTTTAGAAAGAGGAGATGGTACCCATAAAAGAAATCTATCGGACTTAAAAGCATTTATAAATAAAAAATTACATTTATCTTATTTTAAAGAAACAAATCCTGTTTTATTCCATTGATCAGGTCCTTAAGATTGCCTTAAAATTTAAAATTATATTTTAACAAGTTTAACCAAATTAACCCAATTTTACCAAACCATTTTTCAAGCTCTATTTCAAAGGAAATGTCGATGTCTTAGCATCGTGGATAAATGGTACAATTTGCTAAAATATTATTTTTTTAAGAAAAAGTCATAATATGTTAACAAACAGCACAATTAACAGAGGGTGCGTTTAATAAAAGCAACTAGTCTTCCACAAAATAGCAAATTGTAATTCAAATTCTTACTGAGGAGAATGCTCATATTTATCACTCGACCACGACAACCAAAATTATTTTCTATGAAAAATATGGAAAAAGAATTCACAGGTGTGTTTGCACACACAAATGCAACTCTTAACTGTTTTAAACATTTTAATAAATTTTTTGTGACATAAAATATTTTTAGTCCAATCAATCATTAAAATCAACATTTTTATAAAATAAATTAAGAATGTTAATTTTTTTTATTAAAACATAATTAATATTATGGCATTATTATCTTCTAATAATAATATATCATTTAAAATATAAATTTTTATTATTAAATTATATATTTATAAATGTTATATTTATCTAATATTTACCATATATAACTATTAAGACAATATTATATGATTTTATAAATAAACAAATTAAACTAACAATTTACCAAAAAATTACAAAATTTTAAGCACTGTGTATGTTTATACATGTGTGTTTGAGGTAGCATTTACCCAAACATATTATGTAACGTGTATCTAAAATTACTACGTAAAATAATTATTTTGAAGTGACATAATATAACATATTTATATGCGTATCACAATTTTAAAATTTACTAAAACTAAAATTAATAAAAAAAAATTAAAATATATTAAAAACATGAAAACGTATTTCACTTTATAAATTAAGTAGTGCATTCATTTGATCTTTTAATATTTTTTCTCTAAATATCCTCTCATTCAACATACTAGTTTTTTTTTGGATTTATATATTTTTTTCACATTTAATTTTTTTATAATTATTTTACATCCCATATTTTATTATCTCTATCTTCTCTGCTCTTATTTCACACACATTCAAGAGTGTAAAAAGGCATTTTTAGTTTTTTTTTTTTTTTATCATACTATTTATCGTATATTTCAACTTTCTTTTATTTTTTTCTATCATTTTTTATCCTTCAACCCATCTCACAGTGCACCCAATTAACAAGTGTCCCTTCTCACTTTGATGATACATTAATGGTCACATAATACAGATTACATTTCAAGATTACAAAATTAAGGTTAAATAGTGGGAGGCACTTGGAATTGTTGGAAGTGATAAAAAGTCAAATTAATCTAACGAAATAAATCAAAAGAGACAGTAAAGGAAGCGATAAAGACAAAATAACTCTTATGCTGTTTTTATCCTTAATAGATTAAGTATATAACACAGTTTGACATTTCCTCCAACATGGCGTTGGGTGGCTTTACTGCGTCGCATGTTGAAAGTGGAAAGCCAAAGGGTTGAAATTTCGAACTTGAAACTTACAAGTCTGAGAGCTGGAAAGAGTCAGCCCCCACAAGAAGGCCAAGTCTAGTCTTCAACAATTGATCAATTCATTGTCAACATCTTTTGTGGGCTTCTTTCATTAATATATATATATATACGCACACCTAAGCCTCAATCCCCATCTCAAAATATTCATCAAATCTCTTTCAACCCCCAATTTCATCTCCTCAACACAAACCACACACAGAGAAGAAACTACGATCCGATTATTCAGTCCCACCATGGCTTCTTTACAAACCACAGCTATTCTTTCTTCTTGTTGTTACTCTTTAAGGGCGGTCAACGCCTCCATCCATGTCCCTAAACTTCCACGGGTCACTTATTCGGTTCCAAAAGTACCACTAAGAAAGCTGCATATTGAGGATTTTAATGGATCTATAGACACAACCCCATCAGAGAAGAATGCCATCACCACACAAATATATGATAATTTATACAGCTCTAACAACGAGTCCAAGGCCACTACTCAACTCTACGCAATTCTAGAGGCTGTTGCTGACAGAATTGAAATGCATACAAACGTTGGCGAACAAAGGAACAACTGGAACACCCTTCTTTTGAACTCCATCAACATGATTACTCTCACTGCCACAGCCATGGCTGGTGTTGCTGCAGCCACAAGTGGTGACACTGCACCGCTTTTGGCCCTCAAACTATCATCCACTCTTTTGTTTTCTGCGGCTACCGGGATGTTACTCATCATGAACAAAATCCAGCCTTCACAACTCGCTGAGGAGCAACGCAATGCTACAAGGTTGTTTAAACAGCTTCAGACTCAAATCCAAACCATAATCGCTCTTGGAAGTCCTACAGAAGAAGATGTGAAGGGTTCAGTGGAGAAGGTTCTGGCGCTTGACAAAGCTTATCCACTTCCATTGTTGGGAGCCATGCTTGACAAATTTCCTGCAAAATTTGAACCTGCTGTTTGGTGGCCTTCAACTCAGTTCCAAAGGAAAAATAAAACCAACGAAGTAAGAGTACAAAGCAAGAGGAATGGATGGAGTGAAGAACTAGAAATGGAATTGAGGGCAGTAGTTGAAGTGGTAAAGAGAAAAGACATTGAGGACTATGAGAGGCTAGGAAACATAGCGTTGAAGATGAACAAGAGTTTAGCCATTGCGGGCCCTTTACTCACTGGCATTGCAGCAGTGGGGTCTACATTTGTGGGCAATGGGTCAATGGCAGCAATAGTGGCAGTGATGGCTGGGTCATTGGCTTCAGCAATTAATGCTTTTGAGCATGGAGGGCAAGTGGGTATGTTGTTTGAAATGTACAGAAACTGTGGAGGATTCTTCACGCTGTTGGAAGAGACAATTGAAGCAACGCTTGATGAGAAAGACTTCGAGAAAAGAGAAAATGGTGAGGTGTTTGAAATGAAGGTGGCAATGCAGTTGGGAAGAAGCGTTTCGGATCTGAGACGACTTGCATCAAAATCTGCTTCACATCGTAATGAATTCGCCAGCAAACTCTTTTAACATAACATTTCATGACAACGCATTCTTTTGTTCTTTGTTGTATAGTCTGACATAGCTTCACACTCGAGAGAATCTGTATATATATATATATATACACTATACTTGTATACCTTTGTGAATTTGACTCAACCATATTCACTTCTCAATTTTTCTTGTTTTAATACGAAGATTTTTATTTGTTACGTTGCAATTTAATATTTTTGAAATGGTTCCCTTTCATGGAGATAGAAGGTAATTCACCTCCCTCTTGTTGCGCTTGCAACGTAGCTCCTAACGTTGAAGAAGTGCACAAACAAATCAGGGGACTCCAAAAATTAGAAAGTCATGCAAGATTTCAAGAATACATATATAATTTGTAAATTAAGCATTCATTCATATGCAAGGAGGGAAAATAATATACTCTCTAATACATTTATTTTAATATATATATATATATATAGTTATTAAAATTTATAAAAATATAAATAAAATAATTAAATTTTAAAAAAAATTCACATATTTTTATAATTTTTAATACATTTTAATTAATAATCACGAATATGTTGTAAATAAAATTGCTATAATATACATGTCGTTGGATATTTACGCACTAGTAACATAAAATGAAATAAAATAGAATAAAAAATACTTTTATTCTATCCTTTTATCCGATCTTTTCATCTTTTAAAATGAACTGTACAGTGAAACATACTAATAGTAAGTTACTATCATTTAATTAATTTTATTTCACTTTAATTAGTATTTCTTTTGTCAATCTTAATTAAATATAGTCTTAAATTCAAAAGTTTAATGAACAGTCGTCTCCCCGTTTTATTTATGTCGTCAAATTACCAAGAATATTAGTCGTCGGATATTTAAAATCATTAAGGATAGACAGTCATGGCATATAACCAGACCAAACGCCTTAAAAACAGAATTGAATTTTATTTAAATAAGTTTGCACAAACATAATATATTGAATCAAATATGAGAAACCAGACTCTTAACTTGGTTCTTTCTGTACCTTGTAATAAGAACCTTGAACATCATTGAAGTGTAGCAAGAAGGACGTCAAGAAAAACGGGAAAAAATATCTTAGTCTGTTCGTACGTAGCCGATCATTCTTGTCTTATTCTTGATAATAAGCGCTTTTGAGTAGTGAGTTTAATTAGGGTTAGTCTGTTTAAACTGAAAAAAAAATTCTGTTATATAATATAATTTTCTTTTTTTAAATGTATTAAAACATTAATACATTTTTTATTGTAATGTAATATATATATATATATATATATATATATTTATTAAAGTAAAGGTGACTTTTACTTGTTCTTGTGAAAAACATTTTTCTTTCTTAAAAAAAAATTCAAACAAGTGAGTTCTTAAATATCTCACACTACTTAAATGAAATTAATTGTCAAATCTTGGCAACAGAGTCCATGGCACTCAATAATTAATTTATTATGATGCTTCAGATATTAATGGTAATATAGTATTGTGCCGTTATTTATTGTCACCAATATTTATTATGGACTTATTTTTTACGCAGTGCCTCCAAAATCAAACTCACCCTTGGCGTTCGTCATTCTTGAATAAAATTATCTGCTGATAAAGTCCACACACAGATTTTTGTCTAACGATAGTCCTATTTCAAAATTAGCTCAGTGGAGCATTTTAGATAATTCACATTGCCAAAGACACTTCAAAAACTACACTGAACATATAAAGTGGAAAATTATTTTTTACATATATTTTTATAAAATATCAAAATAACAATTTAAACGGAGAAAGATATATATTTTTCTAATGAATGTAAAAATGAATATAAAAATATGACACGGAATAATGAGAAATCTTTATATAAAGTGTAACTAGAAAGTGCTCGGATTAGTTTTTTTTTGTGTCATTTTTTGTTTAAAGTGAGAAAGAAAATAGAAATAGAAAAGTAGAACGTTAATCTACTCCATCTGTGAAGTTCTTATTTACGTTGAAGGTGTGTGTACACCTACCACCACCCCTTCAAAAGAATTAGTTTTTCTGAAAAAATCAATGACACCGTATAGTAAATGCCATTGTATTGAAAATTGAATAAGTAAAAGGTACTAGCTGAAATAAAAAGAAAGGTATAAGTAAACAGTAGCTTTATTTCGTGTATGACTATTCTTTCATTCATTTTGTAAGGCAACATTGCGCAATGCAGTCTTATGGTTTTACCATGTCCCATGTTCAGAGCCCAACGGCGTGAGCCCGTGGTTGGAAATTTTGAACAGACCAAGTCAATGAAATTGGTCAGTCTTAAGTTTCCTTATTTTGATTTGACTTTTCTCTTCTGTTTTCGTTAGTTATATATAAATACCGCCATGCACCCATCTAAATACATATTCACACCACCTTTTCTCCAAACTCTCGTAATAAACACAGCATACACAAAACACTTCAATTACCTCACAACTATATCTACTCTCATTTCATGGCTTCCATACAAACCGCGACTCTACTTTCTTCTTCTTTTTCTTGCTTGTCTTCAAGGAAAGTAAATGCCGCAATCCATGTCCCAAAGCTTCCAAGAGTCAATGTCTCATTGCCAAAGATACCTACCATCACTACAAGAAAGTTTGTTGAGGGGTTAACATTCACAGACTCGGTCCCATTACTTGATCAAAAGAATGTCATCCCTAGCACACAGTTAAACGATGATTTATCCAATTCTACACCCTCTATGTGCACCATGCAACTCTACGCAATCTTAGATGCCGTAGCTGACAGAATTGAAATGCACAAAAACATTGGTGAGCAGCGTGACAATTGGAACACCCTCCTCTTGAACAACATCAACATGATTACACTCACTGCTGCAACAATGGCTGGTGTTGCAGCCGCAAGTGGTGCAGGTGCACCCCTTTTGGCTCTGAAACTATCGTCCACTCTTTTGTTTTCTGCCGCCACTGGAATGTTGCTCGTCATGAACAAGATTCAGCCCTCACAGCTCGCTGAGGAACAGCGCAATGCCACAAGGTTGTTTAAACAGCTTCAGACCCAAATCCAAACCACACTTTCTCTTGGAAATGCTACAGAGGAAGATGTGAAGGGTTCAATGGAGAAGGTTCTGGCGCTTGACAAAGCTTATCCACTTCCATTGTTGGGAGCCATGCTTGACAAATTTCCTGCAAAATTTGAACCTGCTGCTTGGTGGCCTTCAACTCAGTTCCAAAGGAAAAATAAAAGCCACGAACGAAAAGTGAAAAGCAGGAGAAATGGATGGAGTGAAGAACTAGAAATGGAATTGAGGGAAGTTGTTGAAGTGGTAAAGAACAAAGACATTGAGGACTATGAGAGGCTAGGAAACATAGCGTTGAAAATCAACAAGGGTTTGGCCATAGCAGGCCCTTTACTCACTGGCATTGCAGCAGTGGGATCTGCATTTGTGGGCAATGGATCAATGGCAGGTATAGTGGCAGTGATGGCTGGGTCATTAGCTGCAGCCATTAATGCTTTTGAGCATGGAGGGCAAGTCGGTATGGTGTTTGAAATGTACAGATATTGTGGCGGATTCTTTCATCTGTTGGAAGAGACAATTGAAGGTGCAGTGGAAGAGAAAGACTTTGAGAAAAGAGAAAATGGGGAGCTCTTTGAAATGAAGATGGCTTTGCAATTGGGAAGAAGTGTGTCACAGCTGAGAGAACTCGCCGCAAAATCAGCTTCCTGTCGAACGGAGGGAATAGCTGTGGATGAATTTGCCAGCAAATTGTTCTAAGCTATAACGTTAATTCGTTGACTTTTTTTTTTCATTTTTGTAAACTAAAAAATTATCAATTCTTTCATTCTTTTGATGTAGAAAGGAAAGACTAGGTTTAGATCAATGCTTATTTCCTTTATGAAAATTGGGATATGCAACATTTTGTCCCCTACTCCTACCAAATATGTTTAATATATTATTTTTTATATTCTGACAACTTTGCTATTCAAAATACAACTCGGTGATTTTTCAAGCTGCAAGTAAACTGACTGAATATAATAAAACTGGAGTATAATCCTTGTCAAGGCTCTATGAAATTGAGATTTTGGTATAAATTATTGATGAGGATCTATTCAAATAAGGTTAACTAATGAGTAATGTTTTTTAATAGTCCAACCACTCGAAATTTCATGGGAAACAGGGAAAAGTTTAAATATTCGAAGTAGAGCATCTCAACTCTAGAAAATTAAAGAAATGTTGGTAGTACATTAATTTTTACCACATGTTATACAAAAAAGAGAGAAATAAAAAGAATTTCAAGAGAAATGTGTAATAAATAGATAATGATATAAATTATGGATCACCAAAAATAATATTGTACGTGATGTTGTATATTGTTATTTTATTTATAATTTACTTTTTTATTTTTTATATACATATATTTGAAAATACACATGAATAGAATGTGAAATCATTATTACCATTTTGTTATTTATTAGCTATAATTTCTTCAGATGTATTTTATTTTATTTTTAATTATAAATATCTTTTATAAAAAATAATCATGTTCAGATGAAGTTATTCTCGGCAACAAAACTTCGCTTTTAAACATGTTTTAGAAATACAATGCATTAGCTTTCCAAAAAAAAATGTTTAGTAAGACAAGCGCAATTCTTTCCCTTTTTTGGCCTCTAAAATTTGCATGTTGTTTACCTCTCTTTCTCTTTTACATGTATGAGATGAAAATCATCCACGAAGTGGCAGCTCTTTGACCTTATGATTTTCTTTGATCTATTCAATACTCATTTGACTTTATGAAGGATATAGTAAGTATAACCGAATCATCCTACGTTAACTTATACCGTAATTAAATTTTTATTTAAAAGAATGATCAGTTCATGACTTCTTATTTATATAAGCTCCGAGATCATGTCATAAAATTTCTAAAATTGATAGATGAAAACTTAAAAATAATGCTATACTTAACAAAAATTTATTTTGACTATACATACACAAGAAGGATAGCCATTTGGCCAAAACGAAAATTTTAGGTACAATGCTACTTAACTTTTGCCTACGTAAAGATGTTGAGCATCTGCTCAAGAATGTTACACAAGAAAAAGATATTTAATATATGTTGAAATTTTATTCATGTGTCAAAGGTTGAGTTATTTTTTTATGTTATAAGATAAAACATATTTTCAATTTATATAAATAAGGTTGCATTTAGTTTTAATTCATAATTTTTTATTAATTTTAATTTTCATAAATTTTAAAACTTTTAAAAATAGTTATTTTATCACTTACAAATAACGTAAAATATATTTAAACACATCATTACTTGTTATATTTGAATGTCATTACTGTGAGTAATAATGGAGACTACTTTTAAAATTGATGAGGATCAAATTTAATATATATATATATATATATATATATATATATATATATAAAGACAAGATTTTCTTATACCAGTGTAAGTTTAAAAACTCTTATACTTAATCTGAATTTTTCATTTATCTTAAATTTAACAATTTATTACTTTACTTACTATTAGATTTAAATTAAATAAAATAAGTGTAAGAATTTTCAGACTTACACTAGTGAAAAAAATCTTTCTCCATACAGGGATATGTGTGTATTAAAAACATATTTAAACATAAATACTAACTCAAAATCAGACAACATAGGTCGTTGTGCATCTCATAAATGTGTATAAGATACTAGTATACAACATAAATATGAGCCAAATGATCTATTTTAAAAGAATAACACCCTTTTGTTCACCTTGGCACTAGATTTTGAACAAATGGCTCACCATGCTATAGGATTGATTCACGCAAGTTAGCTGGTCATATTATCCATACGATCCAATATGCGTTTTTCACTTCCCACCATCCCCATTGTTAGAAATAATTAGAAAACAAAGGATGTGTTGGTTATTATGTTGAAATTGCAATGCCGTAGTTCTAATTTTCCATCTTTTGAGCAACTGTGTGAACAATAGTTGTAGAGATTGTACAACATCATCATCATTTCCTGGACATAACCCTGTGAACGCTAGTCTGACAATAGAACCACAATCAACTGTTTCAACATGAAACATTATTGTTTCTTGATAACTTCAGAATGGTTACTTGAGTTTCAAGGATGTATAGTGGATAATTCTAACTTGGTAATTGGCTGGGAAAATGTCGAGAAATATCATGATAATATTTGTGAAATTCAACTCATACATATCTGAGAATTGATATCGAGTTATGAATGCAAGAGAGAGCCTAGTATTTTATGTGAGAAAGATAATGACATTAACATTGACTGTAACACTCAGATAATGGGAAAAATTGTCAACATGGGGGCGTAATTTGAAAATGTTTGAGATAAAAAACGTTGGAAGTAAATCAAGATGGCTTGTAGTATTTTGTTGGAACAAATGGCATTTTCGTAACGACCCCTTCATTGGCTTTTCCTCGAATAATAATCTTTACTTTGGTGCCAGCCTTGTGCAATCCAGATTTCACATATCCCATGGCTATGTTCTTCTGTAGGCAAGGACTGAATCCACCACTTGTGATCTCCCCAATGTTCTTGCCTCCTTCATCTTGAATCTCACTGTGGCTTCTAGGAGGTGGACCTGAAGAAACGAAACCAACACGCCTGATGGAAGGACCTCCTTCAAGCTGTTTCAGGATAACATCAGCTCCAAGAAAACCACCTTCTGCTCTCCTCCTCTTCCCTATAGCCCATGTGAGTCCTGCCTCAATAGGTGTAATGTGTTGTTCCAAGTCATTCCCGTATAAGCACAATCCAGCTTCAAGTCGCAGACTATCTCTAGCACCCAATCCTGTCAATCTTATTTTCCCTTCAGATTTTTCCAGTATTGCCTTGGCGAGATCTACTCCATGCTCCGAAGGAACTGATATTTCAAATCCGTCTTCTCCAGTGTACCTGAAATTTTATAGTGTTATTATGCATGGTACAACCCAATGAGAACAAGCACGTTGTCCCTGACAAAATATGAGCTAATAACACAAACATGCAAAATAAAATTACAGTTCACAAAAAAAAAAAGAAAAAAAGAATAGTTTATCTTGAAAGGGAAGGATAGATAGCCAGAGTACAAGAAGATGGAGTTTTAGGTAACATGATTACAACTCAGATGAACTTTCAAAAATAAAGTGCTGTTGTTGGTGAAAGAAAAAGACAAGAAAGCATACCCTGTCCGTGTAAGAAAGCACTGTGAGCCATTGATATCCAACACACGGAACTCCCCAAAGTATAGCTTACTTAAATCCTCTTTTGTCAGGTGTTGAAGAACAGGGGCAGCAAGTGGACCCTGCACCAGAGACAATAAGAATCCTTTATTGATGTTACAGTGAGGAACAGTTAATTTAAAATCACCTGAACAAGTGAATCGTAATCATTTAATGAGCATGCTAAACACAAGTTTTAATATTCTTTACTGTAGGGAAAGAATAACATGCAACATGGCCAAAAAGTATATGACACTACAATAAAAGATATGAGAGTATACTGAACAATATCCTAAATCATTGGTTTTACAGCCATCTCAAGTGAAACAGATTGAAGGGAAAAACTTAACATTTTCAATCTTAAAAGGACAATTTTAATAAAGAAACAAGGTAGTGGACAAAACACACATGCATGAATACTTCAATACTTGCTGTACTAGATCTTAACAATTAAAATGCATATATTTGCAAATAACTATAGGAAGAGAAAACCTTAGAGGCTGCAGGAGATAGGTAATACAAAACAAACAAAACAAGTTGAAAGTGTGTTTGGCCAGATATCAATGTGGGAGAGCATGTTAAATGACCTGCAGAGCAAGTAGAGATCTCTCATCATGGATGTGCCACGACACATCACCACCTTTGGCCTTGAATGCCTTCATATGCGCCTCAATATGAGCCAGATCTTTATCCCTGCACCCAGCATTCACAACCAAGTATATGTGGTCATCCGTCACCTTAGTAATAACTGAATCATCAATTGCCCCTCCCTTTTCGTTTGTGAAAACAGTCAATGTCCCAGTTCCAGGGGCAAGCCCGGCAACATCAGCAATGACTAGCTTTTCAAGGAATTGGACAGAGTCCTTTCCCTTGAGGCTTAGCCCACACATATGAGAAACATCAAAAAGGCTACCATTCTGCCTACAATTTATGGTTGAGTCCATGATTGAGTCCTTGTATTGAATTGGCATGTTCCATCCAGCAAAAGGAACCATCTTCCCACCATTAGCAACATGGAAATCATAAAACACTGTCTTTTTCAGCTCAGCTTCTGTGGCAAAACATCGACGAGCAACAGCCTTTTTGTCTCCATGGGCAAGACGGCGAGTGATTGATTGCCCAAGTTGCCACAAAGCTCCCCTCATATTCTAAGCAAAATATGGGACAAAACAAATTAACGGGTTAAGATAACAAGTCATTGACACACCACAGGGGTAGCAGGATTTCATGCCATTGTAATGGAATCATGTCATTACCGGTATATAGAAAGTATGGCTATGGCACAAGACATTTACTCCCCCAAACCTAAACGGCCAAAACTTGCATGTCAAAACTGAACAAGATATTGGTTGGCATTGCTGGCAGAGACATAAACAAGGCTAATTCTGGCTTCTAGATTCCTAAAAGGTGGAACCTTTGAGAAAATAAATACTAGTTCTTCTCTTAAATCATATGTGATCGCACTCAGTGTACTTAAACAATGAAACAAGCTTCCATGAAAAACTAGAGCGTCCCATCACACAAAAATTATCATAGAAAATCAAATATCAACCCGTGACATTTTGCAGAACTCAGAAATCGAATCAACATATCACTGTAGCATGGCAAACGAAATACGGCATGAAGAATAAATAATATATTATATAATAAGAAAGATCATAATTATTATAATAAAATGAGGTTGTTTATCAACTACCCCACAGCACGCACCTAGAATCACAGAAAAACCAAATCAAATCTCTATAATTTTGGCCTAGATCTAAACTTCAATTTCAGATCGTCAGAAACTGAGAAACCAAATAAACGGATCATTATGGTGCATTAAGCGAGGATGAAAAAAACAGGCACCCACGTGGTAAAATGCAACAGAGAAAGAGATAGAAGAAGCGTAGAGCGCTAACAGAGATTGGTGTCTTCTGGGTATGGATTTGTTCAGAATGAAGCAAATGGGGAAGCCCAAATAAGCATTCGCATAACAGAGAAGAGAAGTGTGTGTATGGTGTAGTGGGTATATTATATATGTGTGTATGAACCAAGAGGCACGCTTATCTGATGGACTTGGACATAAATATAGTAAGATATTTAAATAATTAAAAAAAAAGAAAAAAAGAAGAAGGAGTTGGTGGCTGTGACAGGTGAGAGGTTCCTCTTCCTAAATCCTAAATCGAGAGTCGATAATACCACATCGCCAGCGAGTGGTTGGAGCACTACCCGACCACACTCCCTTGTCCTTCCCAATCCCCTCTCAGTTACACTAAAATGAATTTAACAATTAAAATGATAGTTTCATAATTTATAAAACTAAAATAAATATCCAACGGCTGTGGATGATTGTCCGTGATATTGTCCCATGCTAATAAATGGGACCCACTTTTGTTGTGGAACCAAATTAATCACTCATAACTCATCAAAGACAATTTTCTAAACTGATGGATGCAATTTAGTCGCTGTTTTTTGCTTCTTTATTCTTTTTTCCTTGTAAACATGTGTGTTAAGGGCTTTTGATTAAGAAACTAATAATAATATTTTTTTAAAATATATTTAAAAATTTGAGAATGAACATATTTTTAATAAAAAAAATGATTTAATTTTTTAATCATTACCCTAAGTACTGTTAGCATTTTTTTCTTCAACTAAATTCAATATGAACATATTGATTTTTGTGATGGAATTTTCCAAAAGGTTTTAATAATATGAAGCGATGATAAGTTTGCGCCATTTTTTTTAACCCGCTGTATATTATGACAGCTACGTAATATATTTTTTCGTATAAAATAGAAGCGCTAGCGTTTATTATAAAGCCCTAGGCCTTACCCTTACACACGATTTATTAAAAGAAATATTAGATTTTTTTGTACTTATAATTTATTTTTTATATAATTTTAGTATTTTTAATTTTAATTATTTATCTATATTTTAAAATTATTTTCTACTTTCAAATTTCGATTTAATAATTAATAAAAATACAGCAAATATGTGATATTATTAAGTTTGGTGAGATTGTCTGATCATGAAAGGGACGGAAAGGAAACGAAAGAAACTGACTTAGAAAGGCAAAGACAAACGTCTGTTAGTGTGTTAAGAATATTAATTAAAGAAACAATATTGTAAATACACTGCTCTTTATAATTTTTATTATCTTGACTTATTTTTTTATAAATAATTATTTATTATTAGTTTACAATTTTATTAATTTCAGTTTTTAAAACAAATTTTAAACTTCTAAAAATAATATTTTTAAAAAATAATTATTACATTAAAGATATAAAACTATAATAAGTAGCTTTAATAATATTTTATTATCGTTATTTACTTAGATTCACTTTTAAAGATTAAGTTAAAAAATTTATTTTTAATTAATACTTAACATGTTCTTACAAAAAAATATGATACAAATTTAGATATAATAATTTTTATTAATAATTATATAATTCAATAAATTATTATCATTCAATAATATGATTTTTACAAAATATTATTTGTTAATTTTTTTTATATTCTTAAATACGTATTGAACAAATTATTTAATTAATACTCTTGAAATACTGATTTACAAAGTCAAAGGGTATAATTGACAAAATCTTGGCATTTTTGTGGTTGGTGGAATGGTGGCTAGTTGGCTATGTAGCAAAAATTGAACGTAATAAAAATTAAGTTTAGTTTTTATATATTTTTTAAAATTATATAAATTTATTTTAATTTAGATGAAAAATTAAATTTAAGTAATAATATTTCTAAAATATAAATAAATAATTAAACAATATAAGAGAAGTCACGTGACTTAATAAAATTAAAAATGAATCTTAAAAATTTATGATTGAAAAATGAGGATTCATATTTACACAAAGGGTTGATAATCTGATCTATTTAGTTAGAATTATATTATTTATGTAATATTTTTTCTTTTACTTTTTATCACATCGATCATTTTTTTATCTCATTTTTTATTATATATAAAAATTAATTGTAAAATTTTATTAATAAAAATTTATTATTTTTATAATTTTAATATAATAACTGTGTATTTTTTTATAAAAATTTTCTATTTATGAGTACTAAACCTCAGTTCTTAGATTGACAAAAACCCATAAAAAATATATAAACCAATTATACATACAGAGTTTATTATTTTATTTGAAGACCACGAATATTAGATTATTAGTGGCCCGTAAAAAAAAAAAATACACGAATGTATATATAAGCCAAAACCGGCGGAAAAATCATAACAGCTGAGACGAGGATAAGCGTTGAATAAATGCTCAATTTTATTTTTTTTCTTGTTTATTGTGAATCTAATCCCCATGAGATTATTTTTTTTTTAATTTTCCTTATAATTCGATAATTTATTTTAGCATCAATCATATATTATCAACTTAGCTGGGAAAATGCTGATCAAAAAGCTTTGGCTAGGAATTATAAAAAAAATAAAAATAATATATAAGTAAAATACTGAAATTAGCAATATCTTTGGGGATTGCAAAACTGCGACACAAAATTTTGGAATCAATAGTAGCAATCTTAATGAAACCGAAGCGAACTATGTTGATGTTGGGAGCAGAAAAGAAAAATGGAACGATGATTGTTTGGATACAGTACACGTAACGTAAGTATTGTGAATTGCGTGGGGAAAGACAGCCAAGGATTCATGATATCAAGAGTTGAAAGCGATTCTTGGTAGCCCCAAACCATTCATACAATTCGTGGTTCCGCTGAAGCCTCGTTTCACACTTACTTTTCTAAAATCTTTAACTCTTCTCATTTCCTATTTCTATATTTCTATTTGCTTTATGCTTACCCTTTGGCAGGTATCACTCTCCCTCTCCAATTCATGTTTATTTCTCTTAGCCAAGATCTTTTCATTTATATATTTATTGGATTATTTTGAAGGGTGATATCAATATCATGGTTCAAACATGCTAGCGTTGTATGCTCCCAGAGCTATTCTAAAGTGCCATTTACATCAAGATTCAGCTTCTGCTCAACAAACATATCCATGCAAGATCAACAATAATGTTAATTTCGTGAATTGCAATCCTAAACCTTTTGGGAGTCCTTCTGGTAATATATTATTTTATAGTTCATCCTTCTATGGGAAATGTGATAAGCTACAGAAGAGTGTTCATCTACTCCATCATGTTGCTACACATAAATGGCTGGTAAGTATGCTTGCTGCTTCATTGACTTGTGTCTGGTTTAGTTGACTTATCATTGCTCTTGGTGATTGATATGTCTTTGGATTTTCACATTATATGAATGGCAGCAGTGTGGATTACAGGATTCCATTTCATCTGATGATGAGTTTCGTTCTTCACGCAACATAGCCATCAGCTTGTTTAGGAGATACAGGAACTTCATTGTTCGTGGTGGAGGTGACAATCTAAAAGTATTTCCATTGACATGCTTCCTTTACACCCTTTTTGGGTTCTTTCAATTCTTGTATTCCAACAACCAATTTATGTTGTCTGTTTTTGCTCTCAGGAGTTCATCAGTGCTGGGGTAAATGCATATGCGCTTGGATGCACTGATGAAGGATTAAGGAAAGAACTTACTGATATGAAGGACTCGGGGGTTGAAATTGAAGCAATGCAAAGTTATGGTGGAAGCACAAGTTTGAAATCTAAGATCATCTCAGAGGAGGTCAGTTCTACTTGGATTTTAACCAGTTGATTCTAAGTCATAAATCATGATTATCACAATAATTTCTTAGTAGAGGCTCATGTCATGGTTTCAAATCCAAACCTCTTTGGTTTATATCGGGCGTTTCAATCCTAAGCATTGTAGAAGCAAATAGGCTGCTAGATCTCAATTGTCTTCTTGTTAATGCTCTATGTAACGCAGGTTGATGAGTGCATTCTCTGGTTAAGCATTATATTCATCACCATCTTGTGTACACCCCAACCAACTATTGTTAGATGGTCATCTACACCTCCAGTGTCAGATGAAGTGAGACTTCAGTGGAAAGGCTTTTGTGCTCTAATAGCAAATGCATATTTTATGAAGGGAATGGCTTGGTGAGATGCCATGCTTGCATATTTTGACTTTTGAAATTTCCTTTTCTTTCCTTTTTTTACATGCTTCTATTTGTACGAGTTTTGATGGTGGTCAACTCTCTTGTTTAAAGAGGGGCTTCCCAAAAGAATATTATCTTCCAGAATTGTTGCTAATTGCTACATGTAGTGTGTTTGTTCTCTTAACTAGCTGTAGTGCAATAATTAAAGTTTACAAAAGCCTTTTAGAACTCATTGGTATTGCTTACTGTGTTTGTTGAAGGCTTCCCGTAAAGACTCTTCAATTAGAGCAAACGGCTGTGATGGGTCAAGCTGAGAAACCGTCAGTTGTTGCTAGCCGAATGCGATTAGTCTTTAGCACACTTGAGGTTAGCAATTTACCTTTTATGATCTGGAGAAATTATAACCATAGGGAACAATATATCATTAAGTGTTTTTTCGTGTTTATGGTTCAATCGGTAATATGGTCAGCTCAAGGAACAAGGAACTCCCATTTATCGGTTAACTGGAGAAAGAGAAAGGAATCACATTTATTTTTGAGACAAACGTTCTTTAATGTCTCGTGAATCATGCTCATCGCTACAAAACATTTACATGTTGTGAATTGACTATTGCAGGTAGTGAGTCCACAATGGCCAAGAGTTTAGAGCCTGAGATCAAGTTAAATCTGTCTCCCAGCAATTTCACATAGAGTTGTATTCCGTATTTGCTAACAAGGGGGGAGCAATATCATACCATGGAGGATATTTAGAAAGAAAATAAAAGAAAAACTCAATGTAGTTTAAGTACGGTCAATGCGTTGATATGGATTTGTATTATATTAAATGTTATATTATGTAATGTCGTTTCTGTGCCACACGATATTAGGGGAAAACTAATCACTAATTGGTCCAAATAACACAGGATTGTTTTTTTCATTTGTTGTTTCATACGAACCCCTTCGCAATCATTTTTCCACCTGCAACCTATGATGCCTACGCGCGAAACAAATTTAACATTTTAAAATCTAACGTGTTTAAAAGCACCGGCTTCAAATGTGTATAAAAATATACAAATCTAACATCTTTAACATAAGGATACATTAGTCATTAAATATGCTTCACAATAGCATGACCCAACATACGCATACAAGGGTGCAAGGATATATTACAGTTAATATCTAGCTTAAGGGAGAAACGGAGGAAGCTCAAATCCCCTCCCTCTTCAGGAGGTAAACAAATTTAGGCATACACTTGTCAAAAAGAACAAATTTCTGGGGGATTTTAAAAAGAAAAAGAAAAAGAAAAAGTGGTCAAAATTGGATTCCACTGGCCATGCTCTTAATTTAGAATTTATCACGAATCTGTGGAAGCAGCAAACTCACTCGCATCTTTGAGTATTCTCCTTGCACGCCAATAGACAGCAGTAGCCTTGTCTGATGTTCCCATCTGCATAATCCCAAAAAATATCATGGATGCGTCATTAGAATTGAATGATAACTATTCGTTACATGAAATGCAAACCAAATCCCCCAAAGAATCTAACGAGAAAAAGGAGATCGATTAATGACAATTATATTGTCAGTCTCAGCAGTAATTAAGCCACATGGAAGTTGAAAGAAATATCTACCTTTGTCTCCATACGATAGTAATCTTGCCACAAGCTGACATTTTGGTCATAAGTTGCGAGAGCAGATTCATATAATTTCCTGGCATTTGTGAGAGCATCTTTATCTCCTATTGACGCAAGGTTTGTTTCCAGGCCAATGCAATTTCTATATAAAGCAAGGCCAGGATGCGGTAAAGCTAGAAATCTGCAATGAGAACCAGTCGAGTAAATATAGGTACAAGTTAAAATCTCTGTTCCCTAAGCAAATTCCACAACACATACCGTTTATAGATATCTCTGGCCTGCTGAATTCCATCTTTTTGAAGTACAAAATTTACGATGGCAGTAGAAAGGGAAAATCCATTCTCACTGCCACCATCTCTGACCAGAGAAACAACAGAAATCTCCACAAGTTTATCAAAATACTGTCTTTGATTTGCATAGAATTTAAGGGCCTGTTTTGAGTGAAGATTTGAAAGATAAACTGATTTCAGAACTTTGTGGTTTTAATATTATGCAGCATATTTCAAGTAGCGGAAAAATCAATTCAAGCTTCACTGAATAAAGATAAAATGCACGAACAGTTACTAACAGAGAATGCTGGGACGAAATAGGAAAATTTTCAGCACTAAGAATGGATACGTATTCATCTAGACCTTTGGTTTCAAATGCCAAATGGTAAATACTTCTTTACAAAACGGGAAATAAATCAAAGGCCAACAACTTAAAAAGAAATAGAGAATGATATTTTTGCAGTAACATGAATCATTACTTTAAATCTTTAACAATAACTAAAAATCGTTTAATCATCTACAAGGAAAAACAAATGAATACCATATTGAAAAAGAAAGAAAGGTAATGTTAACCAAAACAATGCTAAAAAATATTCAATAATCAAGAAACAAAGAAATATTTTACAAACTAAACCCAGGAGGCAACGGAAATTCATGACAAAATCAGCTGATTGAAGCAGATTTTGTACAAACTCAGCTCACTGCTGAGAACAAAAATAAGAAACAGGTGTTGACAACATACCTTTAGCCACAAGCGCTCTGATTTTGAAACAGACACTTTCGTCAAAATTTGTCGAAGGAGTTCAAAAAAAGATTGCAAATCAGCATTACTTGGTGAAGAAGAACTTTTCGTGATGCATCTAATTTCTACAGTGATCCTTAACCCCCATAACTCTACTGATTCTGCAAGTTTACCACTGCAAAGCTTAGCTGCCAGCTTTCTGGCCTCATCCAATTGTCTCAATTGCAAATGTAAGGACACGTGTTTGCAAGCAAGATCTTCAGTAATGCATCCCATGCTTTCAGCCCTTTCATATATTGACAGGAGATGTGACAAATATTTTTCGGCAAGTCCTGATGACTCAGTTGTATTGGTTTCTCCTTCTTTAGGAACAACAATACCTGTTAGAAAATTTGCATACAAGCTAAACATAGCTCCTGATGGCACATTTTTCAAAGCCTCCTCATAAACCTACGAAGCAGAAAAGGACCCAAGGTTTTATTAGATCAACAAAAGCACACAAGAAAATAAATCATAGAAAAATTTGATGGTACTGCTATCCAACAAGTTATTCTTCCACGTGGGGGTATAATATAAACAGTGTTACCATAATAACCTTCATGGTCACAATATGTTAGTTTTCCTATTCTCAGGCTAAAGCGTCCCTCAATCTCAGTCAACTGAAAGCATTTACTCATATACCATTTGCCCTATAGGTTCAGTAGTTCTCACAGATTCATACCTGCAAAGCCTTTTCCACCTTAGGAATTATGAATTCTTCACTTGTCTCTTGATCATTTTCAAGACCACATTCATGCCTTACGAGCCAGTCCCAAAATTCTGGTTGTGTCGAAAAATCCCTCTTCATGTGATTCAGCATCTCGTTACACATATCTTCATAACTTGATAAGTTTGTACCCTCCAATATTTCAAAAAAACGCTTCCTAAGACTAAGACTTGAAGGGACAGCGTCAACCGCCCCACTATAGACAGTTCGAAAAATATTCATACCATGCTCCTCAAATAATTCCTGGTTCTTCTTTGATTCATCACTTTCAATGTTTGGCCCATCATAATTCTCTTTTTCATCAAGGGACATAAATAACTCCTTGTTTTCATCTCTCCATTGTTTTTCATCAGCAGTGCTAGGGTCACGAGTAAGAGTTCCCTCATCCTCACCTAAAGCAACCTTCCGGGCCTTTAACTTGTTAAGGTACGTTAATTCCATCCGAAGATACTCTACCCAAAGGTCTTCAGAGTTTGGGCAAACTCTTAGACCTTCCTGCATTAAAGCACGAGCAGCTTCAACATTTAAGTTATTATCAAATTCCCATGCTGCAGCATAAATCCAAACCCCCGGAACCTTTGGATGAAACCTAATAACTTTTGCCAGTGCCTGCAAATATTCAAAACAAAAATATTCATCCAAATCAACATACATAGATAAATGCATACTTATATAATAAGAGAGTACAGTAACATAAGGTTACCTTCTTCATCCTTCCATTTTTTCTCTGTCTGCAAAACTCAAGATAGCGAAACCAGAGATCAATATCGCCCTTGTAACGCTTCAAAGCAAGTTCATAAATATCTATAATCCTTAGCAATCCAGCGAAATCGGACTTGGACTTCTTCAGCTTCTTATTCCCTTGCTTCATCAACTCGCGCGCCACCGATTTCTTGCGGAGCCTGCGGAGGGCGTCGAGTTGAGTCTCGTACTCCACATAGGCCAAGAAGTCTTGCTTCAGTGGACTCGGTCGCTTTAGCCTGTACTCAAATTTTCGCCTCTGCTTCACGATCTCAGCGATCTCGCGGCGGCTAAAGACCCCACGCTGCTCAAGGTCGTCGAGTTCATCCAGCATGCGCTCCAGTTTGTACTGCACCACGTCCGCCATGTTTATTGGTTAGCAACGCCGTCAACGGTGGCGACTGTGGAGGAGCGGCTAACGATGCTACCTTTGGTTTCTTCAGAACAGAACCTTCAACCTGAAACCTGCTGAGGTTGAAGAAGGGTTTTGTTTAAATTGGACCTATAATTGAAATCGGCCCATCAAGCCAAACAGCCCACAGTACGTTGAATCCATAACCTTACTTATTGGATTGGGTCTTATTTGGACTTTAGATACTAATAGGTTCATAAAGGTCCAAAAATATGGCCTTGCTCATTATTTGGAGACAAAAACAAGACTAGGGTGGTTTTTCATGCGCTCTATTAAAAATAAACAAGAAAAAGAAATTCTTAGATAAAGATGGACCAAAAAAGTACCTGATAAAGGCCATATAATAATGAAATTCTTAGATAAGCTCTAATGATTAAATATATTACGATTATTGTAGAAAACAAGCAGGTCAGAAATATCAACATTATTTCTAAATCCCAAAACAGCATTATATAAATGTATGTATTTAGGAGTGATTATTCAGAAGTAATTTAAACAAAGTGCCAAGTCAAAACAAACAAGAAATTAAAGTATAATGCTTGTTTGTTGGATGAATTCTTTTTTAAAACAATTTTGTTCAAATTATGTTGTTTGCTCGCATTTACATGTTTGGCTTTTGGTAGAAAAGAACAGATAATCTATTAACAGAATTTTATTAATATTTTCATAAATTAACAGTCTTTTCTCAATTATCTTTGTTCTGGTATGCTTGCTTATTAAATTTAGATTATTTCAAGAATTGTTTGCACTGCCATTCTTTCATCCATTCGATTAACATAAAATTCTCTTTTACACAACTAAAAGAAAGCTCTTTATCTTTTAGTATTGTTTGTAAATCAATACATTGAAAGAAAAATCAAATTTCTCATAATCGAATATGCATATAATCAACTCTGACATTATTTTTCAACGCTTAATTCTTAATACGGTTGAATTTGTATAACTTGGATCTATTCCAACGCATAATGGGGTCACGAGGACTTTCAAAACAAACAAACAGTAGAAGTCACGGGGGTGTGTGTTTGAGGCCAGATTTTTTCTTGACATGCTTCCAAAAATGCTGACACTTCTTCAGCATCTGATTTATTAACACATAAAAATGAGGAAAGTTCATACTCACTACAAATGAAGATACCTCAACCTCACCAGACTAACAGTAACACATGAATTAGTGGAAGCTCAAGGGGAGCTTTCTTTGCACGTATACTAAAAAATAGAAGCAGTCACAATGTGACATGCATTAACAAAATGCCACTCTCTCGTGACATGATGCATGTTGCATGTTGCATGAACCTACATATAAATAAAATTAGAAAGGCCTTGTGCGATACCCACTTGCCCTGCCACATAGAAGCGCATTCTTTGGGACAGGAAATTCGTCTCTATATGACTTGGAAGGTGTATATACCCTTAGATAGAATTGCTGTCCCAAGTACTGTCTTCCCCAATGTTCGGATCTTATGTTCCACATTCCCACGTTGTCCAAAGCCATGTAGATTGCAGTCCACGACCTTGGATACACCTGAGTGGTGCATCTAGCAACTGTGTCTCTCAGATTGTACCGCGCTCTACTTTCAGCCGTCCATTGCCCGCTACCAAACCTATTCATATCATATGTTAGAACCAAAATGCAATGCGTATAAATTATTGGTTAGTTAGTTAACTAGTTAAATGGTAAATACGTATACAGAAATTATATTATATTTATACAATAGAGAGAGAAGTGTATGATAAGATGATTCGTGTGATGGACACAAATAAAAAAATTATAAGGAATGTCTGTGTCTCTTGCGTATAGGTAAAGGCCTTACCCGACAACAAAGAAGGAATAGCCATCAATATGCCATGACTGCACAGAATTCTCCCAATTTTGGAACACAATTTCGACAAATTCATGGAAATTAGCCCCCATCACAGATGTTTGGAGATAGGCATTGCCCCCGGAAGGATAGGTAGAAATGCTCCCAACGGAGAAAACTCCAGGGATGTTGAAGTAGTCGGCGAGTTTCAATGGGGTATCTGGTGCAACATATGACACACTGTTTACGGCATACCTCTGCTTGCCATTGATATAAGGAGCAGAGTTGGCAAGCATGATGGTTCGAGTGGGTTTGATCAATCCATAGTGGTAAGATCCCTGAGGGTTTGGTCTTGGTCCACTTGCTGTCAGGTTCCAACTGGTTTCGGGAGCATCAGAAGAGAATACAAAGTTACTGGCTAATCAAAATGTATTCATTATAATTATACTCTTGTTTTTTCCACATTCATCTTTAAAATCATATTGCTCCAGCTGGAATAATATTCAGCAACTCCTATTGAATATCTGTTCAGTACTTACAAAAAAGGTAACTACTTGCATGTTACTCGAGACATTTATAATAAACAAATCATTGTTTTAATTGTTTGAAATTTGATCCAAAATTACCACCATGATACGCAGTAGGTATTACACTAAATGGAGCTAGTTAGAGTTAATATATAATTAGGTCCTTGAAGGTGCACATCTATACAAATTAGTCCTTTGAGAGATGAAATTGTTTATCACTTGACTTACTTGGTTTGAGTATATTTTTTTCGCAAGTTTACACTGTCGGAACCAATACTGGGTAAACTTCCAAGGACCAAAACAGCACTAAGGTACGACTTCAAGGACTAAATTGTATATTTATTCAATTTGTAATATGAATATAAAAATTCTAATAATTATAGGCTTGAACAACAGAATAGCAATAAGCAATCAAGAGTACCGGATAGTTCTGGCCTGAAATATGGATGAAACAATATCGAGGGAAGGCCCTGGGGGAACAGGACCAGATACCCCAGTGCGTGAATTGCTGTAATGAAGAACAGCGGTTGTTGTGAGTATCCGCCTGGTAAATCTTGTAGAGACAACTACATAGTAATCCTTGACAGGTTGATCAGCTGTGACTAGCACAGAATAGGACTGTCCAAGATGGATGTCGAGGGAAGAATATGTGTTTTGGAGGGTATGAGATCCTTCTACCTCCACAAGTTTCAATTTGTGACCCTGGATTCTGAAGTTGATTGATGTTGTGATACCCACATTTGATATCCTAAATCTATAAGTCTTACCTGCAGATACAGCATTGAAACAATGGTGTAATGGAAGTGCATGCATTTGAAAATGTACACTGATAGCAGACTAGCAGGGTATGAGGAAGTTTAGCAATACTTTCAAATCAAAATGGATTATAATCACAAGTTATTTGGCTACCTACCTTGATCAACAGTGAAAGTGACTCCATTCCAACCACGTCCATTGATGAGAAGCCCATCAGGGAAGGGGAGATCATGACCATTCTCTAGGACCCGTCTCAGTCTCTACAAGAAAAGAGGGTAAGTATCAAGGGGATGATGAGGAGAGGATAAAATGAAAAGCCAATGATAGAAATGAATGCAAAGGGTTTACGCGGTGGTCTAACTTGAACCAATCTCCAGCAAGTACGGTAAAGTCCCCAGCAGGAGGAGGAAAAGGTACAGGAATGAGAGGGCGGCTCCAAATTCTGATGCCACCAAATCCTCCAGCAGCTTTGTGCATTCCAAGGGATGGGAAGTAGAAGTAACTACCAATCTGGTCTTTTACCTGGAGAGAATAAGTGAAGTTCTTTCCAGGCGGGATGGGACAGTTTGTGCCATAGACTCCATCTTGCCATGAGTTCCTCCTATGCTGTAAACCATTCCTGCAGAAGATATTTAAGATTGAATTTCAACAAATTTCTTGCTGCTAAATGAATAAACTATAAACTAAGAAATAGTATCAGTTCAGAAATGTTGGCATATACATTCGTTCATGAAACACGATTTAATCTGCTTAAATATGAAAGTTGAAAAAAGGGGGTTCATGTTTGCAGGATTGGGAGGAAGCCTGGGACCCCATAATGTATTGTAAGTGTAAACACATTTTTCACAAATAAACAGTTCTGTAAGTCCATGATCTGATGATATCATATACGTAATCCCACCCTGTGCCAAATTCCCACAAGCTGCAAATGAACTAGGTTACTCCTGCTGTATTGGGTATGATCAAATGTTCATTAAATTGAATAAAAGATTAACGTTGATCTGTGGGATCATATTCAAATGGGGGAATCAAACTGGCATTCTTAAACAATACATCAATCCTTGTTGTGTAAAGTAAACATAATGTCGACTTTAAGTTGCCAGTTACTCAAATAAACTATTTTAATAACATAGATCTGTATAGTCAGTCAATTGTAAGATGCTCAAACAGAATGTTGTAATGATGAATCATTTTATGCGGCCACTCGTAGAAACATAGTTCGTGTGTTAATCAATGTATGACTAAGATTTGACCATAAATCACCGTTAAAAGTGGAATCTAACCTCTAATTGGCTGTTCGGTTGAAAGTGGTTTTATAATTGAAAAGAAAAGGCAATTTGACTTGGCAAAAGAGGCCAAAAAGATAACACAGACAAGGACTATTTATTGTAAGATTTTCACTCTGTCTCAAGTACTAAGGCTATTAGATTTTGTTTAATTACCAGACTAACCACCTGATAAATCAAATATGCCAATTTATGCGGGTTCTGAACACCTCTGAATTCAAGGAAAAGTGCGCCTTCCAGGGAAAGAATAAGTTCACGTGAACTCCCAGAAAAGCAAGGAGCGAAAAACGTAATTTTTCAGAATAAAAGGGGAGGAACCTTAAACAGTTTTATTTTCTTTAAAAAAAAATAAAACAAATCTGGCATTGATAGATTCTATTAACAGCATGCATTCCGCCGTATATAATTTTTGTAAAAGGCATGGTTCTAGGACAAGGATTTAAATGAACAAAAACACAACAATGCGGTTAAGAATAAGATACAAGAATATACCATGAAATGAGGAATGGCTCTCTAAGGTAGTTATAGACACTGATGATCAAGTTATCATTGGTAACAGCATCTATTTGAGGCCCCGGAAACTGCCCATTAATCAAGATCCCCTACAAAATCGAAACCAACAACCACATTGAACCAAAACATCTTCAACAAAGACTACCCATCCATTTTCTCAGCGTAAAGTAAAGAAAAAACACTTGCTTTCTTAGAAAGAGCAGAAGAAACCACTAGATCAACAAGGAACAACAGTGGCAGTTAGTACCTGTTGCTTAACACCAAGAGGGTAAATGTCACCATAAGTGACCTTCCAAGTGAGGTACCTATATGGGTCTTCACACATGACGGAAGTAAAGAGAAATGTGACTAGAAGAATGCGAGAAGAGAGAAAAATGCATTGTGTCATTTTGCATACAGTGAGTGCAGAATAGGAAGAGTCTTGATGTTAAGTTGTTGCTTGCAATGTGAAGATCTATGTGATAGATCTGTTTAATGTTGTAAAACAAAGATTAAAGCACGGGTCAATAATAGAGAAGACAACCTACACTCAAGTCTACAACTATACAATGTCTCACTTTTCCAGTTTCTCCTTGCCTTTGTCCTTTATTTCTTTTTTTATTTTTGTTTCGACATTTTTGCGTAGTGCAACTGTGACAAAATGAAAGTGGAGCTGTACGGATTTAATATTTGACAGAATAAAATGCGATTTTATTTTTAGTTTTAGCCTTCATTAAGTAAATAAATATGACAAATTTATAACAAAATATATTTGTTTATTTTCAGTTATTTATTTTTTATAACTGAAATTAATAAAAACAAATGTTAACCTAATAAAAATAAAAGAATAAAAGGAATAAGAGCTGTAACTTACGGGAACATAAATGTCTCAGAAGTGTAACCTATTGTTCTCTAACCATATTAATATAATTGTATTACATTATTAACATAATCGAAGGATTAACAGAATAGTTATTAAACTCAAATCAAATTGACAAAGCAATTGATAATATAACCTATTTTATCATGTATAATTAATTATATGTTAAATCATTAAGAGTTACAGTACCAAAAGAGTTCAAAAATTGTGTTATTAAATACGAGAGAATCGCACAAACTACATTAAAACTGAATTTTGTGATAAAATATTTAATAAATAAAACCAATATAATCATTTTAACATTTTTTAATTTAACCACTAATAACCATAATGGGATAAATTGACAATTTATATTATTGTGAAAACAAATTTGAAGACATTTTTATATTTAAAATTATATATGTTTTATACACAAACCTCTGCATCTAGTTGTTTAAGTTACACCAGTGGATAAATAACACAATGAAGCAAAAATATAATTTCTTTTTATTTATTTTGAAACATGACAACATGGCTACAAGTACATTTTAAACGTTTTTTTTCCTTGTACAAATTGTAGCGGATAAGTTGTTGTGTACTTGATTTTAACTATTGAATAATTACATGAAATATATGTTGTATAATTATTTTGTTTTAAAAAAATGGTATGTTTATTGGTGATTATTTTGATCTATTTAACTCAATAATAATATAAAAAAATATTAGAAAGATAGAATTTTTCGTGAAGGGGCATGGCAGGGTCATCGGTTCAGTTTTGTATGGTAGTGAAAGCAAAGAAATATGGGGTGAGCTGTCAGCGTCTGGGAACCACAGCAGAGGAGGGTCGTGATCACATGTTCAGAGTGGTCCCCACTCACCTGACCATGGATATTGGATTGGATTCCATTCGTATTTTGTGTCCAATTTTTCTTAATATTCCAAGTCACATGCATCTGACATTTTAAATCACCTACTCAAAAATACAAAACTGTTAGTGGTCAATCCTATGAACATTTTACTTCCACTGCACCAAGATGTTTTAGACATTTACAGTAATATTTTATTTTTTATTATTTTATATATATATTCATTTCTATCATAAGCTCTTGCTATTTTAATTTCAATCAAGAACTTATTTTTATGAGAATATTTTGAACAAAACTGTTATACAAGACTTATTTTATTGTCTTAGAATCCTCGATTTATAAACAGCGTGATGCGGGGATAGCTCAGTTGGGAGAGCGTCAGACTGAAGATCTGAAGGTCGCGTGTTCGATCCACGCTCACCGCATTAATCTTTTATCTTTTTTCGTTGATGATTCCAAAATTGATGGTAGCAAATAGCGAAATGCATGGCTGGCGTGTACAGAGAATACAGGGAGGGTCATGTTCATTATGAGTCTATTGAGGAGTTAGTTCCATGGTGGTCCCACCCAGTAAATATAGCATAGCATGTTAACAACTTAATGAATACAATTCTAAGTCCTCTGTAAGACAAAGCTTAGCATTACTAAATTTCTTGTAATCTTTCAGCGATGTAAACGTTGGAATATTATCCCTGGGAGTGGCATCGTGATTTCAATGGTGATCGCAAGAATAAAGAACCAGTTACCATCTCAGCAATAACGCATTGCTTAGCCACTTCGACTAGGACCACAGTGAATATGCATCATTTTAAACAAAACATACTCTATTTAAAACCGTAATAAAACCTCGAGAAGGAGACTGACATTCATTCATGGCAACAGCTAATAGCTAAATGAGAGGATTAGATGGCAAATATTTGGATTTCCCAACGACATCAAAAGGAAAAGTTAAAGTCAAGGCAAAATACCAAACCAAACCAAGTCACTATATACGAGTCTAATATAGGAATACTAAAATCACCATTACTTGAATGCGTCACGTCACAAACCCCGTATTCGTTTAGCTAAACTTTTGGTACTATTAAATTATTTTGCCAGGTTTGGGCCAAATTAGTTGGTAAAAGCACCTGTTATTTAGCAGCCGCATTGAATTAATATACTACCAATTGTTCAACATTAACGTCCCCTCACCTCTGCGACTGCCATAACACGTTTCACGTTCAAATATTCAGTTAATCAACTCTTTCAAACACAACTACTATTTAAGGCAAATTAGATTTACAGGCTAAAATAAAATGGTATTAGAATTACAAAATAGTATGTACGCCTTCAAACTTAAAAAACAGCAAATACCGTAATTCCAAAATGTAAAATCTTTCATGGAATGGAAAGGGTGATAGAGAAATTTCAACCAAAAGCAGGTAGACAGAAGTTCGGAAAATGAACATTCTGACCCGTGTACAATGTCAGTAAGTTCTCCCACCATACATTTTTCCTGTAGTCTATACAAAATTGCATGCGAAGCATGCCTTAGATACAGAAACAGCAGAGTGAGAATTCCCAGATTTTCCAGAGCAGAATTGCTCGCAAGAAATTGTGAAAAGCAGACCATGATGATCACTGGGCAAAACAGGAAGAGAGAATACTGGTGTCAGCAGCCATTCCTGTAGTCTATACAAAATTGTATGCAAATACTGGTTTCACCAGCCAGATTCTCCAGAGCAGCATTATTTACTAGAAATTGTCAAAAGCAAGCCATAATGATCACTGGGCAAAACAGGGAGTACCAGTTGTTTTATCTCTTTTCTTGTTTTCTTCTCTTTGTTGTATGACACACCAGCTATTGCATCCATCCCAACCATGTCAATACTGCTTATCTTAAGATCACGAAAATGGCAAATAAAACGATCTAATCGCTTTTGGAGAGTTCGGTTGCCTGTCAACATCTGGTTTGACTTGGTGTCGTATGTCCAACCACTTTCATTTGGCCTTACTTGAGACCAGGCATCAATCCATTCATCTTGTAAAGGATATTGACCGTCCAGTTTGTCATCCCAGTTCATGTCACCTCCAAAAACAACATTTGGGTATTTCTTGAGAAGATTCAGAGCCTCATTGGCCTGCTCTACCCGTTGCTTGCTGTACATCTGATCCCATTTCGGGGGGCCTGGACAGGGACTCTCAAGATGGCTAGTGGCAATAACCAATGACTTGCCACTTCCAGATTCAACCTCAGCAATGCAAAGTTCTCTTCCCATTACAGAATTGTCAAAGGGTTTGTTGCTGAAAGATTTCACAGGCAGCTTGCTTAACTGCAATTGATTGGACAGAGAGGAATGTCAGTATACATAACTCTCCTTGCCAGATAAAAATGCTTACCCAAAGGTATATATATAACTTCCAACTCATGCAAAAATACTTCCAGCGAAAGAGGAGGAGCCATTAAAACCAAAACAGCAACACTAAATTCACAGGATAAACCATCACAGTCAATATAAATATTATAATATATCAGCATAGAACTATCTGAACAAGAACAAATTTGATCCTACTTTCTATAGACTCCCGTGAACAGACTGCATGTTAGCAGACTAAAAAACAACTGTGCCAATCAGACCCGAAATGGTGACAGATACTAATTTTGAAAAAATAACCACATCATCAAAGATTCAAAATAAATGCACCATTAGTCCTCAAACAAATATACAACACGACTATAAAGGGGGACAAACTCTAAGACACCTCTATATATCAAAACAAAGTCAAAAAGATGAAAGATACTAAATTTACCACCATACAAAAGTAGGGTCTTGTATCAGCCATCTCAGAAGAAACCGAACAACGATATACTTTCCACCAGGTGGATTGCTTGAAAATGTCGTATATATTGGGAGTAACCTCCTGCGGAACTAGCGGCCCAAATTAGACGAAGACCCATAAATTTCAAAGTACAACAAACGAAAAAAACAAGGTATTAACTATAAACAGGGAAACCTGGAAACAGATAAAATCAGGAGAATGTAACTGAACAAGGTCGGCAATAGCCTTCATCCTCTTGTGCAACTCCAAGTCTTCCCGAAACCAAACATTGTAACTCAATATCTTAAACGAACTAAAAGCATTTTCAGAATCAATGTTCTTGTTCTCTGCCACGTATTAAAGTCGTTCAGCTAAAATGCACATTTAGGACATTAAAACAAATAAAAAAACATAGAACGGCGCTCATCATCACCGGTGAGATTGATGGCTTTACTGGATGGCTCGACCTTCTCTGATGGTTCAGAAGAATCTTCGTCATCATCAATGTGAATGGAGTCGACGACCTTCCTCTTGTTGCAAGGTCGAAGAGGGTAGAAAACAGAGCCGACAGAAGAGTCATGATCAGTGGTGTCATTCAAGTCGTTGAAGTTGGAAAGTGAGAGAACGGAGCATCGAGTGCCGCAGACCTCGCAATTGGGGTTTTTGTAAGGGTTAAGGAAAGTGCAGGCCCTGCACGACCATTTTGGGGACGAAGAAGAAGAAGAAGACGCACCCAGTGGGGAAGAGGGAGTTAAGCAGATTTCGCATTCCGATTTTTGAGGAGGGGGGTTCACAAAGGTGCATTTTTTGCAGGCCCACGACATGGGAGATGGAATGCGGAGAAACTCCCCAATTCGGTGTCCTTTGATTTTTCTAGGGTTTCTGAAGGGAAGAGACGACGAAGAGAAGAGTACGATCAGTCGATTCATTTCAAATTCATGCCGCTTTTGCACGGCAACCAAAACGCAACCCAATGCTCGACCAAAACGACACCTACTACGAGGGCGCACGACTATCCACTTTTAATATAAAATAATTATTATTTTTAAATTAACTTTATAAATAAAAAGAAAATTATATTAAACTTGAAGGGATGAACTTGGGTTTTTATACCATTTTCTTAAATAAACTTATAAAATTTCACATTCTCCTATGAGTTTTAAATAGCACGTTAGTTATATTATAATTTTTAAATTTAAACCTATATACCTCAAATTATTTGCATATGTCAATTCCTCTCCTATTTGTTTAGTTTGTTGACAATTTTTTTAAACCAGGAAGAGCGGATTTGAACACCACATCGAGAATCAACGTAGTTATTTATGTGTCTTTCATAAAGTAATAAAATATATGAAGTTACGCAAACGAAAAAATAAAACCTTAATCGATTATTATGTTCACTTTTGAATAGAATTAACTTCTTTATACATCAACCCCTTAATTTAATAGATGCATCAATGGTAGGTTTGCTTAGAAAAAAAATTGAACAATTTGTTTTTTCTCATCTCAAATTTTAGTCTCTTTTTTCATTAAACAAGGTCCGCTTGTATATAAGTCGATCAAGACCCACTAAAGTTCAAGAGTTAACTGTCAATGGTGCAATTTTTAATCTCAAGCTACCATTTTTCCTTTTATAAAATATTATTTAAAAAAAAAAACATGTTTTTAATTATAATTTGATTTTTTTAACAGCACAAGTTAACAAAAACAAGCAATATATTTCCTTGTGTAAAAAAAAAGAAAATTTTCTTCATGTATCAATTTCTACATAATATGACAAATATATAAATTGAAACTTTATATTCATACAAGATTAAAGTCATTTTCAAAAATGACTGAATTTCTTAATCCATTTTCATATTAAACACATTATATTCTTAATCTATATTATTAATAAATTTCATTTGAATCATGTGTATCTATTCCATAATTTTAAGGCACGTGTAAAGTAAAACAACATGGTACCATGTTCTCTGGAAATGAATTATGGTCGATGGGAGTGTAAGGCGCACCAGCACTTTCTATTTTGGAAAGAAATTTTGCATCCTCTGCTAGACAGCTACCTTTCAAAACTGAGTTTTTATTTTCTTACTGGGAAAATAAAACCTGAATTTTTTTCTATTTTAGTTAGCTCTTTTTTAATTTTCCGTAGATAAAAATATACAGAGACAATTTCAACCCAAAAAAGGAATAGCGAAAATAGAAGGGCAATGGAAAAGAAACTTGAAGGGGGAACAAAACTCATGATCATATCCAATGGCCAGAATCATGGGCCTCCAACACAACGATGATAGCCACATTATGAATTTGTGATACATATTCTAAACAAATTGATAAACAAATATGATTTTAAGAAATACATACGTTAATTACAAGAGGCCCACGAAAAATTATTAACACTAGTTTCTTAGAAAAGGAACCATCTATCATAAGCACTATCATAAGGTTAAAGCTACAGATTATGCACGATTCCTTTTTCTCTCATGATCTTATCCTTAAATCTAAGAATTCAAAATTCCAAATAGAAAAAAAAAAAAAATTGAATTATTTGCACCTCATAAAAGGACTAACAACAAAGTAGGGAGATAAGCAGCCAAGAAGATGTGCAAAATGTTGATAATTGCACTTATTTTTATGTTGTTAAAGGTTTTGAACCTCAACTTCTCCCCTGCACTGCTTGACTGAGTAGAGTTCACCACATCCTTTGTCTTGTTGCTCACTTTTTTGCTGCATCACATCGAACGAGGAATCAATCACAGTTAGGTAAAGATGCAGGTTGTTCAATAAAATTCTAAAGTTCAGATTTTGCGCATAACAAAAATGCTATTAATAGGAGCATGATATTTTATAAAAACACAAAGGCAACTAGACAGAATATTTCTTACCTTCCAGGAAATATACAGCTCCCGTGACCTGCAATGCGAGGGTATTCCCCACAAAATAAAAAAATATTAATCACCAGTGTTTTTTATACCTAGAATAGACAACAAAGTGAAAAATAAACAAAATCGTGGAGCCCATTTTGCACTGATCCAATCTCTAAAGTACTTGTGCTTCCACGCAAGAGTACAGTAAGAAAGTGCCCCGTAAAAAATTGGAGAGCAAGAAAGTTACAAGTGAAGGTAATCTATATACACGGTCCAGAATCTTTGCAATTGTCAGGGGAAACAGGGTGCTATTACTCTCAGACAAACCAGTATCCAACTAGGACATGGAGTGGGTGCCAGTCCATGGCGATTCAATTACCACTTCCCTTTTTTTTTATTTCATTTTTCACACCAACAAAAGTTCCTTTGGAGTGCGTGGGCACCACACACAAATGCATTTCATTTCACTCCATTCCAGAAATCATTACCACAACACAGTTCTATTTTCAAATCATTTCTCCTTTTCCAATTACTAGCAAAGTTTCTCACACTACTCACAAAAGTGTAATTTTACTGTTCCCTCAAACAATTAATTCTGCTACATTACCATAAACTTAAATAAAAGTAATCAAATTAGGCAAAACAAGGATACAGCTATTAGCTATTCTAAATTGAACGAACACATTGTCACAATTAAGGATCCTCTAATTCTGGTTTGCAGCATAATTAAATTTGAACACAATGGCAATATCAAAGCTCAAAATTGAACTTACTAGGATCAGTGGTGGTGATCATTGCCACTCCTTTGAAGTCACAAGTGCCTGGAGTTCTGCCTTCTTTCTGGTAGTAACTATCAAACGCATAAGAAGCATGGTTCTTCACACTATTAGGCTGGTAACAACTCTCTCCAGGCTGAATCTCGGAGCAATTCGCGCGCCCCGGCCCACAGGCCCAATCAAGCGCAGCCTGCAATGTCTTAGAATCAAAGCCATCCATGGCAATGCAGTATGTCTGATTGGTGGTATCATTGGCCAGAAAAGTCCCAATTCCGGACACATGAAGCAAATACGCCGGCGTGGCGTTCCCATAAAACAAACCCCAATTGGCCTCCGACACCGGCGGAGACCTCAAATCTTCATTGAACAATTCATAGATAAAAACACTGGAAGTAGTTTCAGGGTGCAAAGGGGTGCCACTGCGATCAAAAACGTGCCTAATCAAGTTGGAGTTATAAGTGTCTGCATTGTCTTTGGTGGCATAAGGCTCCTTAGCATCACCCCTTGCAGGCCACCCAGTTTCCGTTACAAGAACCAAAACATCGGTGACATTAAGGTTCTTCATGGAGAAATAAGCAGCGTCGATCATGGCGTCGAGGACGTTGGTGTAGTGAAGCAAGGTGTTGGGGTCGACCATTTCCTTAGAAGGGGTGATGGGCTTGAAGAGGGCATTGTCGAGAGGAACCACCCCCTTGTTCTGCATGAAGACGTAGTAAGGGTAAAGGTTCATCATCAAGGGGGAACCCGTTCTTGAAAGGAACTGAAGGAGAGGGAGAATAACGGAGGTGAGGCTCTGGTTGAAGTAAGCCTGAGAAGGAGGAAAAGGGTCGAGAATGATGGAGGCGGCGTGAGGGGTTGAAACCTTTATCTGTTGGTGAAGGTTCGAAGCAACGAGAGCGTTGTAGAGGGACTCAATGGCGGGGAGGATAAGTGGGCCGGAGGATGGAACCGTCGTAAGGACCTCGTCGCCGACGGAGATTCCGGTGATGAGTGTGTCTGGGTAGTAAGTGACGACGTTTCGGTCGATCCATGAAGCGGCGGTGGCGTTGGAGGAACCAATCGCGAGGAGCTGGTTGTTGGGGACGCTGATAACCACACGAATCTTTGTACCAGAAAGAGCTTTAAGGATGTCGGGGTTTCCATCGTAGATACGAACGTGTGTTATCTTTTGTAACTGAAGAAACGCGACGAGGTCGGAAGCTGACGGGAGATTGGAAACATCGGTGCCGATGTTAACCCCCACGAATGGTTGCTTGTCTTGGTCTTGGTCTCGATTTTGCTGCTTCACCTGAGGGGAATGTAATGCTTCAGCTGCAAAGCAAAAATAAACAAATAACAGTGTTAATTAAGTAACAAGGAAGTTTTAGAGAGTTTGGTCGAATACCTGTGGATGAAAGGGCGAAGAAGGAGAAGGAGAGGAAGTGAAAGAGGAGAATGAATTTAGAGTTTGCCATTGAGGAGCGTCGTCCACTTCACTTCCTCATCCTCTGCTTCTGCTTCAGCTACAGATCCTTGCATTATCTCATCTAAAATTATTTATTTAGTTTACTCTTTGGGGGGTTCTTGAATGAATATTATTTAGAATAAAGGAAGGTGGATTTTTCTAAGATTGGATGACTGAACAGAAGAAGAAAGTGTAGAGAGGGTTAACAGTGATCTATCTGCCAAATGCCAACTGGGATCGAATGGGATGCTACTCTCTCACCTCTGCTCCCACTTTACTGCTCCACTCTTGTGTGCCCTTCTAGATTCCTTCCTCTTAAATTTTTCGTTTCCTCATTTCTCCAAAATACCCTTCTACTGGACCCTAAAAATAATGTCTTTTTAAAATTCTAAACTTTCTTTTGGTTTCAAAATTTGTTAAGCTTTTTCTCTAATATTATTTTATTCCCTCAGCGTTAGGAAATAAAGACATCTCACGGACTTAATATGGGAAAGAGGCCTCGCTTTCTTTGCGCAAAAGGAAGAAACTGTAAATTAAAACACTTTTTTGTCTGGAAAACCATGGTTTTTGCCTTGCCCATGTAGATCTGTTAAGTTTGCGTGGAAAATTACGCTTGGTTTTATTTTTACTTAATTGAAAAATAAAAATTGTTTTTTCTTTTAAGCTAGAAATTGCTTGTGTGAAAATTAAAACAAAATAAAATAAAATTTCATAGATATAATAGAAGTAATTAATTCATGAATTATGATTATTGTAGTAAAAAGCATGCTTACTACAGGGAAGCGAATAAGCCTGGTGCTGTGTGCTTTTTAATAAAATTGTATACATAGGCCTTAAATGGAACTTAAATTTTGATACTTAAGTTTTATAAAATTAGAAAAAATATCTGAAATAATGCATAACAACCTACACGCATGAACAGTTGAAGTTATATTAAATATACACCGAATTTAAATAAATGGCCAAGTAAAATAAACCTAAAAGTGAGGAACAAACAAGGAAATATAACGAGTGGTGTTGGCAGTGATTTGAACATGTGAGGACTCTGGCAACAACAAAACAAGGCCGATTCAGAAAACTAGCAGGAGTGGCAGTTTTGCTACGGAAGCAAACAGAGAAACACAGGTGGCTTTGTTTATCTCTATGTATCAGTTAAAACGGTCATGAGCTTCTTCAGCACATAATGGAAGACATGAAGCGAACCAGAATGACAGAATCACATGTGCTCATCCCTCGTCACACCATAACTATTGGGCTATGTCACAAACATCTAATCAACCTCTCACCATTGTCAAATCTATGAATAGTTGAATACCCCGTAGTCCATCGATTGCTTGATCTCGCCAAAGATAACTTTGGGCCACCAACATGCCATTCATATTTGCAACTTTGAAGCTTTTCATTTTCATTATAATGACAATAATTTCTTAAAGAATAACAATCATCATGTTTGCTTTTAGATCTCAATATATCTCAATAAAGAAGAAAAGGGAGGAGAATATTGAGATATCCCAACTCATGCCCATTAAAATACTCTCTTTTTATCACAGTGGGGTTGCTCAGCCAAAAAAAATACAAGCCAAATGTTCCCAAGCTTATGATAAAGTTAATAGACCCTAAACTGAAAAAATGGCAAAGCTTATGATAAAGATAATAATTGACAAAGTTTTGTTGCAATCTTGCTGTTGAACTTGAAACAGTGATAAGCTGTTCTCTGGCTAAATATCTGCAATAGAAGTACATAAAACATGGAGAAGGAAGGCTTGTTAATGGTAATTGTAAGAGCTTCCTTTTCCCCCTTTCAATCACTGCTGCTTTTCCTGCAAATAGCACTTTGTCGGGTCAACTTTCTATGACTAATGATTCACCGCAACCAAAAAGTAGATTTTCCTATCAGGGATTCGGTCATACCAAACATAACATAAAATGGCAAAATTATTCTTGGCCATTTTAATAATTTGGTTATTTTCTTGTCCCTTTATATAATCTTACGTTACACAGATTGCGCACTTAATAGTTTATTGATTAACTACCAAACAATTATTATAGGATCAGCGTCATCAAAGGTAGCAGAGATGTGCTAATTGAATTTAAAATGATTGCAAAGACAGACTAATGGGCAGCGTGTAGCAAGTGTTAGTTTGGAAATTGACTGCTAACTCACGGAGAACAAAAACATTGGTGCAAAATAAAAGAAGGCCGAATCAATTAGCCCATTATGAAACAGGCTATTGTAAACATGCCAACCCAATTAAGCTAGGTCCACTCTTTCGTTAGTGTATATATGTGTGTGAACATGTTAATTTTGTAAGTTGACCAACGAAAGAACATGTTAATTTGTAACAGACACGAATGGCAAATTATAATTTAACCTGATTTTCTATTAGGAGTATCTTCTTGTGAGCTGTCAAACATTTCACTAACGACAGTTAGTAAGAATTTAATTCGTATCTTACAAGGATGCGAGTTTAATCTTATTGTCAATGTGATGTTCTCATTGATGTATGATACATAAGTAAAGTGTTTTTTGAGCTTTGAAGTATGTCCTGACCCTAACAAATCATCCAGACCTAACTCACTAAACCTTTTATTTTTTGGTAATTCAACTCATGTAAACTTCTGTTTATCAAACAAATAAAAAGCTCATCACATTTCTTCTGTTAACGATTTTAGATTCAACGATTCTATTTAGTTGGAATTGGTACGAAAGAAGCTCTTGAATTTGACTGGATAATTAATATTAACAATTAGCCATTTTTTACATTTCATCGTAATTTCCCTTTTTACCCCCAAATTAATAGTTGCCATCTGTATTCGTAGTGAATTCGTATGAAAATTGTTCGAACTAATTAGCAATAGAATTTACACACACATTGTGTCTACAGCAAAGACACCACTCAATATATAATTTTTGGGTCAACCAAAACTACTTTATATTGTGTTAAACGGATGCGAATCCAAGTAATATATAAACATCAAGCCAAGCATAATAACAGGTCGTTTCAACTTTCCCCATTATGAAACACCCCCAAATAAGCTAGGCCCGTTCCGTTGCTAGTGTTAGACAATTATGACTTTTTTTTTTAATTATATTTTAAGAAACTGATTTTTAAAAAAAATTTATGATAACATCTTTTTTTACATTCTCCTTGTTTTTTTAATTATATTTTTAAACAAATTTAAAAAACTGATTTTTTTAATGATAACAATTTTTTTTTACTTTTAAAAAAATGTTTAAAAATAGAAAACAAGCTCTTCCCATATTCTCCTCCCCCAATGACGACCCCCCCCCCCCCCGGGGAAAAAAAGATCAGTTGACCCTACAAAAAAGAAAAAAAGGAAGCTAAAATGATGATATCGAACTGTTGGGACAAGTTTAACACAAACTAAATCGCAAAGTATGAAATTTCACAAGATAACATCAGTGATTGATCGAAGATATCCCGATATTCAAAATGGAAAAGGGCACAGTCCTATATCATTATAAACAAATCACTCATCTAGAAAAGAAGAAAATCAATTACTCCCCTACATAATGTCTTCTACAAACGACCACGGTAAGATGGTCTAAACTATTCCAAACTCAGGATCTTATTTTGCTAAACTAACGTCAAAACTTCTCTATTCCCACTTCCAATTGAGTTACCAGAATCTGAATGAATGGTATACCCGTGTAGTGTAAAGAAGGAACCTGTACGTATACTCACAGTTAAATTGCAACCCAAAAAACAAAATTTTCCCCGACAAGTGACAACTCTCATCGTAAGGCATTCACAAATGCCATCAATGAATCAACATCTCTCTTTTCCGAGGGATACTTTATTGGGCGAGACGAATGCTTAGGGAAAAACAATATTGTGGGGAAGCTTTCCAACTCCAGTTCACTCTTTGCAAACTCTTTATGCTCTCCATCTGCTCTAAATTTTCCAACCTTAACCCTTGTCCCCGCTAACTTCTCTGCCAAATCAACATAAGAATCCTCCATAGCCTGTTGTAAATGCAATTCAGAACATAGATCTCATTAGAGAGAACAACTATTTCAAAACCATATTGATTAATGTGTGAGATAATCTTAATTCATAACAGAATAAAACAAGTTAAAGGAAATGTTTTTAGTTTACCTGGCAGTAGGGGCACCATGGAGCATAAAGCACAACAAGCCAGGGTTCTTTTCTGTCCTCCAATTTTGCCAAATTTTCAATCCCAGTCCTGCTCAAGTTAACCACATTCTGGGTGTTGAAAATGTCAGCAACGGTGGCAGTGCCATTTGCATGAGACACCCCATTTCCATTAATCTGGGCAGCATCCTCCTGCTTTATATTTCCTTTGTGAAGACCACACTCTTTAGCTTTGGCATCCTCCCACCACCACCTCCCTTCCCTTTCATGCTGTCCAGGCAAAACAGCCCTCGTGCAAGGCTCACATCCAATGGAAACATACCCTTGCGAATGTAAGGTATTCACAGGCACATCCATGGTTCTAAGGAAGTTCCATATATCATGTCCTTTCGCATTGGCAACAGGGTTCCACTTCACCAGGCTACCAATTCCGCCCTCCATTCCCTCAAAAACCGGATCAACCTGAACAACCGGTATTTCTGATCTAGTACCCGGTGACTGATCCTTTCTCTGCCCAGTTATCCATGCTCTGAGACCCTTAAGTGCCCTCCTCAAGGGTCTCACCTTCCTCACCCTGCAACATTCTTGATGCCCATCCTCATAGAACGAGAACAACCCCTTGCTCCTCACCAATGCCTGAACCTCAACAGCATCAGGGAACATGTACTCTATGCGAATTCCATAGTGCTTCTCAACCGCATAAAAAAATCGATACGTTTCAGCGTTCAGTCTCCCAGTGTCCAAACTGAAAACCCTAAACGGTCGACCCGTCAAGCGTGCGTACTCAATCAAAGCAACGTCTTCTGCACCACTGCAACCAGAATTCACAATATAGAAAATGTTTAGGGAGCAATTTCAATCATGCGTAGAACGCACAATTAATTCCAACACACACCTGAAGGCAATCGCTATGTCGTTGCCGAATTTCTCGAGAGCTCTGTCCATTATTTCAAGAGGCGAAGCATTCTCAAGATCAATTGCTATCCGTTCAAAATCTTCCTCTTCCGCCTCAGTAAGCTCTGCAAATTGAACGGCGTCATGGTCGGCACGTGCATCAATCCGACTCTTTCAAAAAGATAGAATGCGTTTTTATTCAAATGTACCAGAAGCAACGACGCTTGCTGCGAGGGGAACATGGGAATCCTTTCGTTGAGGTTCTGCGTAAACGGGCTTTACCGAGCTCCTTCTTTGGGATAATAAATTAACAGATGCTCCATTGGGCCTATCTGAAATCCTAACCGGCCCAATTTGCGGAACTGAAATTAAAAGAAAAAAAAAGGTATGAATACATCAAATTCATAAAACTAATAATGTGAAAAGAGAGAGAGAGAGGCATTAGTAATCAGTTACGTTTGGGGTCTGATGATGGGAAAGTGGGAATGGCAATGGAAGAAGGGAAAGCGATAGCCATTACGAATTACGAATGTTTTGTGTTCTGAGAAATGGTTTTCCCCTTGAAGGAGGAGAAAAGAGAGTTGGGTGGCTATATAAAAGGGAATGGTTCGTTGAACCTGGACATGTTTGAGGAATGCTTACGTGGCATGTGTCCACTGGAAGATAGCAAACCTGTGGCCTCATCGCTTCCGTCAGATCGCGTTCTTCCACCATTTCCCGGATTCTTCTCTTCTTCTCCCTTTTCCTCTGTGATGAAATATCTCAGATTGTCCGTTGGATTACGTTGTTTCAAAATTTTAGCAAAATGCTTAAATGAAATGACGAGTGATGGTTGGATTCAGTTACGTATCCATGCATTTGCGAGAAACTTCAAATCTATAAAATATGTTTTTATTAAATAAGATTAAAAGGGAAATATTTTTGTATCAGCATTAAATTAAATAATTTGTATTTGTAAATACATGTCATAAAGACACATGCTAATTCCGTACATAAATACATATGATGTGGTTTATTCATATTCCTCCCAAATTCTCCGACGCTTTACTTCAATTCCAATTGTATATGGAAATCAACACCCTTTGGAGATGCGAAGGGATTTGATATTTTCAGAGAATTTTGCAAAATCCCTACACTGTGAAAGAACGAATGCACCATTGAAGAATGGAACAGCATATATGATTGCAAAGGCGATTCCATTTTTCAATTATTAGAATAAGAATTCAGCAATTATTTAATAAACAACATTAACTTATCAAAAATAATTAAATATTTTATTAGATCAGAAGGAGTTAGAGGAACCTCCCATGGATGAGCATGGTACAATATGTAAGAGATTCGAACTAATCGATTTGTTTACAGGTATACCCAGAAGATACCAAAAGCTTTTCAGAAACCCAATGGCCCTTCTGGATGGGGGAGGGGGGTATAATTTTTTTCGTTTAGCTTATAAAAACCTTTTGTGTACAGAAAACTAAAATTTATTAATAAATCGTTTTATGAAACTCTCGATCAATATTGTTTTTGTGCCTGTCATACATAATATATTACATAAAGTAAAAAATGATTGTTGTGGCTACGGCACGCACGTCTTTCACGTTTTGTACTAAAATATGTCGTTGTGAAACGCTGTTCAAAAATATTTTTTACTTTAATAATAGAATGGAATTATTTTCAAATTATATAAATATATTTTAAATCTGCCACAATTAATTATTTAAAACACTAAAACAAGATTTAATTATATTTTTAAAGTTTAAAATTATATTTAATCTCAAAATAAACTAAATAATATTGAAAACGTTTTCTTTAAAATTCTTACTTATAGACGATAATGATTAAAAAAATTGCTATAACTATTATAAAAAAAAAAACCCGCCTTGATATTTTATCACTATTCCCCCGGAAGCAGGAACTCACGCATCGCTAGTTCTAGTGACAGACACTGACCAGAGTACTGGTTAGTCACCTCTCAAATTTCTGAATCATGAGTTTGATTATAGTTTGTTTTTGAGCTTAGATCGTATGGTTAACTTATAGGAATTAGTTTTTCTTGTGGTGTTTGTTTGGTTTATTTCGTTCCCGTCGATACCCATTCGTCTAAACGTGGCATTTTGTTCATAATTTGTGACACCTTGGTGGGTTTTACCATTCATAGTTTACTCATCTTGTTTAGTCTTAAAAAGAAAGCAATCTGAATCCGTTATTGAGCTTTGCTTTTCCAACTTCTCGTGTGACGTTTTGTCAGCTGAAATTGCTGAAAGGGTGTATGTTCGACAATTAAATCATATAAATTTATTTACTTTATTAAAGATGGATTATGGGGTTTAATTTGCTTGTTTTTTCTGGCTTGTGTTGCAGTTGCAGAAGGAGGCATTGAATATGGCTGACTTGTTGGAATGGCCAAAGAAAGATAAGCGCCGCTTGCTTCATGTTGTCTACCGAGTTGGTGACCTTGAACGCACTATCAAGTTGGCTTTTTGACATGGGTCTTTGCATTCTTACATTCTTTGTGTTTAATTAGATGATTAAAATTCCCTCACGATTCTCTCAGGTTCTACACTGAATGTTTTGGAATGAAGCTTTTGAGGCAAAGAGATGTTCCGGAGGAGAAATACGCTAATGCTTTTCTTGGATTTGGCCCTGAAGAATCCCATTTTGTTGTCGAATTAACATACAGTATGTTACTTTTCTAGCCTTTTCCATGTTGCATGTTGTTCACACTGATTGCGTGTAGCTTTTTTTAAGTACAATGATGTATGGTTTTGATTCTTTTTCTCTTGGCAACTACTTTAAAATTTGTTTGTACTGAACTACATGTTGCCTCTGCGCACAAGGATTTTTATAGTGTTATAACTATTTAAATCTATGATCTTATTGTCAGATTATGGGGTGACCTCGTATGACATCGGAGATGGCTTTGGACATTTTGCAATTGCAACTCAAGATGTAAGACAAAGTCTTCCTTTATTCAAGCTTGAGTATCTATTTAGTATTTACACAGTTAATTAAATGAGCTGTTTATTGCTTCAATTCTTAGATTTACAAATTGGTTGAACACATCCGAGCCAAGGGTGGAAATATCACTAGGGAACCTGGTCCAGTTAAGGGTGGGACAACTGTTATTGCCTTTGTGAAGGATCCTGATGGTTACACTTTTGGACTCATCCAAAGGCCTGTAATCCGTGACCCATTTTGTCAAGTAATGCTTCGCGTTGGTGATTTAGAGCGTTCAATTAAGTTTTACGAGAAGGTAACAGTCCAAGATTTTTTCATATGTAGTCCAGCCCTGTTGTTGCAATTTGCATAAGCGAAAAACCGTTATAGAACCATGCCCCATGGGCTGTAGCAGTGGGATAATTCTTAAGGTTGCGTGCTGTATAACTGTATTCAATCAGAAGCATTCAATATGAACATCCAAGTAAAGCTTTCTCATTCAAATCAAAACAAGTTGAGTTAAGGCTTTTAGTTAGTTCCATGGAAATTCTTTTCTGAAGTTTTAACTTTGTTGACCTGCACTCTATTTGTCCATTTCACTTTTTCTATATACAATGGACGAGTTTTGTCAGTGGGTTCGAATGCTACAAGATCAGCTACCTGCATTGTTGTGCTTTACTATATTTAGCAACTGCTGAAAGACTGAAACTTGATATGCTATTTTGCATTGAACAAATGTTTGGATTACTTGCTATAAAAGGATCAGAGTAGGAATTAATAGCTTTTGCTTGTGATGCACAAAATAGCATCACAAAATTGACGTTTGATGAATTACGATTTAAATTTTTGTTAAATTAAATGCATTTCATTAACTAAGGCAATTTCTTTGGGGATCATATTTGCACAGGCTTTGGGGTTGCAGGTGTTGAGGAAGGTTGATAAGCCTGACTACAAGGTGAAATTTCTTCTTTCCTAAATCTTAGCAATGTACTTACTAGCAGGGACATTTTTCATGTGCAAGCCATTCTTGTAACTCGCAATATGTTGCATGTCTTACAGTACACTATAGCTATGCTTGGGTATGGAGAGGAGCACGAGACAACTGTGTTGGAGCTGACATATAACTATGGTGTCACTGAATACTCTAAGGGAAATGCGTATGCACAGGTTAGTGAGGAGGTTGTATTACCTTCTCGTCTTGAAGCCTAAACTGGTTTTCTACTCTTTTCTCAGTTTCTGTGCTACTTAATGATAAAATTAATGTGTCATATATAACAGATTGCTATTGGTACTGATGATGTATACAAGAGCGCTGAGGTAGTTAACCAAGTCATACAAGAGGTTGGAGGGACGATTACTCGGCAACCAGGGCCAATTCCGGGCCTCAACACGAAAGTCACTTCCTTTTTAGATCCAGATGGATGGAAAACTGTAAGATCCCCCCTCCTCTTCGACTACAAAACCTGTTTGCTCTTGGGTCTGATGATACCATCTCTAGTGTCATATAAATTTTATATTTGAAAAGTGAGATACTTGGGTTCTAGATGCTACCTTACATGACCCAAAGAAACATGGATTATATGTTAACCTATGAGTGGCTGGTTTATTAAGAGAACTGGCATTATTTTGATTTTAAACCTTTGATGCTGTTGAAATTACTTATGGGTATGACTTATGAACAAACCTATTTAAAACCACTAGTCTCTATCATGATTTAGTGATGATGTGAGATACATCTAAATTTATGATCCTAGGCTGTTAGCAACGAATTTGAGGTGGCATATGATATGACGTGACTTGTTTATATGTATAACACGTCATAAATATGTGATGGTAGGGACTATTTAAAAATAAAATAAAATTATGAAGACCAAAATCAACAAAATATAACTAGAGGACTTAACCGAAATTCCGTCATATTTAGAGGGATTACTGGATTAAAACATATTTTACCATAAAAAGAAAATTATTTGTTTCAACTTTTTTCATCATCATGGAGAGGGCATTCACTCTGATCAGCAACCTAGACTGACTATAAAAGTTAAATTTGGAATTACCATTATCTGATGATATGTTTTGTTTCTTTTTATTTTTGGTAACTCTTTGCTTCCTTCACCTTGTTTGGAAAAGTGAAACCAAAATTTTTGTTATTTTATAATTGAATGGTGAATAGCTACACTACTTTACAAATGCTTTAATGCCAATAGGTTTCTAACTTCATGTTTAATTTTAGCATTTTGCATGAAAAGTAAGGTGCTTTATTACGTGACAAAGCTGTTGATTGCCTTCCTTTTTCTTCAGTGGTATTTTGATTCTTTCTTAACATGTGAGAAAAAAAGTGAAGTGGCATGCCCTTTGAATGTGTTCTATATGGCCCGAATCAGCTCCTCTTTCTTGTTTTAATTTTCCGGAATATTTATAATTAGTTGGTTGTATGATTCATTTTATAGGTACTGGTTGACAATGTTGATTTCTTGAAGGAACTGAAGTGAAGAGAGCGAGCTTAACACGAAATTAGTAGTCGTGGTGCTTTCGTATGAATAAGCTGTCTCGTATTTTATCATTGTGTGTGTGTGTGTGTGTGTGTGTTACATCAATGTACCAGTGATCAGCATGTTTGCTTGCTTTTATGGGATTCTATGCACAATTGAAACCTCTGTGCGTATGCTACATTGCTACCTATAATTAATCTACAAACTAATCTGTCACATGTTGAGTCCGGTTTTAAAATCGGGTTAATTCATAACTTTACTGTTATATATTTTTTAAAAATTATTATAGTTTTATTTTAAAATATTTATCGATTTTAATAAACATTCATATTATTTAATTTTTTAAAATATGAATTAAGGAGATAAATTGTTAAAAATTGTTTCTTTTGGTCTTGTTTATTAAGCATCTTCTAAATTTTTTTGTAAGATACTTCATAGCTTTTATAAAGTATTAATTTTTTTTCTTGTCATCTTTATTAAGTAAAATTAGTGATAATTTGAATTAAAATTAATAAAAATAAATATTAACAATGAGTTTAAATTGAATAATATTAATTAAAAATATATCACATTATAACTTTTTTTTTCAATAACCAACTTTAATTATCTATATAATTTAGTTATGGCCGATTTATAAGAAAATTACAGAAAAGTAACATTTGAAAATTCTTATAATAAGAATAAGACAACTTGATTTTACATGCACATTCTCGCCTGCCGACAAAAGCCTTGAGCATTTTTTGCTGGGTGAAATGAAAGAAAGGTTCAGAAAGGATAAAACAACATAAAGGGGGAAAAGGCAGAATTTATTGTAAAAAAGTTTACCTCTCTTTTCACCCAAATTAGAGGAATTTAGGAATTTTCATTTTTTTTTCAATTAATACTAACACGTGGTAACTTAAATTCTGACCTGCCCTCCCCCAAACCAAAACACACAGGATTAAGGAAATTTAATTCCCTAAAATCCTAGTTATTTGTGAACCAGTTAATGAAAGAAGAAAATCATGGGCTGGCTTGTTCATTCATTTATTTGCCATAATTCACAGTCATTATTTATATACTCTGGTGACTAGTTCACATTGCAATATGAAAGGAGTGTTATGGAATTAAGTGTCCAGGAATAGGAGTTTGCACTTAAACTGCGCCTGTATACCAGCATACACTCCACTGTTAAAACTATCATGATACTTCAAAGTGCCTCCTTAGGAGATGAAAAGAATTTTGAAAGAGGTGAAAAGGGCAATGCTTTTAAAGGATACTTTCTCCCCATGTCTCTTATTGAAGATGAATAGCACCGACTGTTGCTCCTAGTTAAGGCACAGAAATTCTATAAAACTGTGTCCGTAGGATAACAACCAAGAACTCGAAGAAATCTAGCAAATTCCTGAAATGGAAAAAAAAAAAAAAAAAGATGTTACCAAAAATGAGATAGCATTTTATTTGAAAGATACCTTTGAAGAGTCCTAAACACGGTTAAAGACTTGAAGTTGGAACACAAAATACATCAATATAATACCTTTTGTAAAGACAATTTATTGTTCTCGTTGTATAATTTGACTCGTTAGTCGTCAATAATTGAAAATATATATTATTATATGATTATATCAGTTGCACCCACAATATGAAATATGTGACTCAATAAGAAACAAAATATTAATTCGAGTTGATGAGATAATGGGTGGACCTGCAACTGTCCTAAAGCATATTGTGCACGAGGTTCTGCCATTGAAGCTTCAATGTCAATGTAGAAGAGGTAGTCAAAGTACCTGCCACCAGAAAAATTTTATGCCTAAATAATAGTTTCACAATACATTTCTGTACAAAACACCAGAATCCCTGGATCCATGAAGTAAACTAAACTCCATCTCAGAACTTTTTCCTTTCAGCTTTCAAATCAAAGACGAAGTACACTTTTCAGAACAAAGTTTATATTATATATGGAAGAGTACGAGGAGAAGCTTATTAAAATAAGCTCATTTTAGCTATTTCAGTAAACTTCACTATGAATAAACTCTCGTGTGATAAGCTCTAATAAAAATAAGTGCTTAATTAAGTTTTTTACCCCAACGTGCTCTAAATATAGTTATGTAAATGACTAAAGGGATTTCAACGTATCATGAACTTTATCTCATATACACTCCCATTTTCACTCATATTTTCATAAATGTTAACAGTATAAAGCATGAAGCACTGGTCCGTTTGCAATTTAAACAAAAAATTTACACATTTAATTTTACTATCTTGAACAGGGAAAAATTACTTACTTGGCACTCCCTTCATTTGTATCATCAACAACCCTTAATGGGCGCTGCTTCAGTGGGCGACTCTCTATCTGAATATACTTGAAAGAAATAAGAGCAATGAATGTGCTTTAATTACAAAAGTTCAATTTTGATTAATATAACACACCTTCTTCAAATTAATATTCCTCATAGCAAAAACTGCCAGGGCTTTGAACAGTACACCTGGGCCTTCTTCTAGACTGAAAACAATGCTAGTCTGAGAGAAAAGTCATGAACTCATCAGCCAATTCATAAAAATATAAATGAGAACTAAAATTTATGTACCGTATGGGGCCTGTCCGTTCCTGGAATTATAGGCTCCCTTGCAAGGACCAAGAAACGAGTAATAACCTCATCATCGTCCTGTCAAGATGGGAATGAATCAGCTCAACTTTAATCTTGACTTTACCGACAACAACAAACATGCTGTTTTCTACTTTTTTTGGTGTTACAACAAAACATGTTTTCCCATAAAAGCTAAAGATGGAGAAAGGAATGATTGGTAAGAATTTTTTAGAGGTAAGTATTACTCAATGTCAATGATTATGCAACCATTGATAGTTTTCTGTTCTGTGTGAACAGCCATGCACACATCAGCATCATCAGATAACAAGGCATCTTTCATTTTCTTTGTATGTTAAAAGCACAGACATTTCTCTGCAGCTTTTCAGTCACACTTAGAGCTTATATACTTGATAAGCAAGAACTTTCATTTCATCTGCAACAGAAGTTTTCAAGCAGACGACTGATTGGCACAAACAACGTATTGGCTTCCTTTTCATCAACACCTTATTACAAAATTAGAATAAAGTTCTACAAAACCAAAAGAGAGGTTGGAGGAAAATGACAAATAATTACAGTACAAATGCTCATAAAACAAAATATATCAATTTCTGTTTTAGAAAACTAATAACTAGGGTAAAGAAAAACTAATTATTTTTCACTTCTAGATGGGAAATGATGACCATAGCTCATTTTAAAAGAATGAAACAAGCATTGAGAAAATATCAAATAAGCATTGTCTAATCCTAGCTCAGAAAGGAAACCAATAACTGGAAGAGGCATCAACTCCTAAACCTAAGTGAAAAGGATATCCAATGCACTCATTTTCATGCATTAAAAAACATGTTATGATAAAAGGAAAGCATAAACTAAGGGAATAATCTTTAGCAGCTCAATCTTCCAAAACATGTAAATGAAGTCTTGCCTGAATTCTTTCTGCAAGAATGTCAAGCCCATATATTTTTGCAGCTCGGGAACTTGCAATAGCTCCAGTCTCTCTTACACCATTTGAGGCCACTCTCTATCCTCAAGAACCCAGTTGTTAGGAAATTAGGAAATGCCACTCTACAACCTAATCCATGCTTACTTTGAGACAAAAAAGAAAAGTCATAACATACCTGTGCAGCAGCGGCAGTATCATGTGCACCAATTTTGACGACACCTAAATCACTAAGTATTGTCTCACATTGAGCAAGAGCCTGCATGTAAAATTCTTCTTGTAACAATTTACAATTTTTAAACGTTCGAGGCTAGGTACTTTGTTGTCAACAGTTAAGCTTAGTTTGGTGACACGTTCAGGTGTCTCAAAAGTCTGTGCAATCATAAACCAAGTCAAGACTTGAAAGTTGGCACGTTAAGTAAGGTAAGCCAGTACTATGTCGAAAAATATTCAATTATTACATAGCAGAACTGTAAATATGATTGATGTACTTGAAAAAATTGTACTAAGGTGAAGTTGTGGCAATCTTAAGACACAATCACGCACACCCATTCACTTTGTTCAAATAGGAAAAACAATGCATCGTCTTCATTCACTCCATACCCCAATAGAAAAGACCTATTTGTAATAACCAACCTGAGGATGACTCACTACACCTTTGAGTTCCTCCTTTCTCGCACCAGGTAATCCTAAAAGGCAGTGGTTAGCACGCAACTGTACCTCCCCAACAATGTGGAGCCTATGGCGAAGAAGTAAGTCATAATTACGGTGGATGCTTCCACCAACAGAATTCTCAATGGGTAGAACAGCTTTATCCACTAGCCATAATTCAACTGCCTGCAGAGAAGAACACAAATATATCAAATATATCATTGCAGTAGTTATAACTTACAAGTCAATGCATCAAATAGAGAGGGAGAGAGAGAGGAAATAATAAAACAAGTAATGAAACCTTAAATGCAGCTTCAAAATCGTCACATGGCACAGTCTCACATTTTGGATATGCTTTCAAAGCTGCATCCTCGCTATATGCCCCTGGAAGTCCCTGTATCAGACAATTGACTGGTTAGCGAGGGCAATAATGCAATGGATATTTTATTTAAAAAGGAAACTATCGACCATCGTACCTGATAAGCCACCCGCACCTTTGATCCATCTCTTGGAGCAGAGGAAATATCAATTGCTGTTAATGGCTCTGCAATTAAGGAAGTTATGTAATTGTGATAAAAGGTAGAGTTAAATAGAGAGGGAATTAAATCACTAACTGGCTACTGCTAGCATAAAAAAATAAATTGGATGCATTATATTATGAAATTTTGTTTATCTGCATGAACACAGATCCATATGCTAGCATTGCTTCATGGTTCAAAGTGTGATTTTGACAAGTAGGGTACAATTATATAAATTATTAAAGCATCAATTCAATATACTTTAAGAAGCAATATCAATTTGATGAACATAACACAGTATAATAAAAATACAGTTGTAGTTAGCTGAGTAACCTAGAATTTATTGGTTAGGCAGCCACAAGGATTTTTCAATGTCATAAATGTTGCTTCGATAGAATTCATAATATCTGAAGTCAGAACTATATGGTGCATGCCTGCACTCAAAAAGTGAAACCCAATCTCCATCGATGCCATCATACTGAGCCAAGATTTTAGGCAGTGTCACATGCAATGGACATGGTCAATCATTTAGATATTTTAGTGTTCTATGGCATATTTAGTCTGTTGCATTTAGAAAAAAAACATATCTTACGAGAACAAATGAAAGTAATCACATCACAAATATTCTCTCTCTTCACGTAGTTTTCACTTCCAACTATTTGATTTAAGGGAGTAGGCAAAAACAAATAAAAGAGCAGGCAAATGAGGAAAAGAGACAGGTCGGGAGGGGTGATGGTCAAATTGTCTTAAGTTCAGAATATGGCGTGTCTTCTCCCTCTTTTCTCAACCTGTATACCCTTTCCTCTCAAAATTCTATTTGCAACTAATTTCAAATTTTGTGTTTTAGTTAATATAAAAGGCCTTTCCTTCAGTGTTGAACATCGTTACTGTCTGCAAAAAATAATCTAAGAATACATCTAATAGCAGAAGAAAATCATTCAGCTGCAGGATGGAATTGTAGGAAATTACAATAACATCTTTAAGAAACATAATATAATATATATGACTTGAAGGACCATCTCAGCACAATATTTCTCTGAATGGCAGTTGAACATAAAGATTAAAAATTGACGGTGAGGGAGGGAGATATGTGATATAACTCACTAGGAAGCAGGTTTATATCCTTGTGAAAGCCCTTAGAGTGATTTGGGTGAAGATCAATATCAGCCCCAGAAGAGTGAACCAAAGGGACACTTGGCTTCTCATCTTCAACAGCGGTGGTAGCTCTCTGAGCCTCAGCAAAAACACCCAAACAGCAACATTCCCATTTGCGGCATTTGTCAAGATCATATCTTAAATTCCCAATCTGAGCAGAATGAGAATTGGCAGCACCAACACCCAATTGAGGAGGGGCTTTGGAACAACCCCAGAAGGAAGAGGACACAGCCTTAAGAGCTGCCATTAAAATCTATTCTACAGTGTCAGAGAAGAGAGAGAGAAAGAGGTTCAGAGTTCATGAGAGTGGTCGTGGTTGGTGAATTTGGGTAATTCACAGCATGACATTGTCTAAAAAGAGTGAATGAGATGCTGTTGGCGCTTGGAATTGGGTGACCCCACAGAGAACAGTGCCTTGAGTTGAATGGATTCAACCATGAGAATTGAGAAAACACCAACAAATCAAAACAGTTTGCAAAGGGGTGAAGAAGAAACGGGTAGGTGAGCTGAAATGTAGATAGTTAGCCAGCTACACGTTTTCTTAGATTGTAATAATACACACTCTGCAGCCGACCAAGTTTATATATTGTATGTAACGTGAGAGAGAGAGAGAGAGAGAGAGAGAGAGAATGGACTCGTCTGATTTGAAAACTGCTTCCCCAAAAATTTATAAATTAATTCAAGCCCAACCATTGCTGGCGGTGTGTTCGTGTACAGGGACGAGGGGGAATTTTAACTATACATCTGTTATCATATTTTTTGTGAACTTTTTTATTATTATGTTAAATTATTAATTTATATAATTTTCACTAGATTTTGAGATACCAAAATATTTAACCTCACTCGATTCACATGAAAAATAATAATTAAGTTATTTATGATATTATTTAAAACAAAAAATGGTCTAGGAGCTCAAATTCTAAAATTTTTCTTAAAAAATAAATTATTGTATTACATGTAATACTTTATAAACATAATTTATGCAATAAAAACTATTAATTCAATGAAAAATTTTAAAATAAAACTGTTAATGAATAAATAATTATTGAATAATGTAGTAGGGAGCATAATTTATATTGATATAAATCTGATTAAGCCTCATATGTCCTTATACGCAAAAATTAAGATAATTAATTCTTAATTACTTAAAAATTAATGTATTTATAACAAAATTAACATTATATGTTTCTTTAGAATTTATGTAAAAAACAATATTTGATTATGTTATCATTTTTTATTCAATTTTTATAACATTTAATGCAGATAGTTATGATTAGTATGAGAAAATAAATCAATAAATAACGAGGGTAAAATTAAAGCAATGAGAATTAGGTGACTACTTAATGTTATAATAGGATTAAAAATGTATAAATTATATAGATGTGGGTTTGTTCCCAAATTTGCATGTGCGTGCGTGTGTCATGTACATAAGTAGTACTTACTAATAACAACCACATATGGTAAGATTTGAGTACCTTGTTAGAAATTGAGAGATATTAGATTTCTCCATTCCTTAATTAGATGCATGCATTTAGTGGGGATGTTGACAAAAACATATTTTTTCACTCTCAGGTCAGTTGTCAAAACAATGATAAAAAAAAATTTGAATATATTTGAGGCTTTAGAAGAAGTCTTAACTACACAGCTCTTGTGATTGTCGTTAATGAGGAACTTTCACTATAATTGTTGTGCATTTATAATTTTCATTAATTGGTTTCTCACCGTTAAGGGAGAGGATGCTTGATAGCAGCTTGTCTTACTAATAAAATCCAACACCACTGTATATGATTGTTTGACAATATTTTAATGGGTTTTGTTAAGGATATTGATTAAGATTTTTAAAAATGATTTTTTTTTTGCTAAAAAATATGTTAGATTATATTACAAATTATTTAGAGATACAGTTGTGTTAATTAATATTTTTTATGGATTAATATTGAAAGGAAGCTGGGTAGGGGGGATGCAAAAATCACCTACCAAGGGATCCCAACTACACACACTCTGGTCTTCCAAGTGTTACCAGCAGATAGCCAGGTCAATGATAAAAACGGTGACTATGTTTATATATATTTTGATGGAATAACGTTTCCACGATGAAGGAAATAAAGAAAAAAGTAAGAGGATAAAAAACAAAATAAAATATGTAACTTACATGGATGAAAAAAAGGAATTTTATTTATATATAAAAAAGAAGAAAAAGATTAAAAAATATTGACAAGGTTGGGGTGTGATGAAGGGGTGGTCGGTGGTAGAGATAGATTAGCTTGTATAGCGCGTGATGTGATTCCATCTTATTTCTTAAAGTATTGCAAATATGAATAAAAAAGCACGATGAAAACATGAAAGCCGAGCGAGGACACAGGCAAAAAGCGAAGGGGACAGAGTGACACAGTGCTGCTGGCTCATCGCACGTCCACTGCGCTTGCCCCTTTGAACAGTGACAGTAGTACCCTCACCGTCTTTCTCAATCATTCAGACCAGAATAACCTTCTTCTTCTTCTTCTTCTTCTTCTTCGTAACTCAAAGTGTCCAAAGCTGAACTCATACATTGCTAGTGTGGTGGGAGATGGCCAAGTCTAATGCTCCTCCCATTATTAAACCGGAAAATTACGCGCACAGTCCGGTTCATTACGCCGTCGTTTTGGGAGACCACACCACCCTCTCCAGAATCATCTCTTCCCTCCCACGTCTCCCCGACCCTTCTCTCATCCAAACCGAGTCCGATTCACTCGCACAAGAGAGAATTGCTGACCAGATCTCCGCCGCTCTCGACCGCCGTGACGTCCCTTACAGAGAAACCCCTCTCCACCTCGCCGTCCGACTTAACGACCTCTTCGCCGCCCGCGCCCTCGCCACTGCCGGCGCCGATGTCTCCCTCCAGAATTCCGCCGGCTGGAACGGGCTGCAGGAGGCTCTCTGCCGCCGCGCCTCCGACATTGCGCTCGTCCTCCTCCGCCTCCATCACCGCAATGCCTGGTCTAAGTGGCGCCGCCGCCTCCCCCGCGTCATTGCTGTCCTCCGTCGCATGCGAGACTTCTACATGGAGATCTCCTTCCACTTCGAGAGCTCCGTCATTCCCTTCGTCGGCAAGATCGCTCCCTCAGACACCTACAAAATCTGGAAGCGCGACGGCAACCTCCGCGCCGACACGTCGCTCGCCGGATTCGACGGCCTCAAGATCCAGCGCGCCGATCAGAGCTTCCTCTTCCTAGGCGACGGCGATCAGGTGCACGATGTCCCCTCCGGTTCGCTGCTCGTTCTTAACCGCGACGACCGCAAAATCTTCGACGCATTCGAGAACGCCGGAGGACCGATGAACGAGTCGGACGTGGCCGGATTCTGCTCTCAGACGAGCGTGTACCGTCCTGGAATGGACGTGACTAGAGCAGAGCTGGTGGGCAGAACGAATTGGAGAAGACAGGAGAAGACGGAGAGCGTAGGGGAGTGGAAGGCGAAGGTGTACGAAATGCACAACGTGGTTTTCAGTTTCCGGTCCAGGAAGGTTGCCGGCGGTGAGTCTGACGTGGCAGGGAGTGAGCAGGTCTTGCCTCTGGAACTAGACGAAGACGAGGACGGTTTTCTTGTGGCGGAGAATCCGAATTTCGGGGTTCCAATGCTCGACAAGAGAAGACACAGTAGCTTCGTTCGAGAAGAGAGGGAGTGGGTCCCACTTGGAAGGAAAAGCGTCGACCTAACGTCCATGGCGGCCCCACCTCCTCGAAGGCCGTCCACTTTGCCGCAGGCGCAGACCAAGGAGAAGGAATACATTAGAAGTTTACGGCCGTCAGTGTGGCTGACGGAGCAGTTTCCGTTAAAGACGGAGGAGCTTCTGCCGTTACTCGACATACTTGCTAACAAGGTGAAAGCAGTTCGGAGGCTCCGAGAGTTGCTAACCACTAAGTTCCCCCCGGGAACTTTCCCGGTAAAGGTGAGGGCATTCTGGGAATAATAATAATAATAAAATTAATTTAAAATTAAAATCAGATTTTGTTTTTTTGGCTTTATTATTGTTATTTGTGGGTTGAGACTTGACTGGAGCAAAGAGAAGGTCTGGTCACTGGTGGGACCCATGGGTCGGTGACTCCTCACTCTTGATTTGAACAAAAGCGAGGAGAATGGCAGGGGTCCCACACAAGATGACGTGGCATTCATGGAATGAGATCTGCCTGGCATGTCAATTTTGGGGGGGGTTGACCATGATTAATATACTCTCACATGCAATCGAATGGTAATTTGATTTTGATATGTTCTAAATAATTGTGTTTTGGTGGTGGGGTCAGGTGGCGATACCGGTGGTCCCTACGGTGAGGGTGGTGATTACGTTCACAAAGTTCGTGGAGCTGCAGCCTCTGGAGCAATTCTACACTCCCTTCTCCAGTCCAAGGCATTTGCTTAGTGGCAGAGGAGATGAACAACACAAAGCAGAAACCCGCTGTTCCTCCTCCTCCTCCTCATCCTCATCGTCGGTAGCATCCACGTGGCTCAGAAGAAATAACAGCGTGTCGAATGGGGGGAATAAGCAGCAGCAACGATGTTCTTCCATGCCATTGGATTCGGAGCCTTTCGCTATTCCTGCTGGATATGCGTGGGCCAGTGTGGATGATAAATCGCGCAAAATGAAGAAATCTAAGTCCGTCAGAAAGTCCAAGTAAAAGAATGAATAGGAATTGTGTCTTCATTTCTTAATTAGGTGTTTCTTTAACTCCATAGTAACGTCCAAAATGTAGATATCCCGTCTAATTTTTTTTATCAACTGGGGCATATGATGGGGGAAATGCTGTTGGAATCGCCCAAAAAGGTACTCAGAACCAGACCTACATTTCTTTTCTTACACTTCTGTTTTATCTGTTTTCATCAAATAGATTCTTTTCTTTCAATTTCTTATTTCTTTTCTCTCAACTTGAGCATCCAAGTGTATGTATCTAATGTATGTCAATGGTATCTTCAATCAATAGTTAGAGAATATTTTAAAAGATAAAAATAATCAAATTAAGTTTTGTTTCTTTTAATAAAAAAACCATACACAAAATATATGCATCTATTTCTATGTGAAAGAATTAGCATAAATTTAGTTATTGAAAAATTAACATCAATCTGTTAATTATGAAATTAACATGAATTGATGCAACCCGGTTTGATGTCTTCTCAACAGCACCATTTTCATGATAATGGGGAAGTCCTAGCTGATACTACTCCTGTGAGTCGGGCAATGGAACGTCCACTTTCAAACATAGCAATTGCATTGTTATATATTCTCTCTTTTTTAAATATGTTAAGGTTATTTTTTAAAAATTCTTGTTATATTATTTTATTAACATGATATGAAACAATGTAAATTCTAAACTTAATAATATACATTACGGGTGCTAATTGCAGTAAAATGTAAAAGGGGCGAAAAGGGTGTAAAAAAGAAGAGAGAAACCATTGATTTCCTACCCCTCGGTTGTCTCGATTTACAATTATAGTCATTCTCAAAGAAATTATATATTTTACACATTAGTCCAAATGAAATACATATTTGAAAGGTATACTCACAGAAAGTTTCTTCCACAACCGTGTCCAAACATGAAGACTCTACTCAATCATCCTCTTCTTCGACATCACTTACTCCAACCTCTTCTCTTACCACATCGTATTCAAGGAACTCCAATTCAACTTCTCCCGATTTGACTACTTCAAAGCCCTAGGGTTGGAGAAATCTGCACAGAATTTGCTCTGTCTTTTTTTAAACTCAATTTACTTGTATATGTATGTATTCCCTATCAAATGCATTTTAATTTAAATAGTATACAAAAAATAATATGCAACAATAATTTTTAACTGAAATGTATACTTATTTAAAAAGAAATTCGGGAAATAACTGGAAAAAATAAATAACCAGTCATCTAATCTTACACGTAATTTATTGTAGTTGAATAGATTTGAATATGAGTTAGTTTTGAAGGCTTCACTTTATTGTTGGATAATCACAGCCTACTTCGTACAAAAGACGTTTCCCTGCAATCTTTATTCCTTTTACCCTCTGAACTTCTCTTTGGGCAGACCCTCCTTTTTCTTTTTAAAGTTTTTTGATTGTAGCATTGAACCGCACCATTGCATCCAATCCAATTAATTAAAGGCTTGGTCCCCCCATGAATCCCGGATCGTCAATATTTTAAGAGGCACATAATTTTACGAAATATCAGTTTTTTAACTGCTTTCTCATTTTTGCAAGTTTCAATCAATCTAGTGCTTTAAGAATATTAATTAATTAAAGAATTGATATATAAAAGTTCTTTTAATTAAAAATTACAATGAAATGTGTTGATAATATCAAATATTGTATTAAAAAATATATTTTAAGTACCCACAACACAGTGAAAGCCCATTAGAAACAATTAACAGTTGTCTAACGATAACACTAGGTACTAGTACTCAATTTGCTTCCTAATTTCCTACCCACAATTTCCCTTTGGGCTACGCAAAAAAGTTTTCCAGGAAATGTTGGATTCAAAACTTAATAGCAAAGAGAATCAATAAAGGAGGTTGATACTGGTAGTCTAAAGATAGATAACAGGATTGTAGTGTTTGTTTATTGTATCTTCAAATCATAAAAGGAAACCCTCCAATCCGAGTTTGATGAATATATAAGTTGTTTTTCTTTTTGCCCACAAAACAGTAATTGAGTGGTCGATAAAAAAGCACCAAGGAGGGTCGCAAGGGCAAATCCATGCATTGATAAAAGCGGCTAAGCTGATGCAACAACAACATTGGATGATAAATACCTTTGGCCTTCTATGACAGTGCCTCACAACCATACCAAACCTGAGTAATAGGCCTTAGTGGGACAGCTAACTCACATTGGTAACCAAAGTATCCATCCACTGTTATGTGATAAAGTTTAGTATTTAAAATTAAATAACCATGAAAGATGCCGCACATAGTTTGCTTAACCAGATGGAAATACTCAAATAGGTGAGTTGTCAAGTCCTATTATGAAAAAGATAAAGATAATTTAGAAAAAGAAAAAGCAATGTAACAGGAGGGTGATAGACATGCCTGGCCATCTATCATAGTTAGTTACTCCTCTATATAGCTATAATTTGGTTCAGTGTTCGTTCTGTCCCTTTTAACTCCTCCATCAAGCTTCTCATATCTTCTGCATCCATCCCAAGTTGAGTCATTGAAGGTACCGCTCATGTCTTTAAGCCTTTATGTTTCTAGTTTTCAACGCATACACTTGGCAAATATTTGTATATTTGAAAACTATGGTAGTTTTATGAGACGGGTGTTGCAATTTTTATGTGATGATCACATGCCCAATTGATATTGTTATAATGTATTTTTAAGAAAAGACTTCGTCTCTGTGTGCCTAAGATCAAATTAATTACAAATTCATCAATAAAAACGTTCACTATTAGAGTATTAGGCTTCACCTCACCAGATTTGTTCTGCAGCGATGATTTATTGAGCCCTTGTGTCCTCATATCATAAAAGGTTTGAGATTGTATGTTATCTAACAATGTTTGATGAATAATATTATTTTATTCCCAAGGCACCAGGAAACATGGCAAGCGAAGCACCAAGTTGGGCTGATCAATGGGGTGCTGGTGGTATTGGTGCCATGGAAGATGATGACACTAGATCCCAAAAAGACACCGGCAAGAACAAGAATTCAGGTGCTAAGGGTGGTTTCAGCAAAGTCAAAGCAACTGCCTCTAATTGTGTCAAATGGATAAAAAGCCTGTGCAAGAGAAAGAGTACATCCAAGTGAATGAGAAAATGTAGTGTGTGCACTGGTGATTCTGCACTGTGGCAGATCAGTTTGGTAACTTTCATCCATTTTAATGAATTGAAGGTATTTCAGTCAGTTAGTACATCCAAGTGAATGAGAAAATGTAGTGTGTGCACTGGTGATTCTGCACTGTGGCAGATCAGTTTTGTAACTTTCATCCATTTTAATGAATTGAAGGTATTTCAGTCAGTTTAGCTCGATTGAATGGCATTAGTGTTGGTTCTGGATGAAAAACCTGTTTAATATTTAGTATTAGTGGGGCACTATTTTGCCTAACATTGCATGATTGATTGCAGAAGACGTTCTTTACGATATGGGTCATTGTTTCGCATGAGAAAGCATGATGGATAATAGCTTTAAAATAATTCTTAAGGTGGTATAGGTAAAAAGGTTAGAGAATATTTTTTAATATTACTATTTTTTTTTCTTGGAACAAATTGCTTCAAAGTGGTTGTCTCTATTGTTAAGTCCAACCATCACTTGAAGACTATTCTATGTCATTTTCAAAATTTCCCAGTGTCTAAATTATAAATAGCATTAGCGTCATAATAACAAATGTTAAACCCTGATAGAATCAAATCATTTGGTAAGGACATGAATTGAACAGTAGGTTTATGTCAAAACATTACTTATAGTTTAAGCACTAAGGCTATAGTTCAGGCAGCGGAAATCAAAACATTACGTGTTCAATTGAGCAATGGCATGGATACCGTGTCGTGAAACATTACTCCAAGTTTTTGTATCAGTAGCATTACTCTCTTATTCACCAAATAATAAGCGTCATAAAATAGTTGTTACCGAAAACAAACGAAAGTTAAGCGTCATAAAAAAAATCACAAATTTCATTTCGCCGCTAAAAAGAAAATAATTCAACCGGGATCATAAAATCCAGATTCATGTAATGAAATCCATAATTTAAAGATAATGTACATAATCAATGTGCAAGATAATATTGCTCAATTGATACGAAACCTCATGCAATAAACAGGACAGGCATTGACTAATGACGGCAGAAAAGTTAAATCTTGTAGCATATATTTACAGAAGAGAAGAGAAATTATTAAATTCAATCCTAGTGGGATCCGAAAGTGTTCTCTCCACTATAAGTCATGTAAAGAAATCCATCATCATCCTTGTTTTCCTCATAAATAGCAGACATCAAGGCAGCTGCAAAAAGAGTTTTAATTCATAAGTACGGCCAGAACTATGAACATAATAATTCAGCTTGAGCAGTGGCTACTTACCAGTTGGAGGTAGAGTGTTATTGATAAAAATAAAAATAGCCTTCTCTGCACTGACCTTGATCCTTTTACGGACAACATAAACAAACTGACCAACAGTCAAATCTGCTGGGACAAGGTATCTACAGCATCACAAGAAGAGAGACATAACCAAGTGAGGATCCACTAATGTACATAACCGTAACATTGATGCATTTTGGCCTAAGTTTCCCAATTTAGATCAACTTTTGGCAAATATCTAATCAAAATGAAGTTACAAAGTCGATGCAGTGTAGTTTATTAACAATCTTCTACATACAAGTGATTAGCATTCCACTATTTAAGTTTAAAAGTTATATTTTTTGAAATAGAAACAAAAGGAAAGGAAAATATTTCAGACATGCATTGGGGGCACATACAGAAGCTGGTGACAAGGCTAGAAAGAACAAGCTGGACACCAATAGAAAGAACACAATACAGAAGCGTAATCTGACACAAACTGCAATTATGATACTATCAAGGTGCAGTTCTGACTCGACAACTAAACTACTTAACTCTTATCACAACCATAGAACATGCCACTAACAAAGATGATTTGATCTTACAAATCTATACTTCTATACAATGCCAGTATGCCTCAACCAGGCTTTGGTGGTTGGGAGTCTCCTACCTCACAAATTTTATCCTTAAAGTTACGAATTATACTTGGTGACATAGATGTTTGCTGCCACAAGAAGATTGATCAATATCAGCACACTTTATGTATTTTGGTATCAACTATCAACCCTACAAGTTTTCTCTGCTTCCTATTCACCCACCACTATCAACCTACAGAATGTCCCCCAGAAACTTCACAGAAAGCATCAAGCAGTTTCATTCCAAAGAATAGTGCAAATGGCATATGATAAATTCACTCACTTCTTCTTATCGATGTCTGGAATGTCACTTCTTTCAGCCTTCTCAACAATCACCTGCGCACAACAGCAGCATTTCAATAAGAGTACCTAAGGAAAATGAAAACAAACAAACAAGCTATGCATGATAGAATCTTACAGGTATTCTATCAGGATACTTGTCTCTAATGCGAGCAGCCTCAGCCTGCCTTCTTTCTGACATGTGGAAAAACAAAAAGTTTAATCCAGAGGTTTATACATGTTTGATTCAACCTAATTTAATCACTTTTTTTTTACCAGTTTCTTGAAAGAGTTTATGAAAAATGAGCGAATATTTCTCTGAACTTAATCTCTTTACCAAATATGCTATAAAAGGGAAAACATTGCAACAAAATGTACCTTAGATATCAAGAGAAAACAAGCACCCATGAAAAGGTGAAAATAATTGTCCTAGAGGACGAGATAAGGCGTATAGAGACAGAAATAAAGAAAGAAAGAACCAAATTCAGTACTCTATTCGTACAGAGAAAAAGCTAAAGATCCTTCTCAATGGTCATAGTACAAAAAACTCCAATCATGTCGATTTTCATACAGAATAATTATCCTTCCCCTAATTTTTATTTTCTACAAACTCCAAAAGCCATCGATTTGAAATCAACGAATCAAAAGGTTTGCAATAAAAGTTAGAAAGGTTTTAATGGTACTGATTAATTAAAAGCAACTCCACTAAACCTAGGGCTTCAAAAACAAAACATGCCCAGAAATATAAATAGTATAAGAAAAAATGGGAAATTATTATTATCGAAGAAGAAGAGTACCTAACGGATGTTCAAGCTTGAAGGAGCTTTTGGCCATGGTCTCTGAAAATTTGAAACATGGAAACATTAGAAATCTGAGTAAACATAGCGAAAGGGAAGAGTGGTAAGCTTCAAAAAAGGGGATTGACATACCCAACACGTAAAGATGGTTGGGGGAAGTGAGAAGAGATGAATCCAATCCAATTGAGAAGGGGGAAGAAACGTATAATCAATGTTGTTCTGTTTTTTAATTTATATTTATATTCATATTCGGATTTGGACGGAACGTCTTCTTTACTCATTCCTTCTCTCCCTACATAATTAACAGATTTTAAACCTTCCCAGTTTCTAATCTTTATTTTATCTTCCAAAGTAACAGCTCATTTTAAAATTATTTAAATTTCTAGTTCGTTATGGACTTCATGTTATGTGGTCAAAAATAATAAACAGATCTGTATCATCACAGCTATCATAACCATGCCTACCATTCTTTTCGCATGTGCGGGTAGTTTTTTGTTGGAATAAATATTTTTAAAATTTTTTTAATCTATTTTAATGAGTATGTCTGGTATTTTTTTAACTAGTTAAAATTTATTTACTAATTAAAAACTATATATATATATATATATTTTTTTTTTTTTTATTTTTTTTTTTTTTCAAACTTTGGTTTAATAAGTGTTTTAGATTTTAGCTACTACTTGAAATCCAATATTTATCTTATTTCTTCTTTGCAATATCTATTTTACTCATTTAATTTTAAAAATATGTTCAATGCCTATGTCTATTTTAAAAATCATTAAATATAATTTCATTATAATAAAAAAATTGAATATAAACGATAATTTGTTAGTTTTAAAAACCCATCATATAGGCTTCAAAATACATGTTTATAAATTTTTTTAAAAATAATTTTAAAATTAAATTATTTTTAAATACATATTTCAAACATATTGTCCGGCTGACTACTTTTAAATTTGATAAGTTTGAGTAAATATCATACTGTTAATATATATATATATATATATATATATATATTCTATTATATTAAATAATTTTTTTAAAAAATTAAATAGAAAATCAATATATAACATAGAAATTTCATTTGGCACGATAAAAAAAATTAATATATTATACGGCTTTTTGTAGTAAGAATATCATTATTTTAATAGTTAGACAACAGTTTATAAAATTTATAAACTGTAAACCTCCATACTTGGCAGTAAAGGTTGACACATTCATATATTATACGGCTTTTTGTTGCTACCTGTGTGGCTCATGAATTCTAGCAAGAGCTGATGAGTAATGGCGGTTGACCCATTTGCTTATTGGATCATTTTATGTAGCCATGGTGTAGTATAAAGAAATAAAAAAGCTTATTTTAATGAAATAATGAAGAAAGTGTGATTATAGATGGAGGGCAAGTTGTGATAAGGCATTAGATCCTTGGTTTCTCACGGGCCAATCCATTGAATCCAGAACCCAGAACGCAGTTGGAGGGCCATAGTGTGAGTCAGATCGTACCAGGACCACATTGTCATTAATTGGAAGCCAATTACTACTCCATACAACTCATTTTTCTTCACACACTTATTCTCCCTCTCTTTTTCCACTCACATGTCTCTGCTGCATCTTCCTAGTTAGTCTTCAAAAGAATATAACACATGGATAAGTGTTACTCTACTCCTTCAAATTCCACACAAACACTTCGTTGTGAAGAGTCTTCAAGCTTGAAGAAAGATTCCTGAAGAGGGCTAAGGAGCAAAGGTCCAGGCTCTATATACTAAAGAGGTGCATTATTATGTTACTGTTCTGGCAGAAGTACGAGCAGTATTGACATTGAAAGGCTCTGTGCTTGCCCAGTCTCTCTTTAGCAGTTGCATGCCATTAACTACACCAACCCCACTATTTTTTTTTAAGGTAACATTCAAGTTTTGTAAATCACTGTTATGGTTTTACTCAGAAGGAGCTATTGGTGTTGTAGAATCAATGACCATGTTGAGCACTTTATTGCACCTGTGTACATTGTCTGAAGATTCCTTGAATTGAAAGGGTTTGAACATTTAAGAAGATACTAGTTCAACTTAATACTCTGATTTTATTAGCCAGAGCCAAATGAATATAGTGACAAAAGGAGGTGGGATATCAGTTGCAGGATTTACACGATTTTGTGTAAACAGACATTACTCAACTCGGCTTGTTTTCTAGTGTAAAAGAAGGTGAAAGAAAAGACATTATTTCACATGAGGATAGGGACATATCGTGGCTACTAAGTACAGGTGTGGTTTTGGTAGGACTTTGGTCAAGAATAAGGTTCCCTACTTTTCTGCTTTCTTTGCCAATTATATTACATAAAGCTATAATAAATTCATACAAGAGGCTCCAACTTTTCGCTTTCATTTTTTCCATTACGGTTAAGCAATGACATCAATCATGATTTGGATTTTTAATATTCAATCTCTTTGTTGCTAGCAATTAACTACTACCTTCATTTTTTTTAATGTGGGATGAGAGATAGAAACAAAGTACAAAACTTGTGTATATGTTTTTAGATATATCACAATTCATGAGTTTTTACCTAAGGAGCTTTTGGAATATTTTCTGATACATTTATGTGCTTCTGGTTGTTCACCTAATATTAGCCGTCTCATTATGCTCACATAACATAAATTAACTGTTATTATATACTAAAAAAAGTAGTTGAAGTAATTTGATTGGTTGTCACGAAAGTGAGCTGTGACGTCAAATAAACTTTACCTCTCCAATGACAAGTTGAGGGAGGGCAATGATGGGCCCAGTTCCTACCTCTTTAATTACTTTTTCAAAATGTTTTAAATTTTTATAAAAAAAATATAATTTATATTTTGTTAATGTAATTATAAATCAAGATTAATTTATAGATTTTTTAAATTTATGCAACATTATTAAAGATAAAAATTATATATTACCTTTTATCAAATTATTATTTAATATGTTAACAGTATTAAATGTTACAAATTTTTTTAATAAAAACTTATTTTATATAATTTATTATCTTGTGATAGAAAAAATCATTTATTTATTTACCTTTAACTTTTTATATATTTTAGATTCAACTCTTTTCTCAAAAATAGTCTTACAATATGTTATGTTTGTGAGAGTACCGATCCAAAGAAAAAAAATGTTCAAACAGCAAAATCTGAGTCTGAACAACAAATATGGTTACTCCAAATTTCTAAGCTTAAATGTTTTGTGGACCAATATTAATTTCTGTTTACTGAAACACATGACATACTCGAAGATAGCGCTTAAAATAAAAACATAGGTCATAGATAAAAACGCCAACGCCCTTATCTGGGTATTTATTTGAAATTGGCATTTGGGCAACGCTTTTGTCTAATTTGGTATTCCAAGCTTCTTGCTAGAGTTGGTGATTTGGAGTGTTCATTTGCTGACATCAATGCCGATCATTTTGGGGTGTGTCCCCAAAATAGTGATCAGAATCAGATGGCTGTATAAGGAGACTTGCATGCCTAGAACATAGTATTACTATATTAGAGACGCAGGGTTAATAGTACTAGATGATTCTGTTCATGTACAATGCAAATAGGACAGTGACTTCAATGCTTAATGGCATGCAATTTCAGACACCACGATCACAGTGACCTCCCTAAGGTTAATATGTAATCAAAGGAAAATTAAAGAGCTTTGAGTGAGGCCAATAATAACGAAAAGAAAATAATAAATGGTAGGAGTGAGTTTTCACTTAATTTATAAAAATAAAAATAAAAATGTTGCGTTTTTCAAGTTATTCATTTAATTTGTTTTTTTGGTATTCTTTTTCTTCTTGCCATCATAATTGGTCATGAGACAATTATATCAATATTTGGACATCAACTTTCCTATTAACAAGACTAAGATTGGTGGTGCCAACATGTTAATAAAGTAGAACCTTTGGTTCAATAACGTCTGCTAACAAATCTCCCCCTTATTTATGGGCATTGCTCGCGGAAATACTACAAGCAACTAATCACAGGGTCCCTCCCAGGCATGCATGGGAACTAATTAACACTGTTTATGCTAGCCTATTATTCTCCTCCTGTCAAGAAAAGGGCAATTTATATAGAACCAGCTGGCAACACAACTATATCAAAATCAGTGATATTGCACTAACAATTATTTAATATTAATTTATGAAAATTCATATATCTATATGTGTCATTAACTTTATCTTTAAATTTGTATATATATATACCTCCATATACGTATACTTCCAACTTTGAATACACATTATTTGTTCCCTTTTTTTTTTCTGATGAAGGGAAGCATATAAATTATTCACGAATTGATTGAAAAAAGGAAAGAAAAAACTTCCCTGTAGATGATGAATCATGAATATACTTTCCTAGTTTCTTGTGAGCTTCTTTTTATGGATTTATACCGAAAGACTATTTCTTTTTTAACTAACTCCACTCACAGGTATCTCTGCCTTTGAATGTGGAAGAAAGTGAAGATCCGTTTGATATTGATGAAACCAAACTTTTGCACATGTAGATGTTGAGAAACCGAAACAATTTTGGTTGAATAGAGAATCCATGACATGAGCTAGCCAGATTCAATCAAATCACTATGTTCACAATTTCACACCAACCACTCACTAACTTTCCAAAAGTTATTTCCTATTTGAATTTCAAAAATGTGGTTGGCAGCAAACCAACTTACCCTCTGTGCTCATAAATATAAAAACCAGGAAGCTAGACTCAATTTCTTGTCTCACTGAACTCTGCATGTCACAATTCAAAACATGCCTTTCTCCAATTGTTTCCAATCCCAAAATTTAATGTGCCAACCTCCTATTCTTTTCCAGGTCGTTGGCAAATTAAATGCTAGCAGCATATTTAAGGCTCTGCATCTCTATGTCTCTATCTTACCCTCTCTCATTCATTAAATTTTAAGAATCTCACAGGACACTATAGTTACTCCAAAGGAACATGCTACTACCGTCTTCATCACCCTTGTTTCTTCTTAGCCATATAATCCACTCACGTAAAGGTTCTTCTTTCCTAGTGTTATATTTTCTGCTGATGGATTGGAGTTGTAACCATAGAGGGTAAGTAAGCTTTTCTTGTCACATATCGATTAACAAATTGTTGTTTCTTAAGAGAATGCAGGAACATGATGGCTCTATGTATAATGGTGGTGGATCAGACTTCAAACGTGTAATTGAGAACTTGGGATATTGGTGCGGTTCAATCAGAAGGCAGTGCTTTATGATCCAAAAGCTGTGTTATTTGATTGAGCCGTGCCAATATCACATGTAATTGATGTGGGGTGTCACAATTTCTCCTCTGCCAATTTGCAGCACCTTAAAGGTTGTGTGGTTTCAGTGTTTTGTTGTTTATATATACATGTTGGCATTTTCTGAGTTCATGAGTGGCAATGGGAACTATAAATCAATGTTAACAAAGAGAGTGAGTGCCATTACTTGATTATTTTCTTATTCTTCAGATTTGATCTTCATCCTGCTAGCCATTCTGTGATGGTCACCATATTAGCCTTTTTGTTTGTCTCCCTAGAGTGGTGATCTATTTCTTGGCGTGGGATGGAAATGAATTGGTATGGTAGGTAGAAAATTTGGTTTACCTTTTAATTTTTTTCCCTTTTCAGGGTGGTAGGGACTTCATTAGAGGCGGATCAAGTGGCAAGATAAATCTTTCTTTACGTTTACTTTGCTTCTATTTAAAGATTCATCTCTTTTTTGACAATGTAGTAGCTGAGAATATTCAACCTTTCTGTTGCTTTTAAGTTTAAGGCACTTTCCAGACAAAGATGTATTAATTTTGGATGTGTGCCCAACTAAAAAAGGCGTTCACTCTGATTTGGTTCTCTGAAAAAGCATTTTGATCCACACACACAAAAAAAAGGTTGGATAAAATTCTGATTAGTTGATTTATTTAACCTCTAACTATAATAATTCCTTACCTGTACTGTACTTGCTACGATATTGTTTCTAAATTAATTTCAGAAGATCTTCTCACTGTTACAGATTGTTATCATCTCCTAGTTAATTAGCTTAATTTATCTGTTTGTTATCTTATTCTTTTGGGGTTAATAAAATTGTTTAAATTCAATTTTCTTCAAGAATAAATATTCAAGTATAATAAACATTCATTATGGCGCCTTCTTAGTAAGCTATAAAGATGAAAAAACGAAGTCATTTTAATATCAAAAACATATTTTTAAAATCAATATATTTGTATTTGTATTTTGAGTTTTACCCGTGTCACGTATTTGTTTAACTCACTGTTCTTGATCAAAAGAGCCACTGATGTCATGCTTCTCTTAGGAGATAATTTTTAGCTTGTTAGGAAAGAGATTTTGATTCTTTGAGACACATTTGAGATTAAAAGGTATTAAAAGAATAAGGTAAAAAACAAATGCAAGTAAAAAAAAGTGTGAAATTTGAGAACTATTTACATTTACCACTCTAAAGATAGGGTTGTTAGAATGTAAAAAGGGGTAGTCTTTCTCCCAACTACAGTATTGCATTGGTTTTAGAGCTGTTGTTGAACTTATGCTTGATTAACATGGTTTACGCAAAATCAGAGAGCAATAATACGACTCACTTACTTTACCGTGTTAACTTAAATCTCAGCCGTTTTCGTTGACAATGTACCCCGTTTTCGACCGAAGAAAAACCATCTTTTTCAATTTTTCCTTTCTTGTCCCAAAATTCTATTCAGATGAAAAATCCAAAAGTGTCATATTACTAACTGAATTAATTCATAATAGCTTCTCAAGGATTATACAAATCTTTTTCTTACTCTGCATATTACAGAAAGATTTAATTTTAGTGTGTTTGGTTCCAAGAATATTTCTTTTTTCAATTAATTCATGAGAAATTTTAAAAAAATATATGAATTAGATAATATTAAATAATGTGCACAAAAGTTTCATTGAATTATAAATTAATGTCAGGGACTGAACTTTAAAAAATAAAAGTGCAATCACAACTATTAATTAAAAAATAATTATTAATATTTTAATAATTTATTATATATGTACATATATTTGATTAGAATTCCATCTATGGATTTTTTATTTAACAACTATAATTATACTTCATCCTCTAAGATTATTCTTTCATTTTTGAGCAATTAAATCGAAATAAAATAGATGAAGGAAGCATCAAGCAATTTTTTTTTTGTTTTAAAAAAATTAAATTAGACCTTATATATATTATTATTATTAACGAAAGGTTTAATGTTTTAGTGGGAGAATGGACATTTTTTTCGTAAAGAAAAAAGGAATTATTTTGACTGCATTTGTTTTTACTCGGCTGCTTCTTTATCTTGAAAGATAACAATTATGGACCAAAAAGAAAAGAAAGATAATAATAATGTTTGACCAAAAAAAGAAGTTGAAAGATCATTACCTTTTTTGCCCATTTTCATTTAGTTTTCTAGGGGGGAAAACTTCTCTGGAAGTGAATTATGTGCCAAATAATATACCTTTTATTTTTATTTCTTATCATATCTTGTAACAATGATTCCCCAAATCCGTTTTTCTTTTTTGGGTATTAAGAAATCAACTTATACAAAATTGACTAAGTAATATCAACTTTTATATTTGGTTTTCCAAGACATTGAGAAATTGGTCTTTAGAAAAACCTGCTACGATATATTTTATTGTTTGAAATCAATTAAGTTTAATTTTTAAGGAATTAAATTTCAATATATATATATATATATATATATATATATACACATAAACGATTGAAAAATTACTTCTGGCGATTTTTTTTATTTTTTTCACCAAAAAAAAAAAAAACTCCCTTGAGAAGTCAGTTTCTCAATGCAAAGAAAGTTGAAGAGTTGTAACTTTTGCAAACCATTTCCCAAATTTCTTAATTAAAATATTATTTAAAATATAATAGCATTACATGTATACTTTTAATAAAATAATACATATAATGACATTAAATCCCATACTTATTCACTACGATTAAAGCAGCAGTTAACAAACCTTAATCAATCAATTAAATAAATTTAATCCTTAAATTTAAGTATTTAAAAATAACATTTTATTATAATAAATATTTATTACATTAGATATACAAAAGAATAAAAAATAATTTTAATAAAATATTACTATTATTAGTTACTTTAACTTAATTCTAAAAGATGAAATTTGTATTTTTCTTAATTTCTCAACATTAAAAAAAGTAAACACATTTTGAAAATCAATGGTACAAGTTTGGTGTAATGAAATCTATAAAAAATGTAATATTTATATAACAATTTTGTTAACATTTACAAAATTGACAAAAATGAAGCAAAATTGGGAATGGATATTGAGGTAACCAAAAGAAGGTAACAATTATGGGAAACAAATAAAATGAGATTAAAAATGTAAGAAAAGTAAGAGACTGAGAACTAATCATTATGAAGCGTTAGAAATGGCAGAGAGAAGAATATAAAGCCCTCCCTTCAGCCATTCAACAAAAGAATGGGTTGGTAGCTACTATTATATATATATTTTTTACTATTACTATACTCTTTGGAAGCAGAGGGGTTATCTCCTCAGTTAAGATGAAGCTGCAAGGTTTATCATCTATCTCACTTTCAAGTTTCAACCATCTTCCACTACCATGCAGCCATGCAGCACTCATAGTTCTCTTTCACGTTTCTGAATCCTATACTGTACTACTTGTTCTTGAGTTTAGAAGGTTGCACTCCACAATGCATTTTCATCCTCTCCACAACGCTGGTGAACTTCCTTTATCCTCTCAACAGACCTGCAAATCCCACTGCATTTCCAATCAAATGAAGCAACACACACGTTACCAGCCTGGGCCTTCCACTCGCAATCTGCAGGAGGGTAGCATTACTACTATTGGATCAATCAACATTCAGATGCAAAGGTTTTCATTGGTTGTTCGGATTTATAAATAACAAGGTTATTAGTGTCATAAGAATTTTATTTTAAATAGATAATGATAATACCCATAAACAACATACCAGGGGGTGTACCACAACACATTCTCCTATCATCAACATGATCCACATCTAAACCAATAAACCAAGATCCCAATGAAACATCTTCATTGGCATATTTATGCAGTACATCCCTGTCATCATAAAATCAAGCTGTCACTCAATCAAATCAAAGAAATACTATATGCCAGATTAGTTGGAATAATTTTCAATTGTATACAAGTAAAGAAGAGTCCATTAAATTGGTAGTCTGCACTTGTTCCTACATAACAAAAATACAAATTTTACTAACATCCAAACATCCCCTACCGCTTCTGTGCTTTAACAGTTTTAAGCAAGGAAAACAAAACTTACTGGTTTATTGATATATAAGTAGCCAAATCTTGTGAAATGGCATATAATTGTCCTGTAGCATGACGAAAGTACTTGTTTCCTACCTCGCCAAACTTCCAGTATTCTGGTTCATGGTATTTCACTCCCCTGTGATAAGACAGTTACACTAGGAAGTGGATTTTAACTAAATGAAAAAATAAAATAAAGCTATTCTTACTTCTGAGCAAGGACAGGACCAGATTTCATGCACCCAATGTATACCCGAGGTTTTGAACGGTGCATACTCAGAGTCAATCCAAGTGTTGCTGAGAAAGAAATAAACAATAAGCACGTTGAGGAAAGTGATGTGATGGATGTTTATATGACAATGATGGCTGTTTAGTTAAATAACTATGCTTGTGACTTAACCATTTGGACGGAATATACACAAGCTAACACTAAAGAAATCCTGAAATCTATTTCAAAGTGTAAAGAAGGTAATCAAACAAACCTACATCATGAAGAGTCAAGTCAATTTTCTACCTTTCAATCTTTTGTCAATTTGTATTGAAGTTTATCCAATCAAGCGAACATTGCAAATACAACTATGAGAACATAATAAGCATATGAATGTTCTAAAGAGAAAGCACCAGCTATCAATATATAAAAGTGCAAAATATAACACTCCAATATGCCAAGCACTAAAAATAATTTAAGCATTGTCTTGGCTTAATTGAAAACTTAAGGTAATGAAGCCTAGCCAATCTTACAACAAACAATATAGTTTCTACATGAACTAACCCTAACCTTTTAATGCAAACAATCAAGGAAACTACAGATGGACAAATGAATTATCTGCGCCACAATCTCTGGGATTATGCTCTAATCATAAAGCACAGGAATACAAGTTAACAAAAGTTTCAAGTCCGTTGTTTGTTGAGCCACCTGTTGATACATTAACAGATTCTCCTACAAATTCTGTCATAAATACCACCCTTAGATAATTTATTTTATTTCAGCAATTTTATTAAATAAAACAAAATAGATAAAAGGAAAATTTTCTGGTCTAATATCATCTGGACATCTGTTCCCAAAGTTAAATTACAAAGTAAAAGATCAAAAGGATTTTTGGCGATCATTTTTGGAAGTACCCCTCCTCATTCAGTTTTTATTTCTATAGAACATCTGTAATAAATTTAAATGATTTATTGTTCTTTTACAATGACATGTGAAGCTATTCTCTAGCACATATAAGTACTGTCAGTTAGATTTATCACTTACTGTACTTCTCCCATAATTCATTTATTAACTCTAAACACCAAATAACCTATTTACCTAAATTCACATGAACATCATCATCAACTTTGACGTAAAATTCTGCATCCCACAAGGCAACAGCAGTTGAAAAGTAGGTCTTTGTCTTAGCTGATAGTTCTAGGTAGCCCTCAACATGGTTCTGCTTAACACAGATTAATTTTGTTCAATCAACAAAAATAAGTCAGAAATCTAAATAATATATAGGATTATGAATTTCAATGAAAAAGGACAGGAGAGAAAGATCACCAGCCTCAAAAAGTCAGCATGAAGCTTCTCCTCTGCTTCAATAGCTTTGTCAAGAATGCCACCAGATGTAGAACTATAGACAAAAAGGCTAATTAAATCTAGGTAATTGGTTAAATTAACACCACCAGGAAATACAAAATCAACCAACCATATAGGATGTCATCATGGATGGTCATGTATCACATCATAAAATGCATTTAGTTCTCATGAGTATTTGTGTCTAGGAAGTTGCACTCAATTCATCTTAGCATAGGAAATAGTCTCCACTAAGTCTAGGAAAAGTCAACATGTATGGATGATATGCAGAACCTATGTACTACATTCTCTTGAATAAGAAAGCTCTTCATTCTCTAAATTTGCTCTAAAAAGATTATGTGCTCTCTCTCCCCCTCTCTTTAAAAATCCCCCCTCTAAATTCAACAGACATTAACGTCACAAAACAAATTTCTGATGAGCATCATATGAAAAATTAACTGCAACAGAAAAATTATAAATAGGTAATTACACCAAAAAGGGACAGTGAATATCATCAGGAGGAATATTTAATCTGACCTGTGACCAATAACAAAACGTATGATTATGCCTTTTTCTTCCTCCAACTTCTTTCTTTCCTCAGCTAATGAAGTTCCATTAGAAACCATGCGTCAGATAAATGAAGCATATGGAATTGCATAAACAAGTTAAAGGAGAACTTTTAAGAGAGGAACAAAACTACAAAATATTGAATATCTTTAAATCACCTTGTGGCATCCAAGTTGCACGGACAGAGTCTCTTCGCTTCCTACTACTAAAAGCTGTATTGATCCCTATAACCATGAAATATTTTTTCCTTCGAGTTGATACAACTGTCTCTGAGTTTCCTAATACAGAAGAAACCATTCAGCATAAATTCAGGAGCTATCAAAGCAAATTTAAGATTCAGCTCCTAAGTAAGTGTTGTCTTACTCTGTTTCCTGCAATTTATAGATAGAAATGGATTTAGCATTGAAGTTATTAAATAAGCATATAAGTAAATCCAGTAAAAACAAACATTGGCTTGCCTTACTTGATAACATTCTGTGTGTTTGAAACTTCCACTTGACTGTAATTGGAGTTAGGCTTTACAACCTTTGGACAAAGGCAAAACAGCTAAAAATGTCATGACTGTTTTATTTTTGTAAATAGCAGAAGAGGCAGCTATAGTTATATGCCTTAGATTTAAATCCGGTAGAGTAAAATGTGTTAGGTAAAAAGCATTCTTGATGGCCTGCACTTGGCAGCTTAATTCTCAAGGAAAATACACCTACTATAATTGAATACAACTCCCAAATATAAAGGTTATAAGCGACATTTTCCCCATTCCATTATATGAGAATCAGACAGTGTATATGCATATAAACTAACCAGAAAAGAAAACAGGAAAAGAGAAAGAGTAGAATATTTCAAATATTTTCCTTTTTCTTAAATTCCAGATCATGAAACTTTTAAGGTTGTTATAAATTCCAGTAGTAATTCAATAACAGTCTATATACCATGATATTGAGGAAAAATGCATGACAGACCACAAATCGTAACAAAGATATGACGAGTAGAGGTGTGACTGATACACTTACTAGATTTAGATTACAACCATCAGAGTTTAATTTTATTCCTTCAATCTCACTAGATGTCCTTGAAATTTCTTTATATTCAGACATCGACCATATCCTGATGCAAAAATTGGGTTAGCATTACCATATATTATAAGGATTAGCTTGAGATTTAATTCAATAACTATTGCCAGGGTAGAAATTAGACAAAAGAAGACCTCCTCTACGTTCATTTTTTGATGATAAAAGCAGAGATCAAGAACAATTAATCTATAAACTAAAATTAATAAGTGGATATTTGTTCTCAAACAAGCAGAACCTAAATCAAGGGAGATGAACAAATGTCAATAAATTGAGGATGACAAGCCAAGCCATATGAAAAGAAACCTCTGTTCAATTAGGCTCACTCCAGTGTCTTTATTCACTTAAAAGCATCGTGATTTTCAGCAAATACATAAAGAAAGAAGATGGAGGTAATAAAATACAGATATCCACCTCTCTTTTTTATGCCACAGAATATAAGAAACATGAAGTGGATGAGAGAAGAATAATAAAAGGAGTCACAAAGCTTTGAACTTTGAGGGAAAGTAATTGAAAATCACATGGCAAATTATACGCAAATAATTATAATCTACACATATACAACTATCAGTTAAAAAGTAGAAAGGATTAGAGTTGCCCTACTGCAGACGGCACACATTAAATTCAATGAACAAGTAATATAGTTACATGACAATGCAGTCCAAACCAATAGCACAATTCATATTTTAACCCCCTCCCCGTTGAAAATAATAAATAAAATAAACATAAACAACAAAAATGTAATTCAATAATCTAATTCAACGTGGCAGAACAGTTAGGTAATCTCTGGAACATCCTTCAAAATCAGGTAATAAAATGTTCTTCCAAAGAGCTAAACCGTAGGCTCAACCCCACTGGCAGCCTAGAAAGCCAATCCCTGACTGAGAATAACTGAAAAATCAAAACTTGAAGCTAAAGTATAGAAACCAAGAAGCACAAGTACCTATTGGTGAAGAACATTCCAGCACAGAAGCTTGCCACACAAAGCAAAAGAGCCCATTTCCTATGTAGGGCACTCCTTGCACCCACTTCCACTGCTCCTCCTTTGCTCTTAATAGACATTGTCCTTCTCCTCTTCTTGCTCACTCACTATAAAACCCAGAAATAGAAACAATGAATGCAGATAAAGATCAAACAAACATAGCGAGAGGAAATTAAAAAAAGCGAACTTTACAGCTTCTGTGACACACACTCGCTTCCCTACCTAGTTGGTTTGAGACAAGAGAGGAAGACCCACTAAGACCCCTCTTAATCTTCCAATGTTACGGAACCGTCCCTTTCAAACAAACGGCTCTTCACACCACAAAGGAAATTCGGAAGAACAATAGTAACAAATAACGGTAACAGTTAATGAAGTGTTGGATCACGGTTTCTCTTCTCAGATCTTGTTATCTTGTCTATCTTCAGTTTTGCTTCTCACCTGAAAATCTGCCAAATGTTTCGTTCCACAATTTTTCAGCTTAGCTCAATGTAAAGTTTCATAAATCATAATAATAATACATTAACAATAACACTGTGCTCCCCAATAAAACCCCATTGTAGAAAAGGAAAAACAAATTTTTGAATGCATTAATTACAGTTAATGTTTATGTTTGCTTGTAATTTGCCTTAAAAAGTGTCGGTTGGCATTAAGTAATTATTAATATTTGTTACTACAAGCACTGCACTTGAGGTTTTCTGAAGAAAGGGTTGAATTATCCAATTGAGATGGATCCCACCCGAGTCATTTCAAATTTCAAGTAAACTGGTTTGGTTTACCGTCAGAATCACCCAAAATGAGACAGACAATCCAACATAATGGTCATGCTTAACGCTAATATGCTTCCCTTGCCCTGAATAACGCACGTGAAGTGTAACCGTGCCACAACTATACGCATTCTTCTGCTAATTCCAAACGCATGAGGTTTATTATTATTATTATTATTATTCTGCAAAAGTAAAAATGTGCTTTGTCACATTTAAAATATATGAGGGGTCACGTTGCCATAGAAAAATGAGGTAACACTGATTCATGTATGTCTGCGGAGATTAGAAGATCGAGCCCGTGAGACAAAGGGAATCTTCAATGTTTATGGTTCAAAAACTAGAAAGCAGGTTCGAGAGGCAATGACTAATTCAGGACGTTGGCATACTCTGTAATAACTCTAAAGTAACAGATAAATTTGCCAAACTATGCAGATCGCATATTCATGTCTCCTAGTATTGGCGGTGATTCAATTTCACATTACTTGTTTATTTTAGCAATTTTTCCAACCTCTTTCGCTTTTTTTTTTTTGTTCCTGTGGGTCAGTCATTGTATGGCTTTTGATTTGGTCCGAAAGTGTTTCTAAAATCGTCAATCATAATTTTTAATTATTTTGAATACTTTTTAAATATTTAATTATTATTTTAAAAATTATTATTTGTGACAATTTTTTTAATATTTTTTAAAAATCATCATTAATAACAATTTTTGACATTTTATCACTTTTTCCATTTTTTTCTTTGAATTTCTATATCTGCATCAACAATCATCATTAATGATCTTTAAAAAAAAACCATATTTTTATGTATATAATTTATAATAATTATATATAAAAAAAAATAATCCTGAGTATGACTTGTGTTCAATATTTTTTTACAGGTTTAATGAATTTGTTGGCTTATAAAAAAATCTAACTGTTGTATTATGGTTAACATTAAGATTGTTGAAGCTATTTATCTTGATTGGTTAGAATGTTTTTACCGTAAATCTATCATTCATATGTTTCAATGTCACTGGTAGAAGTAAAAAAAATAAAAAATAATTACATGAAAATTGTAACTAGAATAATTAAAATGAATTTATCTAATTTGAGTTATTTCAAATTTATTTGACAAAATATAAAGTTTGAAATTTATATTATGAGAATAAATTATATTCAAATATTTTTTACTCGATTCAATCAAATTTAAAACAGATTAAACTTTAAAATTAAAAAAATGTTACATTCATTTTAAATACTATTTTATAGATCTTTAGATTTAAGTATTTTTAGTCTAACTTGTTATTTGTTATAAGTTAGTTAAAATAGGTTTAATAGTTTATTTTTATTAACTTTAAATTTAATGTTTTTATGAGTGTGTTTAGGATAAAAAATGACAATTTATAAACAAATAATCCAATAACAATTTGAGAACTGGATTTAGGTCATTTTTTGGTTCTTTTAAATGTGTTGTGATTAAGATGATTAAATGGATGTCGTGAAGTAAATTAATGAGTAAGAATAACAAATAATGATAACGTGGAACTGAATGAAACGCAAAAGCTTTTACAGAAACATACCAAACAAGAACTAAAATGCGTACAAAGACATAAGCAAAAGGAACTGAAATTAAAATGCAGAAACGTAAATGTGCAAAAATGTAACATATGACTCCTCACAACAGCGGATAGCAACCACTGTGAGTCTCCTAGTAGCTGGTATCTGGCACGGTGTAAGGTTTCAGCATGCAAAAAATTTTAGGTACAGTATCTAGGTGCAAAAAGTCGTCATTTGAAAAATGAAGCTTTAACGTATTTACAGGCAAGTGAAACTACCATCTTTCTCCTTTTTTAGCAGACACTTCTCAATAACTGCCTTCAACTGTTGTCTATTATCCACAACAGACTCTGATCGTGTTGTTGATTGTGGTTTTTTTCATAACTGCTATTGCTCACAATTCTTCTTCGTATTGTTGAACCTTCATCTGGTAGTAATTGCTGGTAACTGCTTCTGAGTCATGTAATAACTTTTGAGTCCTATCATGACTCTTATGAACTTGAAGTCTTTTCTTTTTATTTTTTATTTTTCAAGCAGTTTTGAGAGAAATCTAAGAAGTTCTTTTAACATTATGGACTTAAAATAATTTCTCCCTTATTTCTATTTTTTGATTAATTTTGGGGAATTCGAGAACTTTTTTTTGTTCTTGTGGACTTGACATATTTTCTCTACTCATTCCTATTTTTTGAGCAATTTTGGAAGAAATCTGGAGCTTAACCAGGTTTTGTGGAATTAGAATATTTTTTAATTACTTCCTATTTTTTTGAGCAATTCTGGATGTCAGGGGTTTGAAAAATCTTCTAAAAACGCCTCAAAGACCTCCCGTCTTGTGGACTTAGCATAATTCGATCCATTTTTTGTCAAAGGCCTTCAATCCTGTTGATTTAAAATAATTTTTTTACTATTTTTTTTGTCTTTCAAACAGTTTGGAGAGAAATTGAAAGTATGACAAAAACTTGTAAAACAACTCAAAATGTAGCTCTTTCGAACAACTTATAACATTTTTTGAGTTCGCTTGATGAAACTTTTTCTATAACTCTCCAAAACTCTTTGAAATATTATTTTTTTTCACTATAATTTTATAACTTAGAAAAATTTTCTTATTCTGGATAGAGTGTAAATTATTTAAAATTATTTATGGTGATTTTTACATAAACTTTCAAAATTAAGTTTTGAAAATCACGCAATTATATACATGGCAACCCTAACTTAAAGTAGTATTTCGTTGTTATGGATTTAATACTTGAACAGTGGCCAATGTGAATACATTCATTCTAAATTATAACAACTTGTTGACTAAATTATTTATATTAAGAGAAATTATTGAATGTGGTTAATATATTAAGTTTGTTTTTTGTTAAAGTTAAACTTTATAATCACACAATTATTAAAATATTAAAAATATTCAACAATAAATTATAATTCATAAAAATATAATGTATATTTTAAAAATATTCCGTGATAGATATTTAAGGTAAAACATTTTTGCTGTGATTAACTTTAATTCTAATAATGGAAAATTCCAATAAATGTATTGAGCTGAGTAGAATAATAAAACGTCAATATAAGTATTATTATTGCGAGCATTGAAGTTAATTATCAACTTACAAAACTAAGCCTATGTGTACTTAACATTGAAGTGCTAGTCATGGTTAACGAGAGAAAAAAAACAAAAACAAAGAAAACCAAACATAAAAAAATTGAAACAGTAACATTTAAGAATTTAGGAGATCTGTTAGGATAAAATTTTTCTGAATTTTGTCTCAAATAATTAAACCGCTTTTTAATACAAAATTTAACTTAAATATCTCCATTGTTTCTTGAATGATTAAAACCAATTTTTTAATTGCATGCAAGTGTTGTTTTACTTATGTTTTAATGTTTTTTAATTTGTTTAAGAACACTTAACAAATTTTATATTAACAATTTTGTATATTTCCCCCCCTTTTAAAGAAAAAAAAATCCAGATGCTTCTCATGCATAATCATCGTTAAACGTGTGATGTGTCAGCGTAAGACATTTGGTTTTTCCAAACACTGCACTGAACTGTAAATGTCCGATAGCAATTAGGTAAGTATTCTACCGTTTATTTTACATAAATAATTTAACCATTTTTTTAAAAATATTAATGTTTTGTTTAATTTAGAATTTATATTTTTTGTGATTGTTTATATGTATTTATTACATTGTCGTTTTTTACGGTGATTTAATTTCATATAACAATTATTAACAAATGACACGTTATTTCTAAATTTTCATGTTGTATTTTAGTTTTAAAATTATTAACGTTTTCATATTTTTCAAACAATAATCTCTTTTTATTTTTTTAACTTTATGCATTTGTGACTTCTTATATTTAGTCTTTATTTTATATATTAAAGTGCTTACTTTTTGGACTGAAACGAGTTTAGATTCTCTCCATTTTCTTCTTTCTATTTTGTTGTCTATTTTCTCATCCAACCATCAAAATTATTGCAATATACATTTTCTTGGAAGTACACTTGATAATTCTATCAGAATTTTTTCAAAAAAAGAATGCAATTTATTTCATTTTGGTATATAATTAAAGCAGCAATCACTTTGATGTTGGATAACGTTATTAATTTTTTTACAACTCATTTATACTTCTACATATCTCTTCATTAAACCACTTAACTTAGTATATATATATTATTTTCTCTTATTAAAAATACAATATGAGAATGTGCTGTTACTCTTTCATTTGTTACAACGATGTACCAAATTAGTGGTTGCCCTGCTCCTAATGGAAATGATGCATATTCATCATTGAAAAATAATGCACAATATTGAGGCTTTATGCAACTGTACAAAAAAAAAAGGAAAAGTTGTCTTGTTTTACTTGTAGCTATACATTGAATTAAGGTCTTAAATCAGGTCCCAAAGTAATCATAACTTCAATATGCAAAAAGTGGTTTGACAATAAGTATGGAAATGAAGGGATTGTACCTGAATCAGAATGATATGATAAATATTAACAGGTTATAGAGATCATGCAAGAACGAAAACAGGCATAGGTTTGTTTGGGGGAAAAGAGAAGAAAAGACAATGTAAAAGGCATTAATAGTGAAAGAATGATGAACCAACCGGAAGTGAAAACTTGAAGACTATTAAACTCTATCACAGATTGTGCATTCCATTCGCCTAAACATGCTAAAGTCTCATACAAATCAAGACAAAAATTCAGAGGCTGCCACTCCTTTTTTCTTTCCCTAAAACTCCTTTTTCCCAGAAAATTTAGACGAAGAAAACAAAAAGAACAAAACAAAAAGGGCAGCTATCTCTGGCTTTCACGTACAGCAGGACCTCACATTCCATATATATATAGATGAGTGCAAATAATCAAATAAAAAAGACTGCATGGGATCTGAATGTAACAATGATGGTGACTTCATTGTGGAGATGCCAAATATGAAGCTGATAATGACATGACCACATGAATATGGTGATGAATACACCAACTATTCTATGAAACCAGTTTTGGTCAAAATAGCATTTCTCACTTTGCTAAGATCTCTCCCTTTCAGTGTCCTCCCTATCCCTTCACACACAGAGAAAGATGAAATCTGACTCCTTGCAAGTTTCCTAGCAATCCATTCATGAGGAGGAATCATATCATCCTCATCCTCAACGTCATCATCACCATATTCATCATCATGGTAATAATGATCCTCATAACCACAATCACCCTTGTTGTTTACACCCTCCTCAACACCCTTCTTGCCATTCTTCCCATATATTTTTGACCAGTCAGGAATGGCCATAGGTGCTGAGGACCTTTGAACCACATTTGTATCTGATCCCAAGGAGGGTAGTGTGATACTATTACTGTTAGTCCTCGGGATCTTTCTTGGAGAGGTTGACAGGCGCCATGCAGAAGAAGAACCAGATGACTCCTTAGATAACCTCATTTTTGGGCTTAAATAATCCCTTTCCCTTTCTTTGGCCACACCCCACACATCTTCTTCGTCAAAATCTTCATTACTCATTGACCCCCCACCAAAACCGCTGCTTTTGTTTAAAGAACCACCCCAATCTGCCATTACTATTAGTTCTGGCAATCCTTCAGTTGCCTGCAAGGCTAATAATAAAGATAGAGGGGTGCTTAGGAGAGAAAGGAAGTGGATTGAGGCAAGAGGGAATGATATATCACACAGTTATTTATTTCAGTATATATAGACATAGATCACTCGAAACTTTATTCACCTAAAAGTTTCTAATGAGATAAAATATGTATATGCATATATTTTCCCTCCTTGGAAATTAAAAAGCAGAAAGGTGCAAGGGAAGAGAATACCATCAAGAATCTACCTTGCCTTGGTTTCAATACCCTCCAAAAAGGAAATACTTCGAAACAATTTTCTCAAATGGGAACTCTGATATACCCTTCAAAAACTAACCAAGAAAAAGGAATAAGACTTGAAATCCTTGCCGGGACCTTAATACCTCCAAAGAAAATCACAGGTTTAAAAAGACCAGACTCACAGAATGGTTCCTGAAAAAAGACAAGAGGCAGAAAAAGACAAGAAAGCAGCAAATGTGTACATATGAAAAAAGGTGGTATTATTATAGTCTTGGCTCATAAAAAAGCCGGATATGGACGGTAAAGCCAAAGACTATAAGAAGGGGAGAAAGAAAATGATGGGTCTTGGAGTGAGTCTGAGTTGATGTCTCTCTCTCTATATAATAACTTTGGTTATTTGCAAAAGTCCAAAAGATGAAAGATGAAGGACATGGGCATGGCGGCATCAAGAGAAAGTCCCATCATAGCAGCAGCACTATTAAGAAGAGGGAAGAAAACACAGGCTGAGGCTGCTGCTGTTGCTGCCTAATGTATCACTCAGTTGCAGCGCAGTGTATGCTATTGCTATGTATGCATAAAGCCATAAACTTAACTTAAATGACTTTTTTTCTTTTGGAAAGGTCTGAAAGGCTGCATCCTGATTGGTAGAGGTGGTGATACACTATTGGCTTGAAGGTACCTTAAGGATCTGCAACCTTATCCTGAACTCAACTAATGTTACTCCTATGTAGTAACTCATTCGGCGGTAGTAAGCCTCTTCTCTTTCTGCCCCTGTGAAACTTGAAAGTGTGAGCCTACACTACTCACCCTTTATTAATTGCTTCCTTGGAGAGGGTGCTTCTTGCTTACTACCAAGTAAGTAAAACCATTTTGGTTGGGTATTACTATAACATTGAGATATGTTCCCAGTTTTTGCTGACGAATAACAATGCCTTTCAACTGTGACTCATCTTATCTTTACCTTCAATGCTTCCTGGGTTACGGGATCATTAATGTGCACACCTCAGACTCTAACCCCTCCATCTTATAAAACCTTAGAATCCTGAATTAGTTTAACTATATCAATTTTTAATTCAGTCTTAGTAAATCATTTTTTGACATATAACTTTTTTTTATATATATCTGTAAATATACATTAAATAAATTTACTAGTAGTATACTTTAATTAAGTTCATATGCGAATTTGTATACCAAGAGTATAAACAAGGATAACATAAGTTATTCGTTTTTTATTATTCTGTGTATATTATAAGTATCTTTTATTAGAGGCTTAAATTGAATAAAAGTACAGTCTGTCAAACTTTTTTTAATATTTAATACAATTATATTTACTGAAACTTAAACTTATAATTATAATATAATTAAAAATATTTTTTAACAAATTATTTGTTATTTTTTTTAAGAACTCTTTTTATTTCATGGTATCCTCGAATTATTTTTGTTTACCAACGGACTTAAACTGAGGTATCTTGTTTTCCTAAACAATGGGATTCAATGTTTTGGTAAGGAAAGATTGATAAAGAACTAAAACTGAAATTAATTAGCATGAACATTTCTAAGGTATTAAAGAGAGTACGACTGAAAAAACAAACATATAATAAGATTTTTGTCACAAAATAATATATATGTTTAGTTTAATTTAGACAGATTTTAGTGACAATGCATTATTTGTTTTTGTTGTGCTCCACTAAGTAAAGTTCTCATCCACCCATTACTACTTTTTAATGGATGCAATTCTATACTGTATCCAGTTTGCAAATATGCACGTATATCAATTTACATTTATTACTTAGGATTCGTAACAAGCTGTTTCGCAAACAATGACAGCTATATTGGCACAAAAACCACAATCAAGCTTATCTTGCTGTAGGCTATTCTCACTCCATTTCGTATACATTATTACTTGCATATTTATACTACTTCCCTATTCAACACCAAATATATTTCTTGTATGCAAAAAATACGCAACATCCCTTTTTAAATTATTTAAATATCAAATTTTATAATGGGTATTAAAAATATATAATAAAATTTTATATATTTTTATCAAAAATTATAAATTTTAATATAATAATAACATTGAATATTATAATTTTGTAATACAAAGGAAAAATATAATTTCATAAACCCTCTGGTATGAATTATATTAATGCAAATTAGAACATTACAGTAATTCAATAAATTACAACATAAATTAAAAATAACTTAGCTCTTTAAATTTTAAAACATTTTTGAATGACTGGTATGATAAAAAAAAAGGTGATATAAGATTTGGGGTAGAATAAAAGCAGATAAACGTAGAAGTATGAAAGAAATGAATGATGATTATTAAAGAATAGCAGCACAAGAGGGAAAGCATACGGGCCAGCCAGAACCTCCATAATTGCATTGTAAAGCATAGTCAAGTGAAATCACTTACTAAGTGGGCCAGTAAACCTCCACTAACGAATTCATATATAACAGATGCAAAGGTTGATTTCTTACCATCCATACCCATTTCCATGATTGACAATTAATCAAGCACAACTATGACAATTACATATTCTTTCTCATTTTACTCAAGCAATACTTTTAAACATAGAAAACTTGTGTCTAGAAAGTAGAAAGCAATAATAAGAAATTGAAAATCATCCATTGAATATGCTCAAATACTTTGTATATAGTATCGGCTAGGATCAGCTCTCACAGTTAGTCATTTATCTATCATTTGCACAAAGTGTTTTGTCGCTTCAACACCTTTCATGAACCAAGTGTGGATCATTTTTAAGCCACCTATATATATAATTAGGGGTTTAGGTCATTGACGTGTCTAAAAATGTAATATGGTTCTACGCATACAAGGATGTAAGCCTCACACGTATTCAAACACTCGCCTTCTCCTTTAGCCTTTCGGTTCAATGGAGAAAAAATAAAGCAGAAAAATTAAGACAATGAAAAGTTTTTTACTTTATGAGTTAGATAAAGAGAAAAAAACACTATTTTTTACATTTGTGTATTTATTTTTATAAAAAAAATCTTCTTACTTTGTCAAGTGTCAAAATAATAATACTGTTTTTAGACACTTAAATTATGCTAACACTTATTTAATATAAGTACAAAAATTAAAAATTGGAAGCCACTTTGAATTAGCTATCAAAGCCAGGTTTCGATCCTGGGACCTGTGGGTTATGGGCCCACCACGCTTCCGCTGCGCCACTTTGATGGCTTGATGATAATTCTATTTCTTGTTTTCTCTCAAAATACTGAACATTTTCTTAATGATTTTTAAACCTTTTATTTGTTAACAAATAGCAAAATGCTAATTTTACAAGCAAGTTACTACGCAGCGTAAATATTATAACATATAAAAGAAAGTGTTATTTTTATATGTTAAATATAAATTATCCAGCTTTTAGTATCAATAATTCTTATTTTTAAGAAAATTTAAATTTCAATTCAAGTTTAGCTCAATAGTATTTGAAGTCCAAATTAACAATAATTTGGAAAGTATAATTTGGTAGCGTATGTTAACTGCAATAATGCATTGAAACATAGTTTTTTTTTTTTTTACGTCAAATACTATAAAATTCTTTCCTCGAAGCAAATTAATTCAAACTTTTACAATCGTATTAAAAGACTATTAAACATATAAGATTAAATACAATTAAATGAATATATAAAATAATATTTGCATTGAAGAAACATTGCAAAATAACATAGAAAGCAAAAGTGAATAGAAGAGTCAGTCATTGATTTAAACAATGAATTTGCTGAGCTACATACATAGTGAAGAATAGAAGAAGATTCAGAAGATAGGACACTTCTCTGCTTACAAATTAGATTTATAATTCTACTTTACTTGAAGAATTCAATCAATAAGGTTATGAGGGAGAAGTTGCAAGGTTTCTAATTCTACTTGAACGCCTAACGGGAGTGATGATGGTATCCTCATCCCCATGTCCCTGAAAAAACAATATAATCAAAACACATTTAGAAACAATTCAAAAGTGATGAATTTTCTTACACAAAACACAGCACACTCACCTGCTTGCTTGGAATTTTCTCATACACAGTTAAGCTTCCATAGGATGGTGAACCCATGGAATAGTCTGATGAAGAGGCCAAAGATTCTCTCCTGTAGCTATTCTTGCGCTTCTTCTCCACGCTGTGAGCGCTGTGAGCTGTTTCATTGAAATGTTTCAGCATTTTTTTGCTGTAGGATGAGCTCTGCTGAAAGCTGCTCATTTCTGAAGGGCATGGCTCTTCCAGCACGTCCATTTCTGCTGTTCCATACCTGAGAGGTACCTTATCTGAAGAAACCTGCTGCTTGTTATTATCATGCAACTCCTTGTTCAATAGAGGTTGCTCCACAGAGCTACTAACAATTACATTGTTTCTGCTTTCAGCTATCCTTGACCACTTGAAAGCTGCACCTGCAATTAAAACAGTACCTGCACATAGCATAAAATATAGCACCATGCGGGGAGGAATGTCAATTTCTTCTAATCTCCCTCTGATAGCATCAATGCTTAATGGTTTTCCCGGTTTTCCCTCTTCTTTATGATGATTCATGGCAGTATCAAAGTCAGTAGCATCGTTTTCTAGTGCCTGCTTTGAATCAACATCACCTGTTCCATACGCTTCAATACCAAATTCAGCAGCCTCTGAATTCAAACTCGGCTGATTTTCAACATTTAAGTTAGCATCACCACCTCCTTGGGCTTGCTCTTCCTCAGATTGTGGAGCATTCAAAGCATTTTCAACTCCAGTAACTGCTCCAATATCTTGCTGAACCTGTTGTTCATATACTTCATGATGCTTTGCTGAAATATCTTCAGTATACTCATCATTATCAGTCTCTGAGGCAGCATCGAGTACTTCCTCAGATTGTGGAGTATCAGAAGCATTTTCAACTCCAGTAACTGCCCCAATATCTTGCTGAACCTGTTCTTCATTTACTTGACCATGCTCTGCTGAAATATCTTCAGCATACTCATCATTATTGGTCTCTGAGGCAACATCACTTTCATGAGCATTCCATACTTGTTTGCGAGTGTTGCCTATTTTGCTTTCTCCGCCACCAAATATAGGGTATTGATCGACCATGGTGTATTCATGAAGAACAGTCAAGTTATAGTATTGTAACTTAGCTAAGTTGTGTGTTCCTCTAACTTCTGAAATGAACTCAGACATCGAAGACAGCGACTTAGTAAACCAAAAGTGTAAGTTTCGAGCTAAGCCATCAAAATTTGTTTTTGCAAACTGGGAGAATCGATCAAAGTTAGCCCTTGCTAACTCTGAAAATTCAGACGATTCATAAACCCTGTAGAGGTCTTCAAACACAGTTTGATCAATCACAGGAGAATCTGTGACTGAGATTGACACAAAAACAGCTGCAAGAAGCAACATCAGAGCAATAGCTTTTGCTCTCACAGTGAAGCGAGGTTTAGGCGCCTCTTTTGCTTCAACAATTTCCTCTGGCATCATAGCAGGACTTGGTTCAGAAATCTGCCCCTCTTCTTCTTTGATGATTTCAACAGAAGAAACATCCTCTGATTCCTTCTGCGAGACTTCAGACTGGGCATCCTCTGTGACTTCTGTATCTGAAAAGCTTCCAGATATGATGCTGTCCTCTATTTCTCTTTCACTGCATAGTTCCACTCTTGGTTTTGGTTTATAGTGAAGAAACTGTGGTCTAGGAGAGAGGTAGTTGGTTTTAGGATCATAAGGGGGCATCAAGGGATCTGCGTCAAGAGGAGCTAAGATGGTAGCTTTATATGAAACTGGAGGAGTAGCTGTGGGGCTAAGCTTAAAAGTTGGGTCAAGGTTAACACAATCAGGTTCCACAGCAACAGTTTCAGTGTGAATGTCATTCTCTAGAACCAAAGGAACATTCATATTTACATCAGTTTCAAACGAAAAATCTGGGTCATTGTTTCGAATCAAAGAAACATTGATATCATCGACGGTAGTTTCACTTTCACCACTCAAATCTTCAGAAGTCAAGGAAGAAGATCTGGGAGCATCCTCAAAATTGGGGGTTATCCCATCAAACAAAGCATCAAACTTGTTCTGTTCCAAGGGCTCAGCAAAAGTTACCTTGCGAACGTTGCTTTTGGGGTCTGCGGAATTTGGAACAACCTCGTTCCTCTCGATGAGGACTTTCTTTCTCGGAGAGTCGTTGATCTTGCAGGAAGCAGAGATTGTCGGAGACATGAAATTCTTTGTGCCCTTTGAAGAAGTAGCTGGTGATCGAACCTTCGCTGGTTTCAATATCTGATCTTTACCATTTTCTTTGTCATCCATGAAGTCCCGCAACGACCCTGCATTTTCTCTAACTCCAACAGAGCTTCTTCTCGGAAAATCTGCAGAACCCCAAAACCCATAAAAAAAAATAAAAAATCTTCAATTACCCACACTCTCTCAGAAATCAATAATCCAAAAAACAAGAATTAAGGAAAAAAGAATACCTGAAGGGCTATTGGCGGGAGTGTTGGGGAAATTTGTTCTAGGGTTTGCTATGACGGAGGGTTTGGCAAATGGGTTTCCAGTGAAACTCCTTCTCATAGGGTTACTGATTTCTGAACTTCTTGGATTAGGGTTTGATAGCACTGAAGATGATTTGTTGGAAGACATTGCGGTGAGTTTGAATAGAATTGAATGATCAGAGGAAGTGAATGGAATAGAAGGAAAATATTGATGTTGACGAAATGGGAGAGATTCTTAAAGATGGTGGTAACGGCTATATTTCTAAACGAGAATTCAAACGGTCAACGAATCAGAGCCGTTGGATTAATTTATCTGACTCGAAGACTAGCCGTTGGAGGGAATGGGGTGGTCCTGTTCATAATCCGTATGGTATTTCTTAGGATTACAAATCGTGCCTTTCTGTTCATTGCATTTAATCTTATTAATAAATTAATGACGTTTTTATATTTCTAAATCCCTCTTCTAGTCTCAATTATTTTTTTTCAATCGAGTTACTGCGGTGAAAAAGATTTTGAAACTCAAATGTTTGATGCCATGTAAGTTGTTATCGGATGCAATTAACTTTAATTTTACACTTTTTGTCAATTATACTTTTAAATTTTTTTATTAAATTTTATTTTAGCTAGTTAAGAAATTTTTTATTTTTTTATCTCTAAAAAAACTATTCTCTTTAATTAATTTTATTTTTCTCAAAATAATAGTTATTTATAATTTCAAAATAAATTTATATTTTTAATTTTATCTTTAAGATAACTATTATCTCAACTTATTTTGTATTTTTTTTTCTTTCTTTATTTATTTATATATAATTTATAATATAAATATAATAAAAAAATTTATAATAATTTTTACAAAAATAAAATGATTAAATATATTTTATAATTTTATTGTTCTTGTATCACAACTTGGAGAAAGTAATGTAACATTTTATCCTCGGTCGAATAACATCATTTAATTTAATTTATGTAGTCAATTTTACTTAATAAAAAGAAAACTTTTATTGTTGTTAGTCAAATATGCTTTAAGAATAAAACTCTTTTCAATGAATAACAACTAAACATATTTATTATACTCCAAAACAAGTTTATCTCCCATCTGAGAATCTAGCATGCATATCTACCTTCTAATTCTAATTTTTCTATTTTAATTTATATTTTTCAGATTCTGTTTTAATTATTTATTAACTATATCCATCTTCCTTATAAATCAAAATATTTTTCTCAAACTTTTATTTTTCAACCTCATTTAACTTAAAAACATATTTTTACATTATATAGAATAACCTAGGTATATAATCCAATATATTTTGTCTTCAATACATAAGAAATATTACCCATTCTATTCAATCGACTATATAAATTACTATGATAAAATTACCTTTATGGAAAGAGTTAAAATATAATTATGAATTTATTTAAGTATTTTGGTAAGATATCAATAAATAAAGATAATATTGAAAAAAAACTTACATTAGTAAATCCAAGGTGCAATATATTTTATAAACAGTCATAATGCGTATTAATTATTACACTGAACATGCTCCAGTGTTTGTTTCCTGGTTATCATAATCCTCTCCCCTCTCCTCATCCCTGGATGATAAAAGTATAAAGATGCAGTATAGTTTGTTGATGTTGTTCTCCATTCCTTGAGTTTTGCTTTGGTCTCTCGCACAAAATTCATCGACTTCAAAATTTGGTACTAATTACCAAGATGAATTTAATTTTTAACTGAAAAACAACAAAGTAAAACAAAGGTGCTGCACTAAGTTTTGTCCCCTCGGAAATTATTGCGAGTTGCAACCACTACATAACTTGGGGACTGACGATGATAGCTCGATCTTCCACCTGAACAACAATTTGAAGGGTCTGAGCCACAGTGGTCAAAACTTACATCCCTACAATAATTAGAATGAAATAGTCAAAAATCCATTTCTTCATAATCATTAAGGCAACTCAGTAATTTAACAAGGAAAATATCTTACTATCAAATCAAATGACAGGTAATATGCCTTCCTGTCTACTAAGTGACAATTTCCAAAGTAAATATAATGGGCTTCGTATTCAAACTCAAAAGGCATTGCCAATTTTTCATCAGATTAGTTGAAGTCTTGAAGATGATGATGAAAAGCATTTAAATGATTAAACTTTTCTTAAATAAAGCGAATGTAATCAAATACTTTTACTCTTGATTATCAATTCAAACGAACACAAGAGCTTGCACATCTATTCTGCAATGTTATTAAATCACAATTTAAAGGCTCATCGATTTAAGGACATAGATTAAATTGTTGTAAAACAACCTACATTATTCTTTGCTAAAAATATGAAAATTTGAAGCTTGTCTCTAATAGCTATTCACGTTAACTTTACTTTCAGTAGGATACACCATATGCAATCAAGTATCTTTAAACTAACACTTACCACAAAACCCGTACAAAAGGGATGAAACTTAATTTGTGCCTCACTTCCTGTCCAGTCAAATGTCATGCTGACTTGCGTGCAGCATGGTAAAGCTCTAGATAGTCAAGAGCAGGCCCGTTCCAAGACCAGTCTTGCTGCATCACTGTCTTGCATAAAGTGTTAAACCAGTCACGACCCTCATACCATGCCGATATTGCCCTGAAAATGTCAATTTTAAAATTAATATTGCTATGACAAATTATAAGACTTTGGAAACACCGTTTATGTGCATATTTGCAAGGTTATTGGGGAAAGTAAACTCTTCATAGTAAATATGAAGCATATATGTGATTGACATAATTGTGAAAGGACATGTTCCTTTCAACTTAAGCCATAAGAGACTTAACATATATCCTGATAAAGATTATGTTCTTCTGAATATTTTGGTTTTCTCATGTTCAAAGTTCAAACACAAACGTTAGGTCATTGAACAATGAATAACTCACCTATTGAGAGCATAATCAACGCCTCCAGCATCAGCTCCATCAAAACTGAATCCATTTGGCTGAAGACCTAGTGCTTTTGCTCTACTCCCATCATGATCAACGTCAAATACAGTATCATGTAGTCCTGCAAAATTTTGTGAAAATATATAGTTGAATGTATTAAAGATGAATAAAGAAGATGGAAGTTGACAACCAATTTTTTATTCTAAGGGAAGTAACAATTAGACTATTAGAGACATTACCAAGGTGAAAAAAAGCTTGTATATATCATGCATAAAGATTTATGGAGCCCATACCAACCAAAGAAAAACTAACAAGACATAAAACATTCCATATATATAGGGTGTAACTTACACATATATTGGGTGATTAAAAAAAAAGCATGTACAAACCTCCAGTTTTTCGAACAACAGGTATGGAACCATATCTCATTGCAATGAGTTGAGTAAGACCACATGGCTCAAAGATCGAAGGAACTAGAATGAAATCAGCACTGGCATATATCTAGATTAAAAGATTTCAAGTTAGTTTATAATGCATTGTTATGCTAGCCATAAAGGAAGTCAAATGTTTAATTAAGGAATGCAAGCAATATACTCATTTTCTTTTCAACACACAATTTTATTATTGGATGAAATCTATGTAGATTCCTCTAAATATAGATTGGGACTCACTAAATAGGAAATGGAACCCATATCATTTAGTGACTTACATAGATGTCATATTTCGGTCTTTAATAAAGTGTACTTTAAAATATGTTATTAGTTGCAATAAATTACCAAGTGTGATAGGGGCTCATCATATGAAAGACAGAATCTAGCACGGTCATGATGAAGGGCATGCAATTGATTGGCCAAATGTACAAAATCATTTTGGATACAAGGATCTGGAGCTGAGCCAAGTAATACAACCTGCATTCAAAATTTTCCATTGTCAAGACATCGACAACTTCAATACAACCAACATCCGTAAAGAAGTTCCAAATTGATGTACAAAGCCTAATAACAAAATTAAATTGCCTTGTTTTGAAATATATTCTTGGGTTGACACTTGAAATTATGTGGAGTGGAGGTTCTGTTTGAGATGAAGATATCATTCATCCTTTAAAATAATCCTCTAAACAATCAAAACCTGAATCTGTTGAAGTGATGGTCAAGATTCATAAACTGGGTGCTTAACTATCTCTGACATGCCATGATGAGGATTGAACTCAAAACAACTTAGTCACTTTAATGCCACATCAATTATAATTTATTAATAACAATATGACCTAAATGCATAAATTACAATGAAAGGCTTAAAAATTTAAATATTTCTATATAAAAAAATATTGATAACATTTTCATGATTTGTTACATTATAGTGTCCATATACTACATAATACCCTGCTATTATGCGAGCAATTGACGTGTGTGGTAATGCTAGTGCACAATTTGATGAATGAAAGATATAAAAGACCTGTCCACCACGCTCCAGAGTGTGCCATATGGCATGCTTGATGAGATGGATTCCTTTCTGATGAGTCAATCGTGAAATAATTCCCAATAAAGGAAGTTCAGCTCTTCTCAAACCAAGCCTTTGTTGCAGGGCTTCCTTGGCAGCTCTTTTGCCTTCAACAACATTTTCTGATGTGTATGATACCTGCAATAATGTTATATTGAACAAGTCATAACTGCATTAGAGGAACAAGAAAGATCCTAACGAAATCAATAACAAATGACTATAGAATAAGTACAGCTTGGTCACAAGGGATATAGTAATGCTTTCAACTCATTGCAGTCATCGCTGAATCAACTGCATACATTAATCCATCAGTCCATTCTTCCTAAAAGTTTTCTTACTTTGTTTAAATTATAATGTTCAACTTAAATTGAGCCATGTGTGCAGTTGTGAACCGTTGGGACTGTAATAGTTGAGCAAAAAGCATATAATCCATCCTAACTATGCACAAAGTTACAGAAGAAAGATGACCTGGCCCAAGTACTTTCACTCTTAATAGATTGCATTATTGTCAGGAGATGGATAAAAACTGATATAGGATGGGCAAATGTGTCTTATCCAATGGAAGCATAAATCGAGATAAAGACGGTCATTCAGCACCTGTGTTGCATACATACAGGTTCAAGTATTTGGACAATCTTCAAAAAATAGAAGATTTGGGTACAAGATAAAGTATATAATTATGGAGACAGTACTCAAGCAGTGACAGTTTTGGGACTTAAGTTTGATAATACATTGTGTAAAAAAAAAATTTGTGTATATGCCTACTTACAGGAATGAACTTATCATTATACGGGTCCCATATATCTGGGTCAATTCCATTTATAATACCGTGGAACTTATGAAGATGAGGAGCTACTTCAGGATTCCCTGAAACCTCCCTTGAATAAGTTGGGGAGACCTGCCAATATAAACATGTTTGACTGAGATCATATATTGATAATAAGAACATCATAATGATGTACAGGTGAAAAATCACTAATTAGCTTTTCCTTCCAATATCATTGATTTTATTTAAATTTCAAATATGTCTTTGTCAGAATTTTTTTTAATAAAATTAGAATACGAACTGAAAAAATTTCTTTCAAAATAGATTTTAAGCAAACAGATTATGAGTGTTGGGTCTAATCAAACTCTGGAGATATATTATGATTAATCCATAAAAGTTTTCTTTCAAAACCAACTCTACTTTTGCTAACATAAATATACCTGGTAAAATATAAATATAACAGGAAAAAGAATCATCACAAGATCGTCTCTCCATGATCCTAGAGAGCAATGCTTACTAGTGCCAATCACTGTATCCTAACAAAATTCCTCCTACATTCTAGGAAAAAGAAGAAGCTCTAAAAGAACAAAGCAAATATTACAACTAAATAATACCAATTGATTTCAATAATGAAAGTTATCATGATAAAAATAATGAAATGTTAGATGAAAGTTAGAAAAATAGATGAATTCAGTACATAGCCAGCACTTACAGTTGTAGCCTTGTCTGTGTATGCCATAGCTTTTCCAATGAAGTGGGCTCCAAATTCAAGGTTATGAATTGTAAACACAACCCGTGTTTTTCTTAGACTGTTCTTTTTATACTGTTCTTTAAATAGCCATGCAACTGGTGCACTCGACCAATCATGGCAGTGGATGATATCCTGTCCATTTTTAAGAACCAATTACAACATTAAATTAATGTGTATAAGTGTGTGAGCACCAAAAGAAATGGGTGATAAATTCATTGTTAAACCATGAGCTATAGCACATGTACAGTTATAGAAATAGTACGTCAATTTATTGAATTTATATAAGCAATGTATAAAAAGTTGGATTCCTAGAAAAGTGTCGTTGAGTGGATGGCAGTTCACATGGAAGAGAGTAAGAGTTGCTCTAGTGTAGATCATGCATACTCATGGATGAAAGAAATTTCTACTGCAGAGGGAGTCGATATGAATAAATAAGTTCACACTTGAGGAAGAGTATTGGAGTCAAGTGTGAATTAGTCTCAATTGTATTCTTATAATGTTTTTGGGTCTAGTGGGATGAAAACGAATGGTGACTCATATGTCATTCATCAACAATGACATTTTTAAGCTTCACTCTCACACTATGGACACGATAAGATCTCACTCACATCAGAAAGGAACTGTATCATGAAAGTTATCAAAATAACAGCTCAAATTGCTCAATAACTACTCAAATGATATATCTTACAGGATGAAATCCATTTTGATGTAGAAATTCAAGAGCAGCGTAACAAAAAAAACCAAATCTCTCTGCATCATTCCCACAACCATATACACAGCCAGCATGAAAGAATCTGTAGGAAAAGAATCATGTTAAGGAAACTTCAATTTATGCAGCAGCAGAAGTTTTTCAAGTCATCTTATTGCCAATGATCATAAGTAAAAATATGTAACATAGATACAATTTAAGATGTATGCCAAAAAAAATTATAGTCAACAAGCATCAATTTAAATTGTTGAGCTTCTTATATAATTGACCTATTTGATTATTTTACACTTCTTTCAAGTTTGCTTCAGATATAATCATTACTATGCTTTTACACACAAACAATATATTCAGTTTTCAAAACTTCAACCCATTTTTTGAAGCAACGATTGAATTATCTCATTAGTCATGGTTTGAGTTCATCAAACATCAAACAAAAATACTTTTTCTCTCTCGTATGACTCTTCATTAAGAATGTGCACGAAAATAAATTGTTTCTTATAGTCACATAAATATGTTACATTACTTTTAACATGCCCCATCACTATCTCTATGAAATTTAACCAACAGATTCTAACTAGAGGACAAAAATAAATGCCAACTCATACATTTAGATCATAATTTTAATATTTCTTGCTTTTAGAGACTAAATTTAAGAACTTATATCTTTTAGAAACCAATTTAAAGTTTTAACCGAAATTTACATTGCAAGAAAATGAGATAAAATTAAGAAGAGAAAGAGAATAAAAGAATATAAAAATTATATGATAATTTTTTAAAATAAAAGTACAATTTATTAAATTTATCTCTTTTCTCTATAAATTAACATTTTTATCATTATATACTCACATAGGAGCTATTCACACACTTTCACTGTTTAATATATAAATTAATCTTAGCTCATTTATATAATTAAGCCTAAAGTAAAGCTTAAGTTTGTTTGTTTATTAAAATAAATGAGCTTAATTATGTCTTTAATAAGTCAAGATCAAATAGTTTGCAAATAATTAAACTCGATTATACCCGTAACTGCACCCTATCTTTACATGCTATCTCAAATCTCAACATATATATTGTTTTGCCTTATAAGTTGACCAAAACTTGTTTCCAAAATAAAAATGAAGTACATCTCCATTTTGATTATTATGAGTTATACTATAATTTAACACGTACGTTACATCTATATTTAAACAAAAAAGTAAATTCACTTGTTTGCCATGTTCTAAATTCTAATCATCCAAGGTACACACCCTTACAATCTGAATCTCTAATATTAGTGGAACTACCCATGTGGCCAAACAGTAACTCACAATAGGCTAGAACGTCTAAGAATGGAAAACCAATATTCTTACCCATTTTGAGGCTCCAAGAAGAATACAGAGAGACCTTCCACCTTTCCATTCCATACTTTTATTTCAGTCCCACCACAGAAATAGTTTTTGTGATATTGAAAATTTTTTATCTGCATCAAAAGACATATATTTAACAGATATAGAAATAATGCTACCTACAAAACAAACACAATTTACAAACTTTCAACCCAATTTTTAAAAGCCCAACAGTAGCCAGTTATAAGTTTAAGAGGACCATCAACACAGATGCTTGACAGCCAAATCTTAATCTGCTCAACAATAGCCATAGATTTTCATGAAAGTCCAAGTCTCAATCAATTTCCATAATGTTTGTGTTAAGGCCCTTTGATTATCAACCAGTTTCACATTGAAACTCAAGCTATACAACTCTCATAAGTGATTATGCAATCATGCTCTTTCAATAGGTCAGGCAAGAGAACTCATGATTTAAAGAATAAACTCTAAATATCTGGTGCACAGAGTTTAAGATATAACATAAGTATCAAAGTGATAGCGAAAAACTTACATTGCTTTGGTTCAAACAGTCATATTTTGGAAGAACAATGTTCACATTGTGGTTTAAATCCTGAATTGCTCGGGATAAACTAGTAACAACATCACCAAGGCCTCCAACCTGCCAAAAATATAGATCATTAAATATATAAAATTTGAACTCTCTTTAGGTACCAATTCAATAAAAATGCTAGTTCTATTTTTCAATTATACACATTTTCAAATTCCACTTTTTATAGACAATTCAGAGGGCTAAAAAACTGCAATTGACGGGCTGAGGTTTTTACAGCAGAGATCACCAAATACCACAATTGTCTCTGACAACTATATTTTCTATTACAGACCCATATGAAAATGATAAAATTTCTTCATTGTAAACTTCAAAAACTCTTCATCCTCAGTAAATAAAAGTACAGGTCTACACAGAAACTTGTAGATGAAGATAAGTTAGATGCAACAGGCTAATTTACCTTCGCAATTGGGGCCATCTCAACAGCAATATGGACAATATGCAAGGGCGGTTCATTTACAATCCCTCCAAAAACCGGTATGTGATAATCCATTTCATTTTTATTGTCAAAAATTCCACCTTCTTTCCTCTCAGAGAATACGAAATCCATCATGTATGCATCTAGTGGAACCTTAACTGCAGAAGCACAAAATCATAGAACTTATTCTTGAACAGATGTACAAGGCTATACGTAAACAAATTGATTTTATGTCCTTTTTCCAGTACAGAACAAATTGATTGCACAAATACACTATTTGCATCAAGTTGCAGACTTCCAAATATGGTAAAATTAGTATAAAATTGTCCACCTGGAAACACTAGAATTGCTGATCTGATACAAGATCTGTGAACATTGATGAATACAAACAACAAGCAATCCTTTTCATAAACACACTGCAACCTTCTCCAAAACATTATTTTTTATGAACGCTGAACATTCAGACAAAGGCCTGTCTACAACTTATAAAGCACAATATGAACAGGTAGCACAATTCATTTAGTACGGAGACAAGTAGTCGGCCAACCAGAATAACAGCATTTCATAGATGCTGATGACATAAAAATTCATAACATATTTGGTAGGTACTTGTAGGTATTTCAGAAGACACACCCTCTAAATTAATTCTAGCAATAAAATAATTAATAAAATATGCTTCAAATGTAAACTATGAGACTCACCAGAGGCTTTGACATGAGTACTATTCCCTGCAGGCAACATTTTTTGAGGTGGCAAAGGACCATTTTGATGAGTCCAACGATTAAATGAGTATCTAAACCAAACCTCTGGTTTTCCATTAAGATTTGTGTTGTGAGGATTATAAAATACAGTCACTATGCTCCCTGCTTGAACATCAAGAGGCTCGGTGAAGACAATATGCTTTTGAGAAAGCAAAAATCTTTTCAAAGTTCTTTCCTTTGTTTTAGCTTTCATACGTGCTATTTTTTCAACCTGCAACGAGAATAGGTCCAAATAATGGTCGTCAATCTTTGTTCTTCCCAAAAGCAAGAAAGCAGAATGTATATGTCTGCCAACTAATATTTAGATAAACAAAGTCTTAGGGACAACATAAATACTTCCATTTGTCTTTTTTCGAAGAAGAGAGTGTTTTTATTTTTGTTCTAATCATAAGAAATATATATCTGTTTTCATATGCATTAACTGATAAATTTCTTTTATACCTTTATTTTATAATAAGATTTGTGTTAATAAGGCACTTATCCTTTCTCTATTCAGTTTCCATTGATCCTAATGAATTAGTTATTTGATTTTAATAAGAATTGGAGGTAGTATTTAAATAAGCTAGTAAAAAAGGTAAACTTCATAGTCCAAATGTGATAGATTACTGTTAGGAACCAAGAATAGAAATAAAAAGATGAATGAAAGAAAGATTTTATTGACTTATATGGAAAGAACAAAAATTAGGGGAGAGATATCTCTTTCGAGAGTTTGTTTCACAAAGAGAAAGTGCTCAATCCTAAAATGATACAAGACACAGTTAAACCTTTCCCCTTAATTTCACTATTTATTGAAGTCAATAACTAGCTAACCATTCCAACTATTACTAACTTATTTTCTCGCCCCTCTCTCCCAACACTTCACAGTTGCATAATAAGTATATATTTTTCCTAACTTTCTATGTATGCTCATATTGTGTTAAAATATATCACATTAACTAGGAATAGAATCAAAATACTCTTTATAATGGTTAGTGTAGTCCTTTTATGACTTAGCTCTTAAAGACAAGTTAGGCTCAAGTTTCTTAACATGATATTATATCTTATCCAGTTTCAATGTTGGACTGCCAACAGATATCCAATCCTGCAAACTTTAGGCACTAAATGTCCAATTCTGAGCATGAAAATGGTGTATTAAGATGTTCCACATTGACTAAGAATAAAAATAAAATACTCCTTATAAGGGTTAGTGTAGTTCTCTTCCTATGAGGTAGTTTTTGTAAGTGAATTGAGTCCAAATTTTTTTAACATATTGAAAGGAACCTTAATGGAAACATTAAACTAAAAAAAATTATTTATGGCTATGATGCTAGGCAGTCTCAATGAACTAACCTTGGCACACATAGCTTCCTCTCTTAACCTCCTCTCTTCTTGGAATTTCCTGTATAAAATCAGCTCTTCCCTAATCCAATATTCTTCATCAGGTATGGCCTTTATGACAATAGCATGGAAGTCTTGCCGATGGTTGTTATCATACACACTTGCATTGCGAGGTGGACCATCAGCAAAGACCCAATCCAATACAAAAGCTTGGTCAGGTACAACAACTGCATCAAATGAAAAACAATTTTTAAAAAATTGCTTACTTCAAGTTAGTCTAGAAGAGATTATCAAGTTTTCACGTGACCTTCCAAATATTATTATCTAGGATACGATACCATCAGAACAGTCATTTATCCTTCTTTTATTTTGCCATAATGTAGACTTTCTTAATTGACTGGGTAATTATAAACCTGATTCAGAACTAAAACATTTATGCCTCAGAAAAGAACTTACTCTATATGTGTGTGTGACTTGTAAGCCAAAGAATGTAGACATAGTAGAAACCCAAAGCCATAAGTTAGAAATGCTTCTACACCTTTATAGTTCAAAATTTTGAAAAAAATGATGACGACAATCTTAAATATCCGAAACCCTTAAATCTGCAACTTTTTCATGCTTAAATTATTAAATTATACTATGGACACAATAATATAGATATGTCGATAATTCACTTCTCTATTGATTCTTCTTGTGGACAAAAGAATGTGCCTCAGAATCATGTATCAGCATCTAATCTACAAAGGCATTCCATTCACCCTTGCCTTCACAATCATGTATAAGCAGAAAACATAATATATAACACTACAGTACATTCACATTGTTTCCACCCTCGAAGAGCATGCATGTGCCTATTCTAAGATAGTAGATGTCAAACTCCACCTCCTTGCAAATCACATCATAGTACATGTTTTCTCTATTGATACACTTTCTATATCCCATAAAAGATTAGCTTCCATTAAATGAATTAACATCAAAGAAAAGTAACAAAAGATGTAAATGAGCATACCATCAGCATGCCACCAATCACCATCTTTTGAACCTGATTTGACAAGCCTTTCAGAGATTGATAATCCGTCCTTCCAGTTATTGTGTCCCCCATGTATCCACACTTCCTTAGCATGTGTAAGAGGACCTGAGCTTTTGTTATAATATAATCTGACCAAGTCTTTGCCTTTAAATTCTCTAGGTTCTATATACCAAATGTTGTGAAGGGATTTCACTGCTTTTTTAATCAATTGCTTCAATGCTTCTCTCCTCCCTTCCATCTTCACGCTAGCCAGTGACCTGTCCTCGTCTTTTGCAGCTTTATCTGCTTCCATTTGCCTTTTCTCTTCTTCCCGTTTTTCATTTTCAGCTTGCTCCTTAGCGAGTTTTTCTAATTCTGTATGTTTTTCCTTGAGCATGAAAACTTCAAATGTGGATGCATCCAATCCACTGTTAACAGGTATGGAGAAATCCTTTTTGTCATTATTGTCGTAGATATTGTGCCCATTGGAGAACACAAAGTCCACTTTATAGGCTTCTTTTGGAACATATATCCGGCAAGACCACCAATCATCATTGAGGCGTGTTTTATGTAATCTAATGGTAAAAGACTTCCACCTCCAATCATTAAATGCCCCCTTAATCAGAATGTCTGGCTGATTATTTAGAGTTGAAAGACTCCTATTAAAGAACAATTCAATGTCTTGATCAGGCTTAACCACAGGAGGATATACAAACAGCTTGTTTCGTAGTGAAAAGTTTTTCTCTGCAAACCTCCCTATCTGTTGCCTGCGTAGATTTGCTTCCAACTCCAACTTCAACCGTCGAGAAACTTCCTCATCTATTTCATCATCAGTATCAGTATCTATTTCCCCAACTACGGTTTCCCCAGTTACTTCATCATCGGTGTCAGCATTTGCTTCTTTAACATTCCCAATGTTGGTGTCTAGAACATCCTCCTCATGCAACAATGATAATTGACCAGCCCTCCCAAAAATTTCATCATTGACTTCAACTACCTCAAAATCTCTCTCCTGGGAAAATTCAACTGCCTCCACTTCGTCAGCACCAAGCGTTTGTTTATTTCCCCTTGAAATCACAGTAACTGTCGAGGTAGACGAATCTCGCTTGATCCCGGCACCTTTCTTACCCCACTTCTGGTTGCTTCTTCCACTAGGTGATCTCGGAACGAAAGCCTTAGAACCATAACCAGGGCCCCTTGGCCTTGCAGTTGAGGACTTCTTTTGTCTCCTACGCGAATAATCTGCCAAAAGATAAACAGCAATTACATGAAATAAATTTTACAAACTTGAAAAGAGGAGTGGAGAGGATCAATCATATAGCAGTACAACATTGTTGGTACAAAAACCAAAACTAGTGTAGCTAATAAACCTGCACCAGCGTCGATATAAAATGAACCCCAACCAGCCTTGAATTCACGTCGCCATGGCAAATACTGAAAAAAAAAATCTGAAATATTTAGCAAAAGCATTAGTATAGTTCAAAATATAACGCCTAAGAACCAAATTATGAGCATTACTAGATCGGCATGAACCAAACCATCAAACTCATGAACAAAAATAGAAAACGGCATGAATTAGGAGAGTAACTATTAGGCGGCATTGGCTAGTTGGAGGGAAGAACAAACGAGGGACAAAGCACGTTCCTCTATCGGCAAACGTCGTTTTGCAGTTCAGTTGCAACGACATGTCCACGTTCTTGCCGCTTCTGTTTCCCAGTAATTCTTCTTTTACCAAGTAAAATGCGCTATATATGATCAATGTCGGTTCCAACAATCATTCTCTATCTGAATCTGTGCAACAAGATAATAAACATTATTATTACATGATATTTTGTGGAAGTAATTAAATAAAAGATTTTAAAAGGGTAGTTGTACTGTGTGCCACTGCTGATTCTCTGATAATCTAGCCTCGCCCACACATTCACACAACTCTACTCTGTATCTGCGTGCACCGTCTTAATTTTCGCGCACCCGGGTAATCGCGGTTTCCTATGTGACCTGAGATTTTGTACCGAGTCTCAGTCTTTATTAACAAACAATTGCACTAAAAGTGCGCAGCGGTTAGAATCGACTAGGATTCGCATCATCAAATGGGAACATGCCACGTGGGGACAACCTTCATGTGAGGTTTATGCAAGACGCAAGTATGCACTGATTCCTTGTTGGATCGTTAATTTCTTAGCATCAAAACTTTTGCGTAGGACTTGCGCAAATCTTAACTAGTTTCCCGTTTAGGAAAATATAATTAAAATTTATTTATTTTTAAGGCTTAATTGGCTTTTCCTGAATTGATAAGTTTTTATTTTGTTTACCTATTTAATTGCATTTCTATTTGCCTAAACATAAAAAAAAAATAGAAAGAAATAAAATAATTTATTTAAATTGTCAATGATGCGTGATTCGTGTAGATGTCATTCAGTAAAATAAATATATTTTATTTTCCTTTTTATTGTTTTAATTTATTTCTATTGTTTTTTATTTTACTTGTCTTTCAGACAAAATATGGGATTTCATAAACTGTAATTTCTTATATATTATTATGATATTTATCAACTAAAATTGAAATTTTATCTCACCAATATTCGATAACATCAAAAATAAAAATTTTATTAAAATAAAATCTTAATTTCAATCATACTTAAAAGTAATATATAAGCTTTATCCTACCTTTAATCCAATCCCACCATCCATACCCTAGCCCAATAGGCCATCATCAATGCCCCTTAATTCCCTTACTATTATAGCTAACAGCTAATGATTGAGGCTTGAACAAAAGCAAATATAAATCTTGGTATTAATTGAGAACAATATAGAAGAGCAGAGTATGAATGGCTTAGTTTGATTGGCTAGATGATGAGTCAAGAGGGAGAAAACTAAAGAAGAATCGGCCAAGAAGTTAAGACACAGTTTGTTGCATTGACTAGTGAATTATTGCAACATGCTTTTTAATATGCAATTAAAATTATTTAGCTAATTAAAATACTATTAAAAAACTAATATATTATAAAAATTTAATTTTATTAATACCTAATTACACACTTAAACAACTATAAAAAAAACTTATCAGAGTTTTTCTCTAAAATAAACTTCATAAAACAAAAAATATATGATAAATTATCTCATTATTAACACTACATACTCTATACCATTTTCCTTTTATAGAGTTTAGAGAATGTCCTTTTGCTTAATGATTAAGCAAACAACTTGATCTTACAAAGCAAATTCAAATTCATCTAACAACTAATTATAACTCAATTTAGATTTTAAATCATTCCAATTTGCTTAAAAAATAATTATACAAATTGTGAATGAATAATAGTTCAATTTCGATCTGTGTTTATTTTATGATAACGAAAAGTTTAAATTTAATTTGTCTTTTCCATAATGCTAGTGTAGTTAGTAATAAATTATTTTTTAATAAATTTTATTTATCTTCTAACAAGTTTAATTTCTATCAAATAATCATTAAGATTGTTTTTATGTGAATTATTATGAATGTTGAATTGCATTAATTTTATTCATTGCAACTAAAATTGATTCTAAAATATACAAGGACCTCGAATAATTTTTTTCTCCATTTCCTTACAAACTTTATATATATAGAGTGAAGATTTTGTGCATAGTCTTATAAATCAATATTTTATTTTATTGGATATTTTAAAAACTATTAAGTCATCGCTATTTTATTTTAATTAATTTTTCATTGTTTTTATGAAAATACATTATAAAAAGTAAAATTTCAATGTTTTTGTTGCAATGAAATTACATAAATCCTTTCATGACTACATATTGTTAAAATAAAAAATTTAAATAAATTATCACATTTATGATATTTTTATTATAAAATTTAGTTAATCAGATACACTCTCAATGACTTAAACTAAAACTTTCTATATTTAATTTTTCTAGTTATTGTAACCCGTACAGCTTCCGTTAGACTATTATTCAATTATTTTAAAAATAATAAATAAATAAATATTTAATTTTTATTTTAAATTAAAAAACACAACAATAATATTTTTATATTATAGCGTTATTTTTTTAGTATAATTGAAGTTCAACTAAAAATTAAGAGTCATAATATTTTTTATTTAAATAATGTATATCATTTGTTCGAATCAAATACGAGTTCTATAAACTATTATTTTGTTAATTTATTTACCTTTTTTTTATATGTTCACTTTATGAATATTTTAAAGTTAGTACTTTGATCACAATACGCTGTTGTCGTTTTTTTGTTGTTGTTATTTTAAAATTTTTTATATATATAGTATTGATTGTGGTTTTCTTAATTACAAGCTTATTAATAAAGAGAAAATTAATAGGATACAAATATCAAAATAATAATAATATGTAAAATATATATTAACAAATAAAAATATCTTTAATATATATATATTTTGTAATTTATACCTCATAACATTGAAAATTCTCGCCATGGCGAGGAAAACCCAAATTACGAAAAGTAACAGATTTCTGAAACTACCCTCACGTTTACCTCTTGACTCTACTAAACTAGTTGAAAGGTTTCGTGGTGGGTTTACAGAAGAAACAATGGAGTTCGAGAAGAGAAAGGCGGCGACGTTAGCCTCACTGTGTTCAACGGAATCGGACAAATCACCGAAGGGAACGTTAGACGCGCCAATCATCCCTCTCCTCAACACTCTGAACCAAAACCCTGATTACTTCACCACCAGTTCATGCTCTGGCCGAATCTCCATTCTCTCTCAACCACTCTCTACCTCTCCCAATCCCAAGAAGAAAGCCAGAGGCGGTTCTTGGCTTTTCGTTTCCCACAACCCCGCCGATCCCGACTCAGTTCTCTCCCTTCTCTTCCCCTTCGAGTCAACTCACTCCTCCCTCGTTTCCGAACTCGTCTTCAGATTCGAACCCCTCATCATCGCTCTCGAGTGCAGAGACCTCTCTTCCGCTCTCTCACTCCTCTCCCTCGCCATCTCCTGTGGCTTTAGAGAATCTGGCATCACCAATGCTAATAAGCGCGTCATCATCGCCATTCGCTGTTCCATACGTTTGGAGGTGCCGTTGGGAGATACGCGCGAGCTTATGGTCACTCCCGAGTATGTTCGTTACCTTGTTCAGGTTGCAAACGATAAAATGGAAGCCAATAGGAAAAGAACTGAGAGGTTTCTCGAAGTGTTGCACTCCATGCTTCCCGATAACTGTAACCATTTGTCGTCAACTCATGAAGTGGGGCCTGTTTGTGAACTCGACGATGAAACTCAGTTAGGAAGCTCCAATGCTGGAACCTTTTCAGGTATTTCACTAGATAGTAATTGTTTTCTTGTTTAGTTAACGTTTTTCAACTGTAAAATTTGGTCAACTTAGTGCCATTTGATTGGCGTTTAGAGCATTATGTTGCTCATGATGTTGAATTTGTAGTTTATAGCGCAGTGTTTGTAAATATACATGACTAGTGGAATGAATTTGCGTGGGTGATGAAATGAAATCAGGACTGATACATATTGGTGTCTGTATCTGATTGCAGGACAACTTTCTCTTTAATATCAATCAAAAGTCTGAATCTTTGAATGGTTGGCAGGGTTTATGGGTTCTCCTGGTTGTAGTATGTTGATTGCCCATTTCAAAATTGTTGGTGAACCGGTGGAGAAACTTTTCCTTTGGGGTCACTCAGCTTGTGTGTTGGATAAGGCTGACCCCAAGAGAGTTGTGGTATTTGGTGGCTTTGGAGGCATGGGGAGACATGCTAGAAGAAATGATTTGTTGCTGCTTGATCCATATTCTGGCAATCTTGAGATAATTAGTGCTTTTGGGTGCGCTTCTCCATCTCCACGTTTAGGCCATACAGCTTCCAAAGTTGGAGATTCCATGTTTGTGATTGGAGGTCGGACTGGTCCTGATAAAATTCTGAGTGATGTATGGATCCTCGATACAACTAAGAATTGTTGGAAGTTACTGGAATGCGGTGGCAGTGTCTTTCCTCCAAGGTAAAGCTTAACAGCATTCTTCCATTAAAGCTTTCAACTGTTAGAAAAAACTCACTGATCGAGCAATTTTACCATAGGAAAAAAAAAAAAAAAACTTGTATAGATCTTTAAGGTAACTCTATGTATTGAATGAGTTCTGGTTTTAGTTCTGTAATTGATGTAAATAAATGCCTACAACTTATTAAACTGTATATTGTAACTCTATTAAGAAGTGTAGTAACATTACTTGCTGTTGCTTGATTTTGCTGATATTACTTTTATTCTCACGGACAACTTTGATATTTAATTATTTACATGTTGGATAGGCATCGTCATGCTGCAGCTGTCATGGGTTCAAACATTTATGTATTTGGGGGACTTGATAATGATATTATCTTTTCCTCCTTTTATATTTTTGACACAATTAATTTCCACTGGAAAGAAATACCAGTTTCTGGGGACTGGCCTTGTGCACGCCACTCACATGCGATGGTGGCATCTGATTCACAGATTTTCATGTTTGGTGGATACAATGGTGGGAAAGCACTTGGGGATTTGTATAGCTTTGATCTTCAAAAGGGTAAATGGACAAAGGAAAAGACAGCTGGAAGGAACCCACATGCTAGGTTCTCCCACTCAATTTTTGTCTATAAGAATTATCTTGGAGTTCTTGGTGGTTGTCCAGTTAGACAACATTGTCAAGAGTTGGCTTTACTTGATTTGAAGCATCGACTATGGAAGCATGTAACCCTCAATTCTGTGGGTAAAGATTTGTTTGTGCGTAGTACAGCCAATGTTGTTGGTGATGATCTTGTTATGGTTGGTGGTGGTGCATCATGCTATGCATTTGGAACCAAGTTCAGTGAGCCAGCAAAGGTCTGCTTGCTCCATTTAATGCATTCACATGATGATCTTATGCCTGTCAAAAACCAAGGCATGCATATGATTTACCAAAATGAAGGGACAAACGGGAATAAACTTGAAAATTCTCTAGGACCACAACTTGAACATGCACCTAATATATCTAAATATGAAAATTTATATTTTAATGATAACTCACCTTGCTTGAATGATCAAAGTCAAATGATTACATCACATTGTGTTCTTCAGCTTGAAAAGAATTATGCAAAATTGGGGAAGGATATATTGAAGAAATTTGGATGGTTAGACTTAGGGAGGAAAGCATACTCTGAAGAGGGTGGAGCGCATATCTGTTTTCCTGTCCGTCAAGAATTTTTTGCTGTATTTCATGAAAGGAACCATCATTCAGGAGATGCATTTGATGGAAAAAATGAAGTTTCCTCTTTGAAACCAATTAAACAACATGGATACTTGTTAAATGAGTTATCCTGTTCTGAAGCACTGACTCTTCTCCATGAATACGGTGCCATTGTGCTGGCAGATGAGGTGGTTGAAGTAAAAAAAGGTGTAAAATCTCCTTTGAAAGTTATGACTGAAGCTGTGACATCTTTGATTGAGCATAAAGGCCTACCAACATGGCTTCTAGAGGAACTGCCAACAAGGTTTTTTTTTTTAGTAAAATTGCTTTTATGGTGCTTGCTTACCAATTCATACTTATTTTTCCATTCATTTAGAATTTCTTTTTCTTGTTTGTAATCCCTTTACTGTTGTGAGCTTTGTAATAACTGTTATTCTTCCAGATGGGATCGGCTTGGAGATATTGTTATACTTCCAACTACTTCTTTTAAAGATTCCATGTGGGACTCCATTGCAAAAGAGCTTTGGCCCATTGTTGCCAAATCACTCAAGGCTCATCGTCTTGCTCGCCAGGTAATCACATATGCACTAGTAATACATTGATTTGTGTGTTTGCTTGTCCTGCCTGTGCTCATGCTGATTCATTTTTCTTCCTAGTACCTGATATTTTTAAACCTTCCTTGTTGAATATGCTGAACATATTCAATGTAAAAGATAAGGGAATGTCTGATAGTGACATTTGACAAATATGTGAAATACTGAAATTTTCAGTAACAAGTGATTTGTAAAAGTTAAAAGATACTTTTCTCTAATCATAATAATAATAAAAATATACATTTTGAAATTCAGTCTAGGATGGAATTCAGTTTAAAACTCTTTTTCCAAGATAGAAGTAGTAAATTACCAAGACTTCTATTTTATAACTTATTTTCATTAAACATAGTGCTGTACTGCCGTTTTAAATTCTTCCTGTAATAGCTTTTGCAATGAATTCATTTCTTTACGACATGAGTAAGCCGGTGTATTATGTAGGGCCCAGTTGCTGCAACTGGTACAAGAGATAGCACATTGCAGATTCTTCTTGGTGATAATGGCTGGGTCAATCATCGAGAAAATGGAATATTCTATTCTTTTGATGCTACAAAATGCATGTTCTCATGGGGTAATCTTTCTGAGAAGCTCCGGATGGCCAGGCTAGATTGTAAAGATGAGGTTATAGTAGACCTGTTTGCAGGCATTGGCTACTTTGTGCTTCCTTTTCTTGTCAGGTATTCTGTCTATTTGTACCAGCAAAGCTGTGTAATAAACTTAATCTCTAATTAAATTTTACTGTCTTAAAAGTTTTGTGCATTGCAACAATATTACCCTTTAGCCTTCAATAGTGTGTTATAATTGTGGGAAAGTCAAATCACAAATTATGCAGTGCAGTGCTGTATGGAACATATGGTTTCTTGTTTCCTTGATCACTGTGTAAAAAATGATAATTTACCTTTTGCAAAGTTCATAAAATATATTCTGTATCTGAATATGAACATTTGGTGGCTGGGATGGGGCATGCCTCCTGAACAGAGCTTTGAAATGTTTTTCTATTATCCCTTTTTCCAGGTTTGCTTGCTTCTAATGTTCTCTAATATTTCATAATATTCATCTATATTTATTCATATTGTTTTTGCATGCTCTCAAGCAGGGCCCAAGCAAAATTTGTATATGCATGTGAATGGAATCCCCATGCTATAGAAGCACTCCGACATAATCTACAAGCAAATTCTGTGGCTGATCATTGTATCATACTTGAAGGAGATAATCGAATTACAGCTCCCAAGGTATAATGTGTATTTAGCTATTTATTCATCTAGCAAGGAGAAGTTTGATTTACCAAATCTGCTTGTCATCTTCCTGGTGAACTCATACCAGAGAAAGAGCTTGATTCACCTCCTGAGAATCAGTCTCAAGCATCATCCATCTAAAGACCGTGTTGTCTGCCATACTTGAACCTTCCTGTACTCCCCACTAACTCAGCAAAAAATTCACTGCAGTTCCCTAGTTTCATGGATAAGCCAATGATCCATTTTTCATTGTTGTCACAGATCAGACACCCCACACCAGTGTCAAGAATCCCTGATTTCCCATAGACAGTGTTTAGTCATATATATACCATCTTAATAAGTAAAATTGAAAGGGAGAATTTTAATTCAGGATATCCCGGTAAAATATTTCCAAGGTAAGAGGATTATCCACTTGTTTGATTACTAACATCCTGAGATGGTTAATATGCTGATCTGATCAACTGTTCTTTTTTTGGTTAATGCCTCATAAAACCTTTATAAAACCTGATTATATACCTTGCAAATGTAATTCACCCTCTATAAAACCTGATTGAATACTACAATACCAGTGAAAGATACGTTGGAATTGTAATAAACAAATGTTAAAAAAAAAGATATGTTGGAATATTTTCTTTTTATTAGTTAAGATAATTTATTATTAGCCTGAGAATTATTCACAAGTAAAAATAAATGAGCATATCATTAGGGACACTCTTCCAGCAAGTATGCATAAAGAATTGAGGAGGAAAAGAGGAATTAAGTGAGAGAAAATTGTACAGAGAAATTTGACTGAGAATTGTAATATTTTTCTTCCCTTGTCTAGACCTTGGATGAAAAAAAGATAAAGAGAAAAGGACTATTTTACCTCCTTGTTTGGTTAAAAGTTAATTGGAAGGAAAGCTATGTGACCAATGAACTATTTATTCTATTCACTTTTTTCAATGAGTCCATTTGAACACTAACTATAAAATGTGTGATTCCTAGGGAAAAGGGTCCAACAACTCTTAACGCTAATTGATGTGTGTAGAAGGAAATAATTTTATGGAATATGTTGATTTTTTCATTTACAGAGTGTGGCTGATAGAGTCTGTCTTGGTCTCCTTCCATCTAGTGAGTGTAGCTGGGTCACAGCTGTGAGGGCTTTAAGGTAATTGTGATACTAATACGTATCATTCCTTTCAACTTATTTTTCTGTTGTTACTCTGTCGTCAGCATTTAGCCAGCTCAGCAATCTATAAAATCTAATTGGTAGTTGCATCTTGCTTCCACGCCTATATTAAGCTGCATGCTCACCATATATTCTGTTGTCTGCATTTAACCATTTTGGCTATCTGTTAATTCTTATTGTGAACGGAAAAAATATTATTTGCTGCATTTCTGTTCTGTAAAATTCTTCTTCACTTTTCTACATAGCTTATTATCCATGGTGATTGACATTGAAATAACTGGCAGAGTTTTTGAACTTATTTTCCAGAAGTTACTAATAATTATCTCTGAAAATATAGCCATTTTGAATAGAGAAACCGCATATTTAGATGACATAACAGTTTCAATATTTTAGCTGGAATTTAATTGTGAAGCATTATTTTAGTAGAAATCGTCTGTTGTGTTTTCTTCACATCCTGTTTCCCAAGTAATTGTAATACAATATTTTATCTGCTAATTCCACCTAATTTATTCATAATGATCCTGAAGCTATGGTGGTTCACATCTCATGCATTAAATTACCTGATCAAAATCACAATGCCAAATATATGACTGTTTTACTTCCGTTGATGGTAATAAAATTTCCAAATCTGAATTAATATATGAAAGACACATTCCAAGGACAGTGGAGAAAATTTTGGGAGGATATGCTAGCTTATATCTGCTCAGATTCGCTTTTGGACCACTACTTTCATGACCAATTTCATTCCTTCTCGTGGAATCAACATTGCAGGAGAGAGGGTGGAATATTACATGTCCACGGGAATACTAAGGACTCAGAGGAATGTCAGTGGACTGATCATGTACTGAAGTCAATATATGAAATTGCTAGATCTGAAGGTAGCATCAATTTTTGTAAAAAAATTATTAAACTTTGACATCTAATTTCTGGAATAATAATTTAACCCCCGTATCATGATTCCCACAGGTTATTGTTGGGAGGTTTCTGTAGAACACGTTGAGAGGGTAAAATGGTATGGTCCACACATTCGTCACGTTGTTGCAGATGTAAGATGCAGACAGATCCAAAGATAGTGAATGGACTAGTATTTGAGGTTAAAGTGGCTTCTGCATTCAATCAATGTGACTGTCATTAAGGATATTTATGTGCTAAGTTCTCACCGATCTACCTTTGTGGCCTGTGCCAGTGGCAAATGTAAAAGCTGACTCAGAAAATCCTATTCAACCTTTGGTCGGGCTGGCAAATATCTTAGATAGGAGAGGTGGTGGAGTTGATAGTTATGAAATTTTGTAATGAAACAACTGTTTGATGTATAATGATTTGGAACTGATAGTCTTGTCCTTCCAAATTTTTTTTTTTTTGTCAAGCCAAAAGAAAAACAGTGTAAAGGGAGTACAAGGGAGGGCTTGAATTTTTTTGGACACGAAATTAATCTGGTTTGTGTGCTTGTTTGGGCAACAATGAAGCCCAAGTCGATAGAGGATTTGGTTTTTTCACAGAGCTCGATTTTTGTGTTTGTGTAGTGTATTAAATTATCGGAGGGACTACAATGATTGTTTAATCCATTGGCTTGGTTTGTAACTCCAAACAATGTTGTAATCACGCTTCTCATTAATGGGAATACGGTTGGAAAGTGGGCCCAAATCGTAGTTAAAGGTTGAACCTCAACCATTATCCTAAGAGGGACATTTTCTAGATAGGGTAATTTCATTTTGCTCGATTAGGCTTAGTCTTTAAGCATGTATTCGCATAGCCTTACCGTTACAACGTTACCCTTTTCCAGAATTTAATTCCCCTGTTCTCATGGAATCTGTAGTTTGTTTATGGTTTATTGCGTTCACTGCTACGAGTTATGTCGGTTTTCTTCTTGATGAATGAAAACGTTGCATTCATGTAATTTGGTGCTGAATCCTAAATGGAAAGATGGTAAGTGCTATCTATAAATGGTGAAGTTTGTAAAATATGAATTTGGTCTTTTAGCTTCGGCTTAGGCCATTTAATTTTTTCCCGAGCGAATAATAGCATGCTTAGCTGTCTTATCTGAAAGGCTAAAGTAAATTTTCGGTCTGTTTTTCTTTCATCTTTTTCTACTTTTGGTCCTATCTATTATTTCTAGTTCCTGTTTATTATTTGGTCTCTAATTTTATTTTATTTTTACTCTTTGACTATTATTACATACTAAAGAAAAATAAGAGACTAAAAACATATGGATAGGGATTAAAAAGAAAAGGAAAAAATGGGGAATACAGGTAATAGATAAAGACTAAAAAAAGGGTAAGGAGTGTAAATAAAGATAGAGACTGCAAATAAAAATAAAAAAACCGAGAAAAAGGACTGATAAATTAGCATAAACATTATTTAACTTTATCTAAAAATCACACTTTTGACTAAAAAGCTTGCTTTACACATTAAAGTGGTTGTTTGATTAAAATTTTAGATTCTTGAAATTAAATTTACGATAAGTAAAATAATTTTAAAAGTAGTGAAAATTTACATTTTTTTTATTCATTAAAAACAATTCTAAATACTAGACTTCAATTTTTTTTAAAAAAATCCTGTTATATTTAGATTTAAAAATAATTACAAATAAAATTATTTTAATTTACTAAGAACTTAATTAAGCTGAAAATGTCAAATTGTTTTGTTGTTTAATTGTGAATTATCATATGATTAAAATTGTTTTTATAATAATTATTTTGAAAGAAAGATTTATGATTTTTTAGTTGATTAACAATGTAAAAATGTTTATATTGATAGTATATAAAATTAAAATTAATTTAAAAATACATTAATTTTTTAACATTATTTTTTAAATTTAACGATTTTACAATTAATTTTATCAAAATTTAAATAAAAAATCTACTATGAACAAAAGATCCATGATCTTCTCAAGAGCAAGCATGCATTACAATTTTCTTTTCATTATTTATCATTTAGCTCTCTCTCTCTCTAAAAATAGATATTAATTGAGATATCACTTGCATGAGGGCAACTACCTAAGTGTTTGTCACGGATTAATTATAAATTTAGTGTGTGCTTGATAAGAGGAATTTCTAATTTTACTAACCAACTTTAAGTTTAAAATGTTTTTTTTATGATTAGTATGAATATTTTAAAAAATGACTCAAAAACATATAACCATAAGATGGTTGGAAATCTAAAATTATCATGATAGTTTAAAAATTTGTTATCATACTTAAAGAATTTTTTAAGCATACCTAGCACATTTATCACCGTTTCAAAGACTGATTCTCAAAAGCACAGTACCCTTATATATATATATATATATATATATAAAAGGAACAGTAATAAATATGCTAGGTATGCTTAAAAAATTATTTGAGTATATATATACTAAATACCTCTTAAAGACTTAAAGTAATTGTTAAGTATGCTCATAAACATAAAATAATAATTTTTTTTTTTCTAAATACTGCTTTAATTGATTAGTCAATTATGGCTATAAATACTACGCCCCGACAATAAATGCTAGCAAATTTAACCAAGTTAAGGGGTTGGAAATAGCATCAGCAAAAATGAAAACTAAGATGTGTGTTTAGATGGTCATTATTTAGAGAGACAGTCGGGGAATGGTTACAATTATTTTAGTTTTTTATTTTATCTTATTTGTTATAAATAAATTCTTAACCATTTTTTCGTACATACATATAAATGTTTTTTTTTTCTCTGTTTTATTCTTATTTATTTAAATAACAATTTTTATTAATTTTTCTTTATTAAACAATATTGTTCGGACTATGTTGACGTGTCATTGAGGGCTCCACCTTGATGGATGACTTAGGCTCCATCGATTACAAACTGTCGGTGATCAGAAAAGCTTTGAATGCTTCAGCCACCAAACCGCTTTAGCCTCAGCCACCAAGCTTTCTGTTTCTATTTGCTTAAATCTTTCTATAATATTTTCTACATTTTTTCTTATTTAAAATAAAATTTTAATATAATTATATTTATTTAAGAAGATTAATAAAAATAAAGTATTGAATAGAGTAATGAGTGAGGACCTTTTTTTATGGTTGCTGTCCATAACTTTTCATTGGAATTAACACTTGGGAGGTGGGGCAAATGCTCACCATCAGTAGGTGCTGGGATCGAGCTCATTATTTTATAAAAGTGGGGTTCTCCTCTTCACCCTCTCAATTTTATGTATACATAAGCAACTAATATGTTAAAATATCACTGTTCTACCATTGTGGAGCGTGCTTGTCATGTTTGTTGTCATTTATCAATTCGTTGGGCAATTCATATACTACTAAGTAAGTGGCCATATATTGTAATTTGCAAACTAGCTTAATATAGTGTATATTTTCACACTGAATGCATGCACATAATAGATATTGTTATGAAATATTAATTATGGTTTCTAAAATTAGTTAAAGAATTAAAAATTATTACTAAAATATTTTTATCATTATTTTTAATACTTATATTCTCGTTGGGATTTTTTTTAAGCTAAAGAAGTTAATTATTCGTTGGTCATTAATGGCCGTAGGAAAACCGTCTTTGGGGGACATTGGCAAGTCACACTCTGTCAAGCCGTTTGAAATGGCTGGCTTTCTCAGCTCAGCTGTGGAGCTGTGTTGCTTTTTGGCTTTGCCGAGTGCCAAAAACTTATGCCATTTGTCAATAGCATCTATCCCAAATCTTTGTGCAAGCTCGGTTCCTTGCCATTATGTCTATAACTATAATCTCATAAATATAAAAATAATAACTTATTTTTCAAATAATTCTTTTAAGAAATTAATAAAACAGTTTTTTTAAAAATAAAATTTATGAAATGATGCACGCATTAATGAGGCCAACGTCACGAGCATTTTGAGCATACTTCCCGTTGCTTCTACGACACAAAAGTCCAAGTTTTCAACCCAAAAATAGGATAAGAGAACTTGCGCAGAGTCCCCTTGAGGTGTAAATATTGTTGAGCGTCGGATCGTGATCGAACCATCAAAATCACAACCCACGTTAGTATTTTATCCCAAAAGCTCAAATCTCAAAATTTATTGAAGTTTACCCACTGTATTTTATTTGTAAATTGCACATTTACTTTGGTTATAGCGTTATTTAAGCAGGAGCAGAGTGAAGCAGGGGAAGTAGTTGGGCGAGTAAGAGTGGAGAGAAAAATGGCTCCCAAAGCTTTGATATTTTTGGCGGTGTTATCCTTTTCAGCACTGTCTCTGAGTCCTTCTTTTGCGGAGGAAGGGGAAGACAGTAATAATGGCCTTGTTATGAACTTCTACAAAGAGACATGCCCTCAAGCTGAAGACATCATCAAAGAACAAGTGAAGCTTCTCTATAAGCGCCACAAGAACACTGCTTTCTCCTGGCTCAGAAACATTTTCCATGACTGCGCTGTTCAAGTAATTAAGCTTAATCGCTTTTTGTCTTTCTCTTTTGTTTGCAACATGTTGTTGTCCTTGTTTTTAGTTAAGTGTTTGTTTATTTATTTTTGTGAGGGTAGAGCTGTGATGCTTCACTGTTACTGGACTCTACAAGAAGAACCTTGTCTGAGAAGGAGACTGACAGGAGCTTTGGGTTGAGAAATTTTAGGTACATTGAGACCATCAAAGAAGCTGTGGAAAGGGAATGCCCTGGAGTTGTTTCCTGTGCTGATATTCTTGTTCTCTCTGCCAGAGATGGCGTTGTTTCGGTAACTGATTCTCTTTTTGTTCTGTTTCTCACTTTGCTTGTCCCGCCTAGATCTGTCACTTACTAATTCCATTCTTTTTTTCCCTTTTGAAAACAACTTTCAAAGTAAAGCTTATGTACATATATCTTATGTACAAACTCTTGCAAGTCTCAATTAATTCATCCTAACAGATCTGTCTATTATTACTCTGAGGAGAGTAGTTAGAGGCTTAATAGTTAGTCCATATTTGTTATAACTTTGTGTTTGATGACTGCATTAATTGCTTATCCATTATTTGGAAGCAAATGAGAAATTATTCATATCATTAAGTTGATGCAAGCCTAAAGGGTTTTGATTTCTGAACTGCAGCTAGGAGGTCCCTATATCCCTCTTAAAACTGGAAGAAGGGATGGTAGAAGAAGCAGAGCTGATGTGGTTGAGCAGTTCCTCCCAGACCACAATGAGTCCATTTCTGCTGTTCTTGACAAGTTTGGTGCTATGGGAATTAACACTCCTGGCGTGGTTGCGTTGCTTGGTATACCGTATCTCCTCCCCTAACCCATCATGCTCATGCTCATGCTCATGCTCATGCATATACATCCATCAAAATAACATGCCCCCCACATAACCATGCTCATAAAGTATACATAAAGTAAAATAGTAAAATGGGAATCTTTATGCTTTATATTTCTTTTAATAAATATATGTGGGATCCAGTGATTAATCAATCATGGATAAGGCAAAATGCTAGTACACCCACGCAACATGCATATATAGATACATGACATGCTAAAAGAAACTGCATGTCCAATATCAATATGCTACACGTGTCAATGCTTAAATGGTTTTTAGTCTTAATCAGTGATCTTTGTGTTGAACAGGAGCACACAGTGTTGGTCGAACCCACTGTGTTAAATTGGTGCACCGTTTGTACCCAGAGATTGATCCAGCACTCAACCCTGATCATGTCCCTCACATGCTGAAAAAGTGTCCTGATGCTATTCCTGACCCAAAGGCCGTGCAGTATGTGAGAAACGACCGTGGCACGCCCATGATTCTAGACAACAACTATTACAGGAATATCTTGGACAACAAGGGTCTTTTGATAGTGGATCACCAATTAGCCAATGACAAGAGGACCAAGCCTTATGTGAAGAAAATGGCCAAGAGCCAAGACTATTTCTTCAAAGAGTTTTCTAGAGCTATTACCTTGCTCTCTGAAAACAATCCTCTCACTGGCACCAAGGGTGAGATCAGAAAGCAGTGCAATGTTGCCAACAAGCACTATGAGGAACCTTAAATATTGCGTCCTTGAATTTTCTTCCCCTTGTCTTGGAGGAAGAAATATGTAAGATATTATGCAAAAATAAGGTGTTTTTCGTTTGATGGGTTGGTTGGTTAGGTCTGTGAGCCGAGACCACTGCTTGCTCAATGCTTGAGCTTTGTCGGCAGGTTCTGGTGCTCTTCAGGATGGGAAGACTTGTAGATGTTTTGATTTGTAATTTTCTGATGTAACTTTGTTGTTTCTTTATTCAATAAGGATATTAGTACGTTAGCTTAGTGTTGGGAAGATGGGCATGTTGAGGGTGTTATGTCAATGTATGCATGTGAGTGGTGTTGTGGATGCTGCATGGATGGCAGTGACAAGGCTTTCAATGATATCCATGCTCGTAAAGCTTGTTCTTTCTATATACATCATGGGCGTTATACATTGCTATCACTAGTAGTCCTATACATCATCACATAGGCCCAAGGATGAAGACTTGAGGAAACAAGCTCTAAGTAAATAATGAATGCATTATTTTTTTAAATTAATCACATTAGAAAATAGATTAAATACTAATCAATCAATATATAGAATTCGGGTATAAAAGAAAAGGACGATGAAGGAAACAAAAGAGGTCCATAATCCATTGATCACTAGTGCGTGGGCCAAACCAATTTCTTATTTGAGTGATTACGATAAATTTTTGTACACGCGGACGTTTCCACTAGGTTTGGTCCAGTACTAGTGTTTTACTTGAAAATGACCATAGGCATAGGCGATAACGTGTAAGGGAGAAAATGCCAAAATTAAATCACCTTCGTTCAGCTGGTCTATTATTTCCTAGCTTTTTGTACGGAAAAGTGAAAACAAAGCTAGATTCTACATATTGAGAAATGAAAATGAGAAATGTCAAATAGCACTAGATTCTTTATCGTTGGTAAATTGCGGTAAAAAAAAAGATTCTTGGTAAGTTATCTATAATATTTGTAGTATGTTTTCTAACCACATCAGTGCACGTTACGAAATACTTTTACGTAGATTGGAACATGTTACCATTAACCATTTTAGTCACACGTGTCAATTCTTGGACATTGTTCTTCCCGTTCAATGGTTTTTTATTTTTTTCACAATTTTCTGTAAAAATAATGAAAATAATTTGATGGTCCCTGCCCTTCCCGTCCTTTTTGCACGGGCTATCACCAAGGTTTATAAATACCGCTGCAAGATTACGATGGCTAGTTAAACATGACAATGTCATGTTGCTCAAATAGCTAACTAGTTAAGAGTATGATGACCTGTTCTTATGTTTCAAATCATAATTTTGGGTTGGGCAGACAAAACACTGAAATGGAAGAAAGTGGGCCTCTCTCCAATTGAAAAATAGGTAATTGTCATTTAGATAATGCATTTTTTACTAAACCAAGAAAACATAAGTTCAACACCAAAATAAAGATGTTTTTTTTTCAACAAAATATTAGGTGTTTCAAAGGTCAGATTTTTTTAACCACAGAACTTTGGGCTGGGTTGGGGCCAGCACTATGTTCTCATCGAAAATGACCATTAGCAATAACGTGGGCAAGGGAGAAAATGCCAAAAATGAAATCACTTTCATTCAGCTGCCCTTTGTTTCTGCACAGAAATCCCAATGAGCAATGAGAAATGATAAAATAGAAGGGTGGATTGAATTAATGGGTAGAATATCAACAAAAATAGTCACATTCTTGTTGGTAATTCTTGGTAAGTTATTTTGTAAATAGCACTGCATAAGAGTAAATTTGGCTAGTTAAATATTATGTTTCCAAAAGGAGAAAGGCTAATAAATGTAGCTGAAATTCAATCACAAGTTTACAACAAAGAGATGTTAAATAGTCGGGCTGACAAAACATTTAGAATAAAGAAAATGGGCCTGTCCCCCGCAAAAAAAGAGTATGAGGCTGATTCTGATTTTGATAGGATCATCTTTGTACTTGCAGGATCGCTTTAAGTGGTGAAGCTAAGTTGCCATGCATGTTATTTAAGAACGGGATTTAAACCCATGACAGAAGAAATAAAAGATAGGGCACCTTTTACAAGTAAAACAGAATGCTTTGGTTTTGATTCATTTTAAGTGGTCAAATCTTTTTGTATCATAATTCAATTATAAATTGTCAAACTATTATTAAAGAAAAATTATGACATGCCTTTACAATTCCTAACTAATTAGTTTAAGATAATAGGCTAACATGTTATTAAGTGATAATAAAAAGAAAAATTGCCTAGCCACTGAGACACAAGACACGGTATTGATACTAGAATGTGAAATTTTCCAAATGATAGAACACAAAGTAATTAAGATATAATTTATAAAAATGTATTGATACGTAAACATGAGTCCTACATGTATTAATGTTTCTTAAGTCAACTTTTATCATCATAAATACAATAAATATGTCACTTGTTTACTTATTATATCTCCGTTGCAATAGTATTAAAATATGGAGGGAAAACAAGTCAGAAATCCAAAAATATATGAAAAAAATAAAATGGTACTTCTTATTCTTTACAAATTCTTCACAAATAAGGAAAGTTGATTTCATCATGCCCAGCTAGCTAGTCCATCAGTGCTCTTGCAGCCACTAGAGAGAAATGGAGTGCGATTATTTTTTCTGTCCACCATTGTTCTTAATAGGTGTCAGTTACCTCATTATGTTACCATTTGGGTGCCCTCTCCCTATTCGATTTTTTTCCCACTCCCCCTTTCACTCTGGAAAAATTCAGTTCTCTTGAATTATATACTCCATTTTTTTTGAAAAAATAACAATACCTATATATTTTTTGTATACATTTTTTTTAATTCAAAATGAAGTTGAAAGTTACTAAATTAGAAGCACCGAAAATTTATTCCTCTATCTCCCCATAAAAGTGTCTTACGTGTTAATTTAATAATCATCTAATAATAGTCATTCTCATTCCAAAGCTAACAATATTCATACCTAGAACAAAAAATTTAGCTAACTAAATATAGTGAGATTTATATTTGTTGCCTACAAGTAATGAAAAATCAAGCATCAATGTTTGATTTGTCTAGCAATAACGGATCAATGATATTTCATGCAGGATCACATTAAGATACGCGCATAAAGTTCAAGTTACAAGCTGCGTATTAAAGCTATGCATCATGGCACTTTGACCATCTACCAAAGATTACATTCCAAGTATATAATTTATTAAGTGTAATTGTAGCAAAGTGCATTATTTGTGGAATGCGGGTCTCTGCTTATTCTCAGTACCACTTGAACTGCTGCTATCAGTATCACTGTCACTATTGTCCGAGGCTAAATCATTCTTTCCACTACCTTCTAAGAACTTTGGCAAGGAGGAACTGCAGGTGGGGTGATTGTGATAAGGCTGTGTTTGGAATGACATATAATTTGCAGTTGAAGGAAAAGACTGGTATCCATATGAGGAAGGATAAGGTCCGGGAAAAAATGCATTTGGTGGAGGCCAATACATCAGTGGTACAAATGTACTTGCTGGCTGTGGTGGCAGCATATGATATGAACTATGATTACCTGAGACATTAGAAGGGGCAAGAACTGGGTTTTGCATATGAGAAGTACCCTGTGATGTCATTGAATGAAATGCTGCCATTGCATGTGTGTGAGATGATGAATAGCCAGTTAAACCAAATTGAGTTGCTGCTGAACTTATTGTTGGCTGTCGAGATGGGGTCTTCTGTTGGGAATTTTGAGAGGCATTAGCGTGTTGCTTTCTTCCTTTGAATTTTGGAGGAACTGTCTTTTTAGTTAATTTGTGGGGTTCATGAGTACCCTGCTAGAACAAGGCAACAATGCTGAAGCTTAAGAGCACTCTACTATTTGCCATGAAAAAGAAAAGCTATTTTGAATATGATATTGGCAAGGTATGAGAACTACAACCACACAGCAGTACAAGCTTGAGAATTTGTTGCGCATTTTTTGAAAGAAATAAAAAACAGACAAGTAGATGTGATGCAAAGAACTCACATGCATAATATGGGATTTGTAATCTTACATTGTCATATGCAATTGGATGTGGAAGAAATAACTCGTCCCCTTCAGCATCGTCATCAGTTCTGCAACGGGAAAATAGTGTGTTAGATGAAGAAATGTTGCCTTTGCCTTTTAGAGTAGTTTCTCTCTTTTTAGCTTCAAATATGGCAACAGTGACCAAAAGGAACTCAAATCCAAATTTCTGTAAACTGAAATAGAGCTTCATATCAAGGTGATATATAATTTTCTTTGGCTTGGGGATATTATGATTTAAAATGAATGTTTTGGTATTTAAATTTTCATCTTTTCAAATGTTTTCTGTGATGAAATTGATTTAGAGCAGTGCTCCTAAAAGATTTATGCCATTTATTTAAGTAGGAAATTATATCTTGCTGTTTCATTTATGCTTAAGATTGTATGCAGCATATAATTTGATAAACCTGTAATACTTCTGAAGCAGGCCTAAGTTCCGGTATTTGGTTTCTCTCTGAACTAGATCATCAGGAAATCCTGCCATGAACAGAAGCGTGATGCCCAAGGCCTTAAAGAAAAAGCTTCCACTACGAATATGAACCAACATTGCCATTCGGCACATGAGTGGTCCAAAGGACTTCAGTTTGTTTCTTCCCATCCGCTGCCTCACATATCTGTATTATTCAATCCAGAAAATTCATATTAGACTGCATATAAATATTTTGAAGTGCAATATTCATCAGAGCTAACACCTTTTATAATAGAAGATAAATACTTAAAGCAGAAATGGACCATTTTCTTGGTTGCATAATGATTTCTACCCAGTATCAATCCAAAACTTACTCATTTTGAGGAAGATTTCTTGTCCGTCCACCATATTTAATGCACAAGAATAAGCACGATGGACAACTAGCATCAGATGGACGCATGGCTCTTTCTTCTTCTAGTATCTGAACAGGACATAATACTGGGTTTTGTCGGTTTGGATAAAATATTTTCCTCCGAACACCAGGATTCTCATATAAAACGTGTTCCTACATAGAGTAAAAACCGAAGTCACTGCATTTATCGCATAGAAATATAGAAACTAAATTTAAGCAAAATGTTAGTTGCTGAAATGGTTAAAGAGATTAATTACGCTCTTTTAGAAGTCGCTTTTCTATTCCCCAATATCATATATTCTTTAGTGTAAACAAACAAGGGAATAATGCAAGGTGCATGACACAGCAATGCAAACAGGAACCATGGGATAGTATGATAAATTGTCTTTTCTTTTCATTGACTTGTTCCATAACAAAAGTAGCATTGTACACTAAAAACAAGTTGGCGGATTTCTCTTACCCCAGGGTTCCTTGGAGACACATAAGGTTCCCCTTTCATCAAAATGCTAAAATGGTTGAAGTCCAGCTCGTACATATCTTCACATCCATGCCTTATGCCAAGTGATGCAAAAACTATGATTTTCCTTATAGTGTGGGACTGAGCATTCTTTTGTAGAAGGGATTCAGACCCAATTATCCTTTTCACTTCTTTTGGGCAGAAAGCCACCTTCAGAGGCTTTCTATTTTGTGATACACGTACAGATCCTGAAGAAGGGACCTCAAGTAGTGACTTACATGCTGCAGTCTCTTTAATTTCTTTCCCTTGGAGTGTTTTTACTTCACTCTTCTCTGATAGTGGAGCAAGTAATGTGCAACTTGTCTTTTGATTTTCATGATCTATCACTTTACCTGCTGGACTTTCCATGCATGTTGTATTTGGACACTCACCAATCACTTCAATTGTGTCATCATGTCTTTGATTATTATCCGTATCATCAATAAAGTTATCATCACATGCATCATCACTATCTGTTTCATTGAAATCTGCAACAGAGTCAGAGTCTTTAAATTTTTCAGCGTACAAATTTTGGCTATCCTCCATGCTCATCCAATTAATTAAAGATTTTGTTGGGTTAATCTCCTCATGAACAATGCCTTCGGTATCAGGCTTGTACTGAGAGGCCATTTCACTTTTTACAGTGTTCCTATTTTCTACATCATCTACCGTTTCTATCTTCTGTCTTTTGAAATTCTTGAAGCTTCCTGCAACTGCATGCTGATGATTTTCCTGGTGTCAAGGGAAGAAAACTTCAACAATCAGGGAACATAAATAAAATAAGCGTAATAGCAATAAAGTTTTCTAAGTGTTCATGTGTTATTAAATCTTGTTATGTGCCGTGATTGTCCCTATTGATATATATGAATCTCATATGTTCACTGGATAACAATGATATCATTCCTCCACACTCCGATCATAGGATAACTTATCAGTGTCTGAATCTATATCAACTTGAAGACTTTAGTTTTGGTTAATATACAAGGGAATTTAGAAGTATCAAGCAAATTCAACACAATGAATTATCCTACCAGTGTTGTAGCTGTGACTCCCTCTTCATAAAAACCATGAAGGAAATTGAGCCAATTATAGTTAGATTTCAGCATGCAATGAGCAGAGATGTATATTTATAGCATATATATGTGTGGTGGATGATATAACAAGGATCAATTGGTTCATCAAGTTAGAGAATGAATTTTCACACATAACACTTCAAACGAGCAAGCACTTACTTAAGATAAAGTACATAGAAGAAAATTAAACTAATCGACTAACCGTACTTGAGATTCCGTGTTTCTTTCCCTTAACTGAGCTTCGAGCATTGATATTCTCTCCATGAGTTCCACATTCTTCTTCCTTTCCATTTCTAACTCGGCTGAAATCTCAGCAACAACATTGACACTATCTGCCTTCACTTCTTGTTCAATGCCACAGAAAGCCGAGGCATTGACCAAGGTAGCACAGGATTGAAGTTCTACCATTTGGAGTAGAGTAAATTATTTTATCTGAGAATCTCTGGTTTTTGGACTTGATATCACCTAAATGACAGATACCTTATAACCTTTTAATAATAACAATAATAAAAAAAGACCTTGAATAAAATGCTTCCACCGCCAAAATGTTCCTGGGAAAAAAGGGAGAGAACGCGATGCACTTTCAGAGCTGAACAAACACCAATGAAACGTAAACCAATACTTTGGTTGCTTATGCTAAGAAGTAATGTAGTTTGAAACTTATAACGTTAGTTGGCATGAAAAATGGAGCATTGGAGAGTTAAAGGGGCATTGGAAAACTCAAAAGGAAAAACAGTGTAAGTTGAAGTGCAAGTCACTGGAAGCAAAGTAGATATTAAGAAGGGAAGAAGTTTCACACTTTCACTTGCACTGGGGAGCGAGAAAAGAAGACAATGCCATTAGCAAATGTTAATATTAGGACAGTGATCTCAATGCAAGTAAGGAAGAGTCCTTCTTGTTTTGGGTTTTGATTAACATCATTCTCAGTTTCAGAAAATAAAAAGAAAAAGAGAACAGCAAGAGTTAAGGCATGCATTAGCATTAGCATTACCACGTGCTCTTCTCTCTCTCTCTTTCATTGTATTCCGGGCCACACTTTTGCTACTAACTTCAGATTGTACAAAAGCGAAATCTTTAATTAAGGGGTTGCTTTTTCATGTATATGATGTCCTAGTTTCGCAAAACTTTCAAAAAAATTATTTATTTTATCTTTCATTTCTTGTTTCAATATCCAAGCTAGAGCACTATGATTTCTATATTAAAATAAATGCAAGGTAGAGAGACATTGAAGAGGATGGACACCTTTCGTTTGCAAAGCATTAATCTGCTCTGCTACTGGTAATGACAACTCACCGTCATGTTTTATTGACAGTTGCATTGTCTTGTAATGCAAGCCTCAGGCTGTTACCATGTTTAACAGCATCGTTGGAGCATCCGAGGCACTATTCACATACTATATATTATTCTATACTTAACTCATCTGTGTCGACTTCATTACAATGTCAAATGTTACATTTCCACTTCACCCTTTTGTTGTTTTAGCTATAAAAAGATGCACTATCTTTGCCAAAGTTTCTCATCTTTGATGTTTTGCAGAATATTAGTAATGGATTTTTTAACCTGCACAACCTCGCAGAGAATAAACTCTAATCCCTAAACCACTTAACCAATGAGGGAAGAGTAAAAGTAATTTTTTTTAAAATTATAATAAAACAATTAATACAGATTAATCATGTGGTGCATTTATTGAAGTTTATTTTGTACATGTTAAAAAACTTCTATTAGTAAAGAAAAAAATTCACTCCTATTACATGAGGGTCATGTTCTGTGTTTTTGTATTTTTGTTTAAGCGAATTATTTTTTGGTTAAATAAAAATACAAAAACACGATAACATAACTTTCACACAAACATGAGAGGATACCGGTCTGTTAGTAAAAGCAACTCACATCACATGCACAAGGTTTGACTTCAGAAAACTCTTGAATTACAACTGCTACTGCTGCCAAAGTTTTTATGACTTGAAAACTAGTGTAGTGTTGAGAGGAAAAAATTGTAATATCAATGTAGAAATGAAATATTAGTGCTTCGGGGGCATATAAATATAATTATTGAAGAAAGGGATAGAATAATCACTGTGTCTTGACTAAAGAGTCTACGAGACGCCTTTTCCCAAATATACATATAAAGAAAGGGCGTGCACACGTGCATATAATAAACTTAGTGGGAAGCATAATAGACAGTATAAAAAAACAACCTCACGTGGAGCAGTAACTTAAATGGTTGTCTCTTAATACAATTTTTGTCAGGAGAATATGAAGCTAAAACCTTGGATACCATCTTATTAATATTAAACTAACTTCATTAGCGTCAGGCATTTATCCTTTTGCAACAATTGGTGCGCCCTTTGATTATTCTTAGTAAGTGTACCCATTTACTTTGAGGTTACCCTTGCCCCACAAGAATTGAAATATGAAATTGTTGACCCACTACTCTCCTGAATTCTCAGGCATATTAAATAATAATAATAATAATAATAATAAATCTTCACATCACTGCTTTTCTAGTCTTTTTATAATTTACTAACAATGCTTTTGCTCATCGAAGAATTATAAAATGTTGTGCAAACTAGACTATATGCTTCATAAATTGACACCAACCAAGTTTAGTTTTGTAGACTTGAGGGAGGAGACGAAAGAACTCCTAGAAAAATTACCTATAATCGTCTTTCTTTAAACAAACTTGTGAAATTAAGTCCAATCTTTTTTCTTATACAGGACACTGCAATTCAAGCGTCAAATTCTATTGCAGGGCATGGGATAGATTACATCTTAATGCTGAAGATTGCCCTAACCCACAGAGAAGAGAAAGAAGAAAGAAGAAAATCTAGCATTTCCACAAAACATTATGTGAACAAAATATTCAAGTTTGCATTTGCATATACAGGTTAAGGAAATCAGTTCCCTCCCCTGATTACTCATTTCTCAGCCACAATAAAAATAATAATTCTACGCTATCAAAGTATTTTCATATAAAATTTCAAGCTTCGATAGAACACTTGGAAAATATGACAGCCAGAAACTAAATGTACACGGAAGTACAGGAACAATACTTCATGCAACCCATTTTTAGCACCACAGGCACAAAAGTAACCTTGTACCAACATTAGGATTGCAAAAAACTTCAAAGAAATAATCAATATGCATGGTGCACCCTGTTACACATTTCTGAAGATAATGCTTCTTGCCTACAATGTTAAGTCACTCAAACGATTGGCGTTCATGATGAATCACACAATCTTGTAAAATTGACTCCATTCAATAGATTTACAGTAGCTGTCCCTGGTGTGGCATTCCGCTTCTCATCATTGCACAGAATTCCTCATAGTTTATTCTCCCATCCTGTTAGTTAAAGAATTATTAGCAACATTAGAAAGAGGGTTACCCAAACGAACAAGAGCCCACTTACATTATCTGTATCCACCTCAGAGATTATTTCCTTTATTGTTGCTTCATCACCCATTCCATGTTGGGTCATAGCAGTCTCCAATTCATCTCTTGTAATATATCTGGCCCGACAATTTAAAGAAACGCAGTCATTCACAGCCATGAATTTAATCATATCAACAAGTTGAGTTAGTAATTCACTTTTAAATCAATCAACTATGTGTCACTAAAATCAGACTATTAAACTATTAACACAGTCATAAAGTAAACTAATCTAGTTTAATATAGAAATGTTACTGATAAAATCTCCATAGTGAAGCTGAAATAAAATTGCCCGAGATCGCCATTACCAAATGTGGCATTGAACATTAGGATATGGCTGTCAAGTTTCGTTCATTTGCAATGGAACAGTCGGGTATGGACTTGGAGACTTGAAAGTTGAAACAAATTCAAAATTCAAATTCTCATAACAAAATTATCATTAACATTGGAGAAGAACTCGGCTACACTAAAAGAAGAGGATAAAACAGTTCAAAACTGAAAGGATGACTATGTGACTTTAAACAAAACATCATCTAGTTGATCAAACGCATGGCTAGAAATAAATTGCAATATGGGAAACACTAAAATGCCAATCTTGCAATACTCACCCACTGTTATCCTTATCAAAATACTGGAATGCTTTGTAAAGATGTTCATCACGTTCAAGTCTGTGCCGATGCATTGTAGCCGAGATGAATTCAATATAGTCAATCGACCCATTTCCATCAACATCAGCCTGAGACATGTTATGCACAAGAATAAGAATCCAGTTAAGTTCAAAGAATGCATGTATGTTTAACTAGTTAAACTCTCGGTAGGGATCTGTAACTACTTACAGCTTCCATGAGTTGCTTCACTTCAGCCTCAGAAAGTCGTGATCCAATTCGAGCCAAGCCAGTCTTCAGTTCTTCATAGGTGATGGTGCCATTATTGTCAGTGTCCATATTTGCAAACATTGCTTTGAGACCTTTAATCTCCTCTTCTGATAGATTTTCAGCAATAACCTAGAGAAATTTCCATCAATGTTGGTGTAATGGAGAAATGTTCAGAGAAGAAATAAGTTGGAACATATAACTCTCAAAATATTCTCATTTCTCACAACTCATTTATGTGATGAAAAGGGAACACTCCATCCTTCTAAGCTTTAATGTCAGAACTAGAGGATAACTCCCTGAATAAAAGCGGTAGATGGAAAGCTAGATATGAACATAATAAAGGTTTTAAAAATAAGAAAAAAAAATTGTAATTAGGAGTATTCATAGTGTACATGAAGTGTCCAACATGGGTATGAATTTGACACGTTTCAACATGACACAGTTACTATTTTGCAGCGTTTATATCTTCAAATCACCAGTTTTTCTATAACGTTATTTTAATACTAAATATGATGAAAAGAAATTGCACATGGCTAGTTGAAAAGGAATACTTGACCTATTTCAAGTGAAAGCAGCGGAGGTTTATATACCAGACAGAACAAACAAAAGTATTGGCACAATATTATGTCTATAGTCATATTACAGAATGAGTAAATATAGGCACAGCTCAAAAACTGCATTCAAAAGAGAAATAATCGATCATCAACAATCTCAAGAACCCAATAAAAAAAACACATTGACTGTAGTAGATTTTAGTCCATGTTTGATGCCATACCTTCAATGCTAGCTTCTTGAGCTTATTCATTGCCCTGAATTGTTTCATTCTGGATAGAACAGCACTATCAATTGGTTTATCAGATGCCTCTCCGCCTTCTCTCATCCATGGATGTTCTTACCAAACAAATCATCAATCTTAGTCAGGTTAAGTTTGACAAAAGAATTAAACAAAACAAAGGCAATGCAAATGACTGATGAGAATTTACTTAGTTGATGATATTATGATCGCAACTTATTGTTGATATGCTATTGTCATTTCTCCAGACAGGGTTTTGTTTGTTGTTTCTTATTTCTAAGGTTCAATAAACAAGTCATATATTCTTGCTGCCTAAACGTTACACAACTCGGGAGAGTAGAAGTAAATGGAGGAACTTTCAAAATTTGCAACAAAAACTGAATGGAGAACGATTGTCCTACTAAACTAATACAAACCAAAAACATAAATGATTTTCATTTCATTGAACAACCACTAATGCACTACAGTGATGAAAGTTACTTGAGCCAAAAATAGAAACAGTAGTCTAATACCAAGAACTTGAGCAGAAGTAATCCGTTTCTTTGGATCCTGCGTTAGCATCTTCCTGACTAGATCTTTAGCACTGTCTGATATTGATGGCCATGGTTCACTTACAAAATCAATTTCACCTTCCAATATGGCGTTGAATATTCCCTTTTCAGTTTCTGGAAAAGATATTAACAACAAATTGTTACATCATTGTACATTATAGTGTTAATTTATAAAATAACAAAACTCAACAGCTTATGCCACATTTTTTAAATTACAATTTGATCTTACCAGCCCAAAAAGGTGGTACACCACTCAGAAGAATATACAATATGATGCCAGCACTCCAAATATCTATTTCCTTTCCATAACTACGACGCAATACCTCAGGAGCAACATAGTAAGCACTGCCTACCATATCATGGTAAACCTTCCCTGAAATAAATTTTAGAAAAGACTATGAATTGTCAACCCGAAAGTAGTATCAGCATCATAACTAATTCCTTTAGAGCTGAAATAGAAGTCAAAAGCATTAGAATTCAACATAAGCTGTAACGAATATGGACATAAGTATTCAGTCTTGTGGATAAACTTGAACATCACCAGCTGAAAAAGATTTAGAAACCAATTCAATATCTGATCTAAAATTTTCCCAAAATGTGATTCGGTATGAAAACCTTAATAATATACAAGTTATAAGCAATGCAACCTTCTTCAATGAAAACAGAGAGCCCAAAATCAGTTGCCTTGAGCGTGGCATCCTCATCCTTGCTAGAAAGCAAAAAATTCTCGGGCTTGAGATCACGGTGCATAACACCCATGAAATGGCAAATGTGCACAACATTCACAATGGCTCGGCAAAGCGATGCAGCAGCTCTCTCAGAATAGTGACCCTGAGCAATGATTCGATCAAAAAGCTCACCACCAGCACAGAGTTCCATCACAAGGTGAACCGAATACCGATCCTCGTAAGCACCCTTGAATTCAACGATGTTGGGTTGCCCAGACAAATGCTGCATTATCTGAATCTCTCTCTTCATGTCGTCTTTGTCAGCTTTGGAAACCAGCTTCCTCTTCAAGATCGACTTGCAGGCATAGGTGTGACCACTTGAATTCTCGGTGCAGAGATACGTAATCCCAAATTGCCCTCTTCCCAGTTCTTTCCCCAGAGTGTAGTGTTTCTTTATGTCTTCAAAGGGTTTCCCCAGAATGGTTGCTTCTGCTTTCTGCAAATTCGAAGGTTGTTTTGGTTTTGGTGGGGTCGCCACTACATGTGATTCTGGTTTGGGTGCTGATGCCTGAACTTGAGTAGTGGGTGGCTGAACAGTGTGGTAACTAACGCCGCTACCACCTGTGCCTGTGCCGGTACCTGTACCTGTACCTGATCCATACCCACTAAACTCTGCGCTTGATTTTTTCTGCTTGCTACCGTGACAACCCATTTCACAGGAAGCGTTTATGGAGTGAGGGTTTTGGGGGAAGGTTGAGAACCCCTGCCTCTGAATCAGATCAAGTAGGTACTAGCTATGCTACGGGAGTGTGGATGGAAACCAGAAACTAGGAAAATACTAGTATAAAGCAGCTACTGTCCAAATTCAACAGATAATGACACCAGTAGAAAAAGGAAGGTGGTCGAAATAATTTTGTTTAGTTGATTACAGATCATTCTTGTCCCGAGGAAAATCTTTTTCTGTAATTCATCATACTTGCCCAACAAAAAAACGTTGTCTTTTCTCATTTTTAAGAAATTAAAATAATTTTATGCAATTTCATTTTCAATACATTTTTATTGCTTGTGACGCTCCAGTTACATTACTCACATTTGCCTGCCTGCCTTTGTTTGTGTATTATACTATTGTTATTATTTAGTTTAATTTTTCGTATTATGCATAGTTGAACAATTATTTTATTTTCAAAAATAACAATATATATATAATTCGAAAATAAAATACAAGTAACATTAATTGCGTGAACATATAACATTAAGTTAACGATATACATTTCATATGCATACAAAGCTATTATTAAAATATGTTTTATATAAATAATCACATAAATAAAATGAATAAGAACAAAATCACACGAATAAATTAAAAAATGAGTTTGGACTCATTTTAATTAGCCTTTTGGACTCTTCCCACTTCTTATCAATACGGGCCCGGACCATGATTGGGTTTGACAATCTTTGTTTCAACATATTTGGGCCATTACTTTTTCAACCCATTTTATTACTAATTATACCAAAATTTTTATTCGGTTTTCTTTTTTTCCAAAGATCATTTTCCTTCGCATCAAGGATCGACCGTAAAGACTTAATTGTTGAGAAACACTGTCATTCTTTTGTAGCAAGTATGCTCATATCACTCGTTTTTTTATTGGTGTCAAAAACAGTGGTGTGTGGAGAAAATTTTCAAATATTTACATTCTGAAAAAAGGAATAGATATTGCCTCAAAATCTAGTTTTCAGAACTTAATTTTCGAAATGCATGTTAATGAGTAATGACCTACAAAAATTAAGTTCTGAAGGATAACTTTTCAATACATTGATGGACTGTAATACTACGGTGTTTGTTTTTAATAAAATTAAACTCATCATTAAATTTTTTATCTATGACTAAATCATCGTTGATATCATGCATTACTTTAGTACCATTAGTCCACTCTTTCAGTGTTTAAATGGAGAGGAAATTTTTAGCCTTCAACCTTCTTCATAATATTGGATGGTAGTTGAGATGTTCTCTATTTGTATATTGTGTGATATACCTAGTTACCCATTTAGTATAGTATTGTCCCTAAACGTGAGCTATCCAAAAGTTTTCATTACAATTTTTGTTTTCTTGTCAAAATGCAGGGTTTTATTATTGAGCAGAATTTTATCATATTTTTTTTTATATGATTAAAGATACTAAAAAAAATCCAAAGGGTAATAACAACTATGAGTCCGGGCCAGGATTGGGCTGAACAATTTCAATTCCTTTAAATTGCGCTATCAATATTTGTTTTAGTAAATAAGGGCTCCAACTTTTGTCCAAAATTTTATTTTCAAGGTACAATCAATTGCATAATCACTCCCCTGAAAAACGCAATTGAAATTGAAATTATCGAGGTACCACATTTGTTGCAAGTATAGATTGATTTATAAGCAAAATCTTCTATGCTATATTAAGAGCATCAGTTAAAAAACAGAATAAATAAATAAATTTCATTTAATACTAGTTTAAATAGTTAAAAATATTTAATAAATTAAGTTAAATATCCCCTATTCAACACCCAACACTATATTCTTCTTCAACCCTTCTCAAAATTATAAATCTATTATTTTCATTAGGTAAAATATGTATTTTATAATAAAAAGTATATTTTATTTCCTATTTTTAGGAGAAATTTTATTGAAAATGGCTTAATTATATTTTTTTTCATATTTGAATTATGTTTGTCAACGAAATTATATTTTGTGAAAGGAGATGATTTCTTATAATTGGCAAATCATGATTTGAATGAATTGAAAGAGACATTTATACTTAGGGTTTTATTGTGTTTCGAATAATATAATTATCTGTCATGTAAAAAGTAAACAAAATCATTTAAAATTCTAAATTTGACTTGGTGGAAGTTCAATATATGTATAAGAAATTGACTGAGTGGAATAAGATATTATGTCACATTCAATATATAAATTACAAATTTAAACTTTCATTATTTTTTTACAGTAAAATAAATGTAAATTTCTTTTATATTTTTTTAAACATCTAATGAGCTAATTCTTTGGATTAGTTTTGTTTTTCACTATCTATATGTCGCACTCTTCTGGCTATTTAGCTCATCCAGTCACCTTTCTCTTTCTTAGGTTTCTTTTAAGGCCCTACGGGAGCACCATAGGAGAAGTCACTTCAGGTCCATCGCGTTTGTTCCCCCATAGCATTGTTTAACCTCTCATGAAAAGTTTCAATTAATAGCTATTTGGATGATCTATGCATAGATGAGGGGCAAATATAGGAGGATTTTGATGGAAGTTTAGGGAACAAGATGATGGGTTTTTACAAGCAATGGAGGTGAGTATGAGAACGATGAGACATGCAGCTTTTGTACTAAAATTATTGATGTGGTTATTAATAAAGCTGGACGGAGCCAATAAAAGGATTAACTTGTTGGGTGTTTAAATATTGTAAATCTAAAATGAAAAAAAGAGAGTAGATTAATAAAAAAAATCAAAGCTGCACGATTAAGGTATTCACGTTGTCGAAAGGATACACTTAATTCTAACCGAGTGATACTTATTCCAAACAAATATTAACACATTTTTTAGGTAAATAATAATATAACTAATAACAATTATAAATTTGCCAGTTAAACTAAAAACTTTATACAATGAATGATGTGGCAAGGCATTGAAGGAATGCTTGCTTTTTTCCTCTATGATGTGAACATTATATTTTGTATTATCTTTTAAAAATGAGAAAAAAAAATAATCACACGTAAAGATTTATAAATTTATCGTACTATTGGCACATGAAAATTTTGGTTCAAGTACAAAGTGAAGAAGTACAACTAGAAGTGGAAAAAGTACGTGCATTTGATGAACGTGGGCATCAAACTTTGAGTTTACATGGGGATTCCTCTTACTAAAGCACCGACTTCCCTTTTTTGATACTCTTACTGAAGCACTTTGTAATGGCAAAGTAATATAACATTTGGACGTATAATAAACGGTTTGTTGAAAGCATGTTCCACCTTATAAAAAGGAAGAGAGGCCTTCAGTGCTAATCTTTTGTTCCATTGGTCAAAGCCTTTGGTGCTTATCTGAATAGGATGACCCGTGATTGTGATATAGATTTTTAAGTGTGCAGCACAAACTATATCTACCAACATCTCTATCAAACTTTGACACCAAGAGTTCAAAATCGGTGGTCATAAAGCCACATGAGTTGTGAGCCCAACATGTATGAGTAGCGTCATTTTCATGCAAAAGAAGGATGCAACCATTAGCTTGTCATTCAGTCTCTTTAATCCTAATGTTGCTCACTCCCACTCTTGGACCTTAGTTAATCTATACCAATCCTGTGGCACCATCCATCACTTTTCCATTAAAAGCATTTGCTGTCCCTCTCTCACTGGGATGACCCTATTTTTTGTTCACAAATTTTTGACAATGGAATATAATTATTTGGATTTAATGTTTACGGGTACGTTCTTCGATTTGACAAGGTGTTAAAGTTTTTATTTTTTTAGATTGCTGAAAAAAAGAGGTTAAAGATTTTATGCGGAGAATATGTGTGAAAATTATAAAGTGCTGTTAATTAATGTACAATGTACAGTCCAAATCACATCTTTATTAGTGTTATGGGTTTTTTTTTTAATACAGTTTTTGCCAGGTTAATTTGTTTTTAATGAAAGCCTTACTCATTCACATTTCACTTTTGAATTTTCAAATTTTATGCTTATTGGAATGGCAGAGAGTTTGGTGAATAATAAAGTTTAGCGAAAAAAAACTAAGCTCCTTCTGATTCTAAATTATTTTAACTCAATTTTTAAATTTTTACATAAATGAGAAAATCCAAGGAATATTTGCTATTACTGCTTTAAATAATATGCCCATATACCTAATTTATATTGTTATATTTTCTTAATTATCGATACCAACCAAAATTTATGGTACAGATACAATCAATGCATTATTTTATTATAGCTTATAAATTATACATCAAAAGATTATTATAATTTTTTTATTCAACAAAAAATCTTTGTGCTTGTAAGACAAAAAGCCACTAACTTCATTAATTTTTTATCTATTGAAAATTATAATTTTTTATTTACAATGTTTAAATGGTTAAAAAATAAAAACACAAAAAAGAAAGAAAACTATAGTATAAAAGCGTTACTTTAAAAAAACAAAAGAAGATATTGAATATAAAAATCATAAATTTTTAAAAAGCTAAAAATTTAATTAAGCCATACATATATAACAAGACAGAAAAAAATTAGGTTCTTGTTTCAAAAAGGTGGTAATTTTAGAATATATGTGATTCTCAGTACCTGCATAACAACCAACCAATCAAAGTTCCCCTGGGACATACTTTCTTTAGTTAGACGATATTTCATGCTTCATGCTTAATGTTTGTCTGGTTCTCATCCAACCTTCAAATGCGTTCTATTTAATGCCAAAAAACAAATAACCTTCAAATACCTTTTAACAGTGGCACGTTATACATCACATAAAATATTTGCACATTGTCAGTGAAATATTTTTTATCAATCAAATAAGTTTGTTTTCATAAAATCATTAAATAAATGTGGAATTTATAATCTTAATATTTTATTTGTATTTAAGAATGCAAAGGTCAAGTCCGAATTACATTATAGTTAAATGAATAATACATCTTTCTTTCTGTTTGTTGTGGGTTTACAGCGAACAGGAGTGAACTGGAATACAAATTTATCCAAAAACAGATTTCATGATCTCATATTCTTCCTTATGAGGTAACTAGAATACAGATTTATCCAAAACCGGGATTACAGTGGTCATATAGTCTGAGAAGTGAGAACGATCTTTATCATTAGCCACAGAGTTGGACTCTCTTAACCCAACCCAATCATTACCCAGAAATACCCACCCATGACCCATCCAATTTCAATAACAACCAAAAAAAAAACTAAAACTATTTGTTTCTTTTTTCTTTTTTTTCAAAATGTTTAAATTAATCACCACCCTTAATAATTAATACCGATGAATTCAACTACAAAACCTGAGCGGCTCAGCCATCGAACCCGGTCTGGCTCCAGACCGCGTCGCGAACCCGCCTCATGTCGCGACCCTTTAACGTACGACCCACACCTTCGAAAACCGAGTTTGCCGCCATCTTACGGCTACGCGCCAAGTACTCGTGTGGCGGAACCATCTCCGACTCGTTGTCGTCGAAACCGTCGTCCATCTCATGCAGCGATTCCACCGAGCCGACTCGGAGTATCTTGCTCCAGTCAGGCACGTTCACCGGCGCTGACGTGGCCATGTGGTGTCCACGTGGCGACGAAACGGCATCGTGCGCCCTGTACTGGTGATGCACGATCCTCGAGGACGCATTACTCCCCGGATCCTCGAACGCCAGGGACAGACCGCCCACGTGGCGGTGGCCCTGTTCCCTGTTTCTACGGCGCGGTTGTGCACGTGGCTCCCACTCGCCGGGAGAGACATTGACGTCGGCGTCACGATCACGGTCTTCGGCGGTGGACCAGAGATCTTCTTCCCTGAGCTCGGATGGGTCGGTGGCGGTGGAGCCTTGGTTGTAGGTTGTTCCCAAGAAGCGCTCGCTTCGGGTCGCGGTGCTGAATTTTCGACCCTTTGCCATATACGGAATTGAATTGAGTTTGGACAACGGTGGTTGCTAGATTTTAAGCGAAGCCAAACCAAGCCAAGCCAAGCAATTATTATATTAGCAAGTCCAATAACTCCATTTTCATGGCCTTCGAACCTGGCTTGGCTTTGGCATAAGCTGTGTGCATAGTGGTTGATGTGTATATATAGCCTTTTTCTTTTCCCTTTCATCTTTAATTTCATTTGAATTTGAGTTTCGCCTTCATTTTGTCTGCATTTCCCCTATATTTTTTGTCCGGTTAAAATACCAGCCCACATCTACCAATTACATTCACACTGTCAAAATAACTATAACCACCATTATTTAAAGTTAATTATAAAATAATATACTTTTTAATTCTTGTTAATATAATTAGTTTTCAATTTCATAAATTTTAATTCTAGATCTTATTCACGTAATATGTATTCAGTTATATCCTGTTGCATAATTTTTAAATAAAGTATATTATTAAATTACTTTTAATCAATGATGAAAAATATATTGAAAAAATAAATTTTATAAAAGATAATATTTTTAGCATTATTTTGAATTAAAATTGAAGTTTTATAGTTGTAATAATTAATGTTCATTTTTATTGTTAATATTTATTACATAAATAATTAATAATTACGGATTATGTTTTAGGGAGTAGCACATTAGCACACTACTGCGATGGCGTGTGGGACCACTGAGGCAGTTTTATAAGATGGGTCGAGGGAGAAGGGAAGAGACGGGAATGCAATAATGCCAATTCCGCTAACTGACGTGTGCCCCTTCCATCAATTTTCCATTTTCGCTGTTGGTCGCTATTATTGGCGTAAAGAGTTTTCTATTTTTTCTACTTCTGCCCACTTGCTGGGATTTACACATATTAGAGGTTTCACTTTTCTTTTCTTGTTTTGGTTTTTCCATTCAACTATTTTTTTTAATAATTAAATTAAATCACAAGTTGCTTTGGATGGTACATGGTACAGTGAGGGGGTATTTATGCGCGATCCAATGCAATGTCACTTATTTTAAAACTAAAATGTAAATTAATTAAAATGTTCGTCTCTAAAAGCATCATTCTAGTCAACTAATACGAATATCGTTCATGAGGTTAGCATAATTTATGATAGTATTTTTACAAAGCTTATCAATTCCTTTTTTCTATTTAAAAAACAGACACTAATATACTCAAATTCTCGTATTTGTTTTTTAATAATCATAATAACTACTAAATAGAAAATACTCTGCCCTATTTTATGTTTTTAAAATATTAAGTTGTATGTATTTTATTCATCTTTTTAAAATATATAACAAAATTACTTTTAAAAAATTTATGCTATTTTTTATACATTAAAAACAAATCAGAGTGTAATTTAAAAATATTTGTGGTTAAGCATACAAGTCGATGGCAGGTTTGTTTCGCTAAGCAGGAAATGAATCCCATGGAGTTGAAAAAGTAACTGTACCTAGATAAAATTGATGTGAAATAAGAATAAAGGATAGTGACCAGTTGTGCATAAATAACGTATTAAAAAAAGAGAGTAAACGAAGATAATAAAATCTAAAGGATTAACGAGAACAGAGACAAGGAGTAAACCCATATCCACGTCGTTTTTTCGCGCCCTAATGCAATTAGAACAGGGTAGGGTATCATGTTTGACTACGTCAAATGCATCCAATCAAGATCCGACCCTCCACGTGGTACCAGCATGAAGCAATCTTATTCTGGATCCTCTAACTAATCACCACGTGTAAGATTCTTGGAAAACAGGGCCCGTGGATGCTGTCTCTGTCGGCGCCACGTGGCCACACAATGACAGGTTGTAATTTTTGCGAAAATAAGGTTGCAGGGGTGGGATGAAGGTTGAAGACAAAGATAATGATGACAAGGACAGTGAATTAAACCTAACTCTGGCTGGGTAATTGATGGTTTAGGAAGGTTGAGGTGATGATTAGAGCTAAACTAATCCCACTGCAGGGTGACGTGAATGGCAATGGGTTTAGAGAAAGCATCTTCCAATCCAAATCCTCCATTCTCCAACTCCGAGAGAAAGAGCAGAGCGAGAGAGGCACATTGAGCGGTCCAGAATTAGCCCTGCCTTCCTGTGGGACCCACAGGGGTGGAGCTGTCATATTCTGAATTGAAAACCGAGCAACATTTACAACCCCCGATTACAGTATCATAATAAATATATTTTTTTTTTTGTGTGTGATTATATATATAATAATAATTTCCAAGTATTGCTGCATTTTACCAATCAGTTGACACTCACGGGCCTTGGGCCCAGGCCCAGTACAAATCTGAAAGCTTTACCCAAATGGCCTACTGTAGCCAGGTCTGGATGTGAGCTTTCGACGTTGCTTTCCTCACTTACGCATGAGGGTACTGTGGCCGTGAACTGCCATCTTTTAATGAATTATCGATTATTGCCGATGAGTAAGTTATCACAAGTTTTTTTATGGGCCTTAGATTGTGGTTCGGGCAGTAAGTGGGTCACACCACTTCCACTGTGACCGAAGAACCCACAGAAAAATGGTTAGATTTGGCAGGAGAAGGTCCTGGGCCATGGGTCCTGAGTCCACTGCTAGACTTAGACCCGTCAGTGCAGCCGAGCATCCTATGCTGTGCTTTTGTTACCGGCCTTCTATCTCAACAATTACGAGCTTTTTAATTGCAGCAACATAAATATACGTTATTGGAACTGTAACCGAGGTTGTTTGCATTAGACTTGTCCTACAGTAAATTTTGTGTGCAAAATTCGTTATTCTTTATAAGTTACTCCTACAACTCAAAGGAAGAAAAAACGTTTCTCAGTATTTTTTTTGCCTAAATTTCGATTTTAGTCTATTCCATTCTGATTTACTCACAGTATGTTTGAAAATTTAATAAAATAACATGAAATTATAACTTATATCGGTGAAATGAATTTAAATTTGAACAAATTTAACATAAAATCAAACACAACATTAATTACTCGGTTAAATTTTGTTTTAAAAGAATGAGAGTGGGTAAGTGGGTGAATTGGACGAGCCAAAAAATTTGGCCGTGGCGGCTCATAACATGATGTGGCCCGCAGTGATAAAATAATCCCACATCTTAGGAAACCCCCACCACCATGTTGCTTAGCCAAACGACATGCAATAAACTTTGCAAGTGGAATGATTCATGAGCAGGGCATTCCCCAAAACTTGACCCACTATTATGCCAACTTTATCAACAACGACACCCCAGAAACTGCCACAATCTATGTGAAGTTGTGTCAGTCATTTTTATACCAGCAAAGATTCATCTGATTCAAAATCATAATACTATTGTTATTAATTCACATTACTATTACATGGTAATGATACAAATATAGCTATGTCGACCATTTTAATTTGCACGATCTGAATGAGAATCTCACCTATTGTACAAGCGCGGCCACCCTAGGCTCTCCCATGTGTAGATATCATGGCTTCCAGATAGGTAGATGTTTTATTTGTTCTCGGCAGATTTAGGCTGGATGTACCATGTTATTATATTGGTGCTAAACTAGTTTTATGATGCCTATATTTTATGGAACAATTGGATCAACTGGATCACCATGGTCACCAATGATTGTACAAAAGTGAATTGTTTGTTTTATTTATTTATTTTGTTCTTTTGAGTAATGAATGCGGAAGGCCCACACTGTATGATTAGGTTACTACTGAGCAGTTTTGCTCTAGCATTGGGGTGTGTATTCTTTGCAGTTTAGTACATGGCAGAGGGAAGGGACAGAATCTTCCGGAAGGCTTTGTCGGATAGTTCTTTTAATCACCCTGTTTCTTTCTTTTCATTATACTTCACTCAAACCTAAATCAATAATTCCACGTGCTCTGCTTATTTTAGATCAAAGTCTTCACATACGTCAATATTTACTGAATTTCTTCTTCTAATAATGTAATTAGTTTATCAAAGTTATCGATATTTTAAAACTTGATACAATTTTAAAACCAAGCAACACTTTATCTCATCTCTGACATGTTGCTTAAAACAAATTCATTTTATATTTTATGAAATATATTTGATAAAATTTAGGTATCCAATTCAATAAATGGTTTTATTCAACTCAATTTTTTTATTTTTAATAAAATTAAGCATGTATTACTTAAAGAAGTTTATATTGATTTATAAATTTAATTTTAACACAAAGTTAGATTAAATTTTGTATTTTATACTGTCAATCGATTAAGAATTAATGTTAATGATTTAAAAATTTTAACAATTATCAACTTTGTGATAATTTATGATTATATATGTAAATACATAATATTTTAATTAAATTCATGATTCATTATATGATACAAGTCTTTGAGCAAATAAAATAGGAGACATGAAATCTTTTTGCCATGTAAGGAAAATTAAAGTAATGTTTAGCCATTCTAAACAATACCAAAAGCCGTAGAGGAAGCACAATTGTCGAGTTTTGTAACGATGGTGGAGAAACCAAACCCTCTAAAGGACTATCTCAAGAAACACCAATCTAACCTGTCATAGGCCTCTTTTAAATCAACCTTGAAAGTCAACATTAGCATACTTTCTATTGAAATGGGACATAGCATAAATAGTCTATTGCAAAATGTTAGTATTATTAAAGCTACATCTTTCGAACACAAAACTACTTTAAAGAAGGCTAATAATACCAATAATATAAAAAAATCCCAATTTATTCACAAAATACTTTTGTAATAATATTAAAAGTCACATTACAATGACTACATTAATTTTTTGGCCTAAAATCCTTGAAATTACTAGCTTGGTCAAATTTTGGCATAAAGACCACAAGAGTTTCTGTTACGCTAGGATGAAAATCACCACAAGTTAAAAACTTTTTTTACTAAAAACAACAAATCGTAATTAAAAATATGCAAAAAATTTAACTAAAGTCGCACAGAACCAGTTAGGACCAAGAGCTCTAAGGAGTTTCAAGAAATTAAGTGTTCAAAAAGAAAACTTCAACATTAATAAGTGTTCAAGATATTTATTATTTTCTTGCAATATTCTTTCTGTTTTTTTTTTTTTCCTCTCAAGATGCTACGGCTCAGACGTGCACGTATAAAAAAAACATGTTTACCAAAAATATTTATTATTTTCTTTACACGATTCAATCTTAAAATCATTAATTATGCAAAAAGCAATAAAACATTATCCAACGTAATATAATTCTTCTGGTCAAATTGCCCTACGGGGAAAACTGTTCGTAAAGGATACAAAGATGCTCTTTGGGCTTAAGCCCAAAACAAGGACCGACAATACAGCATTGTCTAAACAAGAACTAGTTTGTGGACCAAAATAAAAAAAGATACAAGAGCTAGTTTTGACCAAGAAAAAATCGAACAAGAGCTAGTTGTTCATTTTTTTGGTCAAGAAGAGCTAGATTTTTGAATCACTAAAGGTTCTGCTCCGCAGGCCTGAGTATGGACTATAAATAAAGCTGGCCTAGGCTTCTCATGTTCTATCTCAACCCTAGTTGGGTGTTGACCCAAACAAAACCTTAATAAAGATTGCACGTTATTTTTTATACTTTATTAATTAAAATTAATTTTTACTTTAATAAAGATTTATATTTAATATTTTTTTATATATTATTAAGATAAAACTTTAATATTAATTAGAAAATAACATGAAATATATTTATAATACTGTACGAAAAATTTGTGAAAAAAAGAATCTCTCTTGGGATTCGAATTAGGACCTCATGATTTCAATTATCACTGGCAAGTGGCAAAGTAAGAGTGAAGGCTTGGTGTATGTGACATATTATATAATTTTTAGAATTACTAAGAATGTGTCATAATATATAATTGCTAGAATAAGTCTGACAAAAAAAGATAAAAATATTTAAAAAAAACTTGAGAATATATTATTTGAAGAAGAATAACACAATAGGTCAATAGCATATAAAAAAAGTAAAGTTATATAGGGTTTCTTTTTTCCCTGTTTTTTTAATTCCTCATGTGTGCTTTAAAAGAATGACAAAGTTCTTACCATTAAAGGCAATGTAGAACTTACAAATTTGACTTCCCGGTTTCCAAAAATGTTAATGGCCTTGTTCTTGAAAGTGCCAATACACAGATCACTCTTTTACCAGGTGCCGCTACACATCTCTTTCCTTTTATTTGGTCGAAATCATCTCTTTCATTTTTCTCTCCTTTTCCCTGGGCCCCGTTGCCGCGATAGTCATTTCTTTCGGCTCCTTAATTGTTCCAACGTGGCCACTTCAGTTAGCCATGGCAAAGTGTCAATTTCACTTTGTTAGAACTTAGGTCCACCAACTCCGAATGCAGCTTTCAATCATACTACATATTGGACAAATATTAGACATTCTTTTTTATTACCATTCTTTTCTATGCGTAACCATATTATATGTCTATGTAGATAATTATTTATTTATTTTTTTACAATTTGGGTATAATTTTGATTTTAAAATAATAATTTTAATACATTTGACAATGTAATGTAAGTTATACCGATAATTGTACTGTCAATTATTTTTTATTAAAAAAATACTTTTAAATCAGTAAAAGTAATAACTTTTTATTTTTGACAAAATTTACAGGAATAATTAAGATAATACATTATTTTAATTTCAGTATGAATGGTTTGTATCTAAAACAGAAAATGATGGACAGTGGTTTCTTGTGGGGCTCACACGGCATGACACGGTCGTAGTGGCAACACTTTCAACCTTCTTTTGTCGACGACACTCTTTGGAGTCAAACAAACTTCAAAGGTATCCATCCCTAACAGGACCAAGGAATGTGTAGGGTATTTGTTTGTGTCTTCCTCATTTAACATTGTTTTTTTAGGTTTAAAAAAAGCACGAGTCATTTTTCTCCTATCATATATTTGGCTTTCTGAACATTTCTTCACGAAAAAACAAAATCACAAAACACGAAGAAGAATGCGTGTAGGGTCTACATATAGCATAATTAAAGCTCGCATGGATTAACCGGGTCCATCTTAAAGCTAACCATATCTGCCAGCAAATAAAAACAGCAAAAATTATAGGCGCATCATCAGGAGTGCCAGATTCTTGTCCATCAACGTTCTTTGGCCTTGGCATACATTTTACGACTTTGTTGAGTCAGAGTTATCATTCAATCTGTTTCTCATTATTTTGAAACGACCTATTCAGGCATTTAGGTTAACAATGAAGGAAGCAAAGGGAAAGTAAATAATGGCAAATGATGATCGATTTTCTTTTTTTATTTGTGTTTTCAGTTGAAGATTAATATAATTTCTACGCGCAAATTTTATAATACTCTTTTGTAACTCTTTCTGGTTTTTTTTTTCCATCACATAACTCATCATGGAAAATGTAGGAGCATATCGATAGCCTCACTCCAATGATCATGAATTGAACAAATTATCAATCAAGAGATCTAACACACACAAAAAAGTGTGCATACCGAATTGGTTTGGTTTTCTAGAAAAGAATCAATCACACTCAAAATTCGATATGCTATCTGTTGTGTTTCTAGCATTATTACAATTGATCAACGGCTGGATAGACGGACAAACACAAATCACAAAACGTTATTTTCGCAAATATGCTGAAATATGTGTGAGGGTGGTGTTTCTTTTGGAAGTTTGATCTACAGAAGAGAAATGAATGGAGCTTTCAATGTGTTTCTATATTTGATCTCTTTCAAAATTGAAACAAGCTTTCAAGCCAGCGGCTTAAGTATATGCTGCAACTGAGATTTCTGTTTTCGCACTCTTTCTTCCAAAGGGATGACCTTAGAATCGATTTTGGCAATGCCTCGTGGCCATTCTATGCGTCCTTTCATCCCACGAGTTATGTGGGGATTCTCAGAGTCTGCAAAGTTTCGTTGCCCCAATAATTCGCATTGTCTTAAACCACTTTCACCCGAACCTTCCCCCTTATCAAATGTGGGATCTTCTTGTGCCACAGAAACACAGTGAATGCAACAACCATCGTTTTGATTTTCAAAACATAGATCTGATTCACTCTCCCATATATTCTTGTCTTGGTTAACATTAATCACCTGTAACGCTGTACTATAATCACCGGAGTTGCTTGATTGATGTAGACGTAGCAAAGAGTTATTTTTGAAGCAATCTTCATCAATACTTACAATGTGGATTGTGGATGAGGGACCAATAACATTGGGAGGGTAGTCTGGTTCAACTTGAATCACTCTCTCGTTAATGTTTCCCTTTCTTAACTCCTCATAAATGGAAAAAACATCACTTGACTTTGTGAAATCATATGAGAGTTCTGTAACACAATGAATATTGACTGATTCTGCAGCCTGTTTGATCAACTGAGCATCCCTCAACTCCATGGTGTCTAGTTCATCACCTCTTGACCTTAAGAAACTTTGGAGATGAGAAATCAACTGAATCATCTGATTATACTTATCTTCAAGAGCAAGCTTTGCATCAACTAGCTTCATTTGGATGCTCTCTTCACGCCATAGTTCCGCCATTAGAAACATGTTCCTCTCTTCTTCCATTTTCACGGAATGTCTCTGTAGTCCCTCGAGCTTGGCCCTATCTTCTCCCATTTGCATGGTTAATTGGTTGCAGATTTGCTCTAATAATTGTCTTTTTTTCTTTTCTTCCTCGTAGTTAATCATATATTGGTTTGCACAAAGCTTGGCTTGAGCCAGCTCATTCGCCAATTTGGTGCTAAGTGATTCCATCCTCTCCCTACTTCTCCTTTCCCTTGCTAACTTATCCTTTAACTCCTCTAACATTGCTTCAGTCTTATGGACTTGTCGACGCTTCCAGAGAAGCTTTTCCTCCTCAATCTTTTTCTTATAGGACTTGTGTTGGGCTTTAAGCTTGTTGATGAAGCTTTGAGCGCGAAGGAGTTCTGATATCAGAGCAGAGACAACAGAATCACCTATTATTTTTGAGCGTATCGTAACCTCTTTCTTTGAGAGTTTGACGCGTGGCGGAGAAGACTGAATCTGAGAACAGGGAGCACGAATTCGATTAGAAGATAGTAAAACAAGAGAGAGAGGGAGAGAGAGAGAGAGATGGAACCTGGAAGACACGCAAGTGCCATAAGCGTGCGGCGAGCTTTCTGGCAGAAAGGTGAGTGTTTGGGGGGCGGTGGGGGAAATTGACGGGAGAGGTGTTGGCGACGGAGTTCATTTGGTTGGAGAAGGTGCGGTCATCAACAATAGACAAAAGCAAATTGTAATTTCGGAATGTCTGTGTTGTGGTTGTGGTGTCGTCACTTTACTCACTATGCTTATTCCTTTCCATGCGCTATTTTCATTTTTCAACACATTGAAAGGGTTAAGAAAAAGTCCCTTTTGTTTTGTTACGATTGCTTCAACTTCAAACTTCACTGTACGCGGTAGCAGCCAGCGGGTCACTCGCTCTCCAATTTGTATCGTGGAATAATAATTTACTACCAAGTTCTCCGGATTACACGATTTTTATTTTTTATAAATATTATCAAATTAAAGATTAACAATTTTTTATTATATGAATATAAATAAATTTAATAGATAAATATCTTTAATTTGATATAATAATATTTAAAATCAATTTTTAAGGAATAATAAATAAATAAATCTCAATAAAAAAAAGTCACACTTTACAACAAAGATGATAATTTTTAAGAATGCTTTCACTCAAAGTTAAGAAATATGTATGTATCAAAGAGAAAAGAAGAAGAAGTAAAGATGATTACGTATAACATTAAATGAGGCATTATTTTTTTGTTTAAATAATAAAACTGATGTTTTTCAATCCTTTTAATAATTTTTTAGTATGTTTCTTTTATGTTGGGAAAGGGATGTGTACTTTAGCTGCATATGTAAATTTTCAGAGCGTTTATCTTTGAAATAAAATTCTCTCTCTTTCGATGGAAAGGCACATCAAATAGAGATATCCAAACAGGGCTTCATTGGCTTTTGGTTGCTATATGTCTAAAGGAAACTTATGTAGCTCTCGTTTTTTTAATTGATCTATATGGAGTAAATTTTGTGTACTTTTCGCATAATCTTCTTTCCCATAATTATCATGACTTGAATGTATACTGTAAACTCTAATCTATACTGCACATAAAAGAAATTATGTAACATTTTTATTACCATTTGTCATAACTGAAAATGCTTCGGGAATCTTTGAGATTATTATATTACTGTTTATCTTTTTTATTTCTATTTTTCTTTTCTCTCAGGATATATATACACTTAAAAAAGGTTATATATATATATATATATTACACGTTACTTCAACAATCAATCATTAATATTTATAATCATTTATTTGCATAAAAATAATAAATTCATATGTAAATGCTTAAAAAATAGTTTTAAAAAGAAATTTCAGGGTAGAGGATGATCCCTATTTAAAAGTAGAAAAAATTGTCAAGCTCAATAAATATTTACAGAAAAATTATATACCTATAAAATATGAAACCCTTTTTAGCTCCACTTTTCCTTAAAGTTTATATTTTTATATGTTCATTAATTCAGCCATATATAAATTTATGCGAGTCTTAATATTCCGATTTAAGTAAGGCTGCCTACAAATTTAGTTTTGTTTACTTTGGTGATTTGACAAGACAAATCTCACAAATAAAATAAATAAAAAAAACACGGGAAAAACGTGCAGCTAGACGTTTTCACTGACCGTTTTTTATATATCTGACCCAGCTTAGACATTTTCATTTTCGTTAACCCTCTTAAGTACTATTCCTATAATGTATATTGAACATTGATCGGGCAAATTCTTCTTAACGCGCTCATCATTGATGACTGAATATCAATAGTTGCGACAAATTAATACCTATCGTTTGCACGTACGTGTAATTAAAAAAATGAGAAAAAAAAGAAGAAGCTTAACACCTGTTGTATGCATTGAAGAGGTAACACCTCATCTGTCTGGATAAGAAGATTGACAGAGGCAAATGGCGAATGATGTTTTGAATTTCGATAGAAAACATTAGATAAGAATAAGGGATGATTCAATGTCCAATTATGCTTATCCATAGAAAGAGACGCGCTCTCGTTGGCGACGCAAAATACGGGCATGGTGTCATACCATACGTAGTCGTTCTCCTTTCACTGTTTGATTCAGTGTTCGTCGTGTGCCATCCGTTTTGAGGGCTAAATGTTAAAGTTTAAAATAATACTATTCAAGTTCTGGAGGAAATTTTGAAAGTATCATAATATACTAACAGTTTTAAGTTAAAATACTAACAAGGAAAAGAGAATAAAAATAGTGAGGAGATTGTCAAAAGCTCACGGTGTCTACCCGTTGAAACTGGAGATGAAATTACAAAAGTCAAATGTTACTCCATGAAATTAAATTAAGCTAAATCACGATCACATATTCTAGAATTGCAAAATGGACATCATTAGTTTTGAGAAATCAGGGGCAATCATAACATTATTTTAATGCGCTTTATAGATATCTATGGAATGTGATACGAGTTTGTTTGAAACGATCCAAATGGAGAGATAATATATGGAAGACTGAAACAAATTACTTAAAATATACTATAACAATGTAAATATTTTTTATATTATTATCTAGTTATAAATATGACATATTAGCATGAATAATTATTTTTTATAATATTTGATTTAAAATTTATATTTATTGTATTCTAATTAATTGACAGTATAAAATATTTATAGTGATAGTATATTAAAATTAAAATTTTTAAAAATTATATATTAATTTTTTATTTAAATTACCTGTATCTTTTATTAAAGATTTTTTTTTTGAGTAAGATCACTAAAAGCGATAAAATTTTATTTTCAAGTATTTAATATATTAATTGAAATTTAAATTTAAAACTATGAGTCATTTATTATAATAGTTAGACATATTAAACATTACATATTTTGTAATTTTTTTAATCTAATAAACATTATTATATTGTCTTTCAGTGAGTTAATGGTGACTTTATGAATTTAAATGTCCAAGAAAAAAAGGGCTATGTTTTCAATGAAAAGAATACGATCTACTCTGATTAATGTATGACACGTCTAATACTAAACGAAATTGCTTCATTTTCATTCCCTTTATGGCAGAAAGCTAAGATTACCAAATTTATCCGATAAGAGAATTAAGCTTAGTAGTAACATTTTACATTTTTTAGTGGAATCCTTATAAGTGAATCTTGTACTTTTAACATCCACAAAATCTATGCAAAATCATAATTAATATTGCTTATACAAGAGATGAAATACTGCAAATTCAAAAGGCAAGATATATCCAGAAACCTTCTTGTGATAAGTTAATATGAATAAAAGAAGAACTTTCATGCACATTAAGTATTGTGGGTGCCTTAGATTTCAAAATTTCCATAACAATCCACGTGTTGCACCTAAACTATTCCAATTCCTGCGCAGAGAACTGGCGTGTAAAGTCTGCAGGAATCAGTCTAAAACAACAGAAGAGCGTTAAAAAGGGAGTATGAAAATATTAGGGTACTAACCTAATTTACACACTTTTTTTTCATCACTCGCTATACACGGAGGAACTTAAAAGTCTGCCAATGAAAAAGTTGGCTCGTATTCTATTTGTTGGAGTCGTGATTCATATGATTTTCATAGATGATGGATAATAAGATGAACTGTTTTGTAATTCTTGATACCTTGAATAAGAAGTCGTCTTTCCATCGGTAAAAGATGAAGAACCACAACAAAAGCGTGTTCCCATCGGTAAAAAAGAGAAAAAGAACAGAAGCTTTCACATTTCTACCACGGTCAAAGGGCCAGAAAATTAAATAAGGGACGAAGATTCATATTTCCTCGACCCAAAAAAAAAAGCTATTTTAAATACAAATATTTTTAGGAAATATTCTCTTTCTTACTTACGTCACATGACTTTTTAGCATTTAATATTTTTCAATTTAATCTTAATTTAGATTTTAAAATTTTAATAATTTATATTTTAATTCTAAGGTTGTTATCACTTTAAAGCAATCTTATTTCATATAAAAGAATATTTGTAATTAATAATAAAGCTATTTATCTTTCTAAAGTTATGAAAATTATTTAATTTAAAGGTAACCGTATAATAGTTAAAAAAAAATCATTTGAGATTAAGGTTGACACTGTTGCATAATACAAAACTAGCGGTTGATATGCAGTTTAACACTATTTGTTTATAAATTACACTATTTGTTTATAAATTAATTTAAATACAGCAGTAATGTAAATTTGCAATGTATTTTTAGTAGTTCATAGTATACAAATTTTTACGCCGGCAATGTTTAAAAAATCAAACTCTTCCTTTATTCTCTTAAACCAAAAAATATATTCTTACAATTAAATTGATTAATATGTTGAGTCCTGCCATAAGACTGATATCATTTGTCAATGCAAGATGTAAAACGTTATTGCAAATAATGGAGCATCCCTGTCATGGAGGGAAAAAGGAAAATAATTGTTTGATACTTTATTTTGGAGTATCAAATAGGTGAAGCAAGAGAGACTGAAAGAAAAAAGCGTAAAAAATATAACTAATGATAAAAAAAAAGGGGGGGAAAAAGAGAGAGCGAAAAACAAAACAAAACCAGATGCACTCCACGCAAGTTTGCATTCTGGTTCCACAGTATTTTGTAAAGGAAAGGGCAAAGAAAACGAATTTCATTTAATTGGGAGCATCAAATTCTCTTTGTGAAATGAACAGCGATGTGATAAACACTAACTCACAGTGACACGTGGAGGTAATTAAAGGCAAAGATAGCAATTCCAAGATTCCATTAGCACACATTCACATTCATCACTTTGCTTAGCCAGTCCCCAAGATGCTACTTCACCCCTTCATTTCACACACTAGTGAAATCGGATAAAGCGTAATCGTACACGCAATACATACATTGCTAAAATCACATTTGGTCAACAAAGCCACCTTTTGGGCTGCCATGCACAAAAACGAGACCAGATCTTGCTGCCGTCGTGACTAACAATAAATTAATCACCCAATTGCGAATAACGCAAAGTTAGTATTCCCCATCAATCATCATCCTTTCCCTTGCATCACCTCCCTATATAAGTACCCCAAACCTCCCCACCTCATAATCTGTCACCACATACTTCATTCTTCTAAGACTTTAATAACACATACATCTTCATTAATCATTATATTAATTATATTATATAATATCATATATCTAATTGTTTTAAGGAATTTTAAGGTATAGATTCTGAGCATATATATATAGATAGATCTCATTCATATCTGTAAAATATGGGAAACTGTTGCAAGCCAGCATCGTCAATGGAGTGGGGCGGAGAGGACTGGACTTCTTTGACGTCTAAGAATATTGTTACGAGGAAGACTAGTTCTAGTTCAAGTTCAAGTTCAAGCAAGGTGTTTGATGAAGCTCATGGTCACGTGTTATGTCTAGGGAAAGTGCAGAAGGAGAAGATTTTAGGCACTCTAAGAGCTTCTTCTGATCATGTAAGTGGGAAAGTGAAGATAAGGATGTCAAAGAAAGAGTTGAAAGAACTATTGGACTTGGGAGGGATAGAGAACCAAAAACAGGTTAAGAAGCACGTTGGGCGAGCTTCCGCTGAGCAAGTTCTTTTCCGCTTAATGAACAACGCCAAAGATCATGATGCTCATCACAGATTCTGGAAGCCAGTGCTAGAGACTATCCCCGAGGTTAGTTGATTGATGATGATATCATATCGACTAATGGCGCTCAAGGGTTGTATAGTGTAGAAAGATTGAGAAGGTTTTTGCTGCTTCCGTGATTGTAAGTATAGAACAACTAAGAAACAAATTCAACATTTTTTTCATGTAATTTAATCCTGCGAGTGAATAAGTGATCTTGTCTTGTGTTAAACCAGATAAAAAAAAAAATTTCATATTCATGGTTCAATTATAAACCATTATATATTAACTTACCAAACTACACAGAAAAAAAGACCATATCAAAGATATTTTCATGAATCATGTGACACGAACATACAGCAGCTGTAAATATGTACGTGTGTTTGGAGTATTGTTATTTGTTAACTTGGTGGTTGAATTTCTGTTTGAAAGGAGGAGGATATTCATTATTTTTTTCCCTTTCTTTTTTAGTACTTTCATGGTGGGATAAATGCTCATATAGGATTAGACACAGGATCCAAGCATCTTTTGTGATGAAAACACGATTCAATATCCTTGCTATGTCTATTGAATCAATTCTGCAGAGAACTGTAATAGTAAAGTGACACCTAAAATATTAAACTTATATACTAAAATGAGACGTGTGTTTATATATATCTATATATTAACAGGGATGATTCCATGAGAAATTCTCACAAATGATGTGATGCACCCATTTCACCTATTTCATCAAATATAAGAGGACAAAATAACAAAAAATGTGAGTCATTGAACTTTAATTCATTAGCAGCGAAATCGAGAAACATGAACTCGTTCCTAGTTCAATTTGGTCATTCGTACTTCCCACTACAGATTACTAATTGTTCATCACTAGACTAATTGATTTCAAGATAATATATTCGGCCTGCTAAAGGTATAACAGAATGGACACAAGTATTTGCTCTGTGGAAGAAAGGGTCTAATTAAGTTTGACTCCATTATTTAGACTAAAAAACTGTAAATTTTGAATTTAATTCATTTATTAAGATTTTTTCAACTTATTTTTTATATTTTTTATATCAAATTTTTCTTGAAATATTTTTTAAGTTTTATTAATTTAACATTTAATAAATATATTTATATAAAAATAATTATATAAAAATATTTATATTGTTAAAAATGATTTAAAATAAAATCATGATGTTAAAAATGGTAGATATTTTTAAAATATTTGTTTTTATTCATTGTAAATAAAATTCTAAAAAATTAAGGTCAGTTAAGTGGTAGTTATAAGATAATAATAAATGAAACTATAATTCTTTTACAAATAAATTATTAATATTAAGTTTAGAAAATATTTACTTAATTTGTAAAATATTTGTATCTAACTTCAATTTTCATTAGAATGTATTTATAAAGTATAAAAAGAAATTAAAAGCAAATAAATCATCAAACATATCACTGTTATTTTCAAATAATAAATTAGTTTGTATATATATATATATATATATATATATTTAACACAAAGTTTATTATAAAATAATATCCTTTATTTGTTTTTAAGATAATTTATTAAATATTATAACTATATTTAATAAAATATTCTAAAGAAAAATATTTTTCTTTTGAAAGGATATCTTTTTGAAATAAAAAATTGTTAATTATTTAGAGTATATTTTCATTATTTTCTTTCTTTCTTTTTTTTTTCACATATTTAAGGAAGTGAATATATCTAAATAAAAATATAAATTTTAAAAAAATAATAAATTTTTAGAAAGATTTGATATAATGAAGATATATATATATATCTTCATTATATATATATATTCTATATATATATAAGTTTCATTATTTTAGGTGGGGGATGAAATCTCCTACATAATTGAGGCAACCTAAAAACCTTTGCAATTGGGTTTTATCAAGAATCCTGTCAGGAAATTTATCAGCAAATTCTATGGATCTACTGATAGGGATAATGGTACCTTGGTGGATATTATGTCCAAGGAATCTGATATTGGTTTGAAAGAGACTAATTTTTGATTTTGAAACGGCAAGACCGTTTTGTTTAATAACATTGATAAAAACATTTATATGTTTAAAATGTTGATCAATGGATTGAGAAAAAATTAAAACATCGTCAATGTAGACAATGACAAATTTTGAATACGGATTGAAAATGTCATTCATGATTTTTTGAAATTCAGAAGGAGCATTTTTTAGACCAAAGGGCATAACATTCCATTCGTAATGCCCAAAGGGAACAGTAAAGGCAGTCTTGTACCTATCATTTTCGCAAATTTGGATTTGCCAAAATCCCGATTTCATATCGAATTTTGAAAAGATCTTAGCAGAATTGAGTCTGTTAAGAAGATCTTTTTTATTGGGAATAGGATGCCTAATCCATTGAAGGGCTTGATTGAGGGGTTTGTAATTGATAACAAGTCTGGGAGTACCTCTTTCAATCTCAGCAGGTTTATTAACATAAAAAGCAGAGCAAGACCAAGGACTCTTGCTTTTCCTGATAAGATTCTTGTCTAAGAGGTCTGTAATCTCTTTCTGACAATAATGGAGGAGTTCCTCATTCATCTGAATTGGTCTGGCTTTAGTGGGAATTTGGGTATCTTTGAATCCTGATTCATAAGGGAGACTGACAATATATTTTTTCCTATTCCAGAAGGCGCTGGGTAGGTCAGAACATATAGAAGTTTGGATTTTGTTTAAAAGAGACTGGATTTTCTTTTGAAGTGAAAAATTACCTAATTGTTTTTCAATATTAGCAAAAGAAACTTCTTCTTTTAAAAAGTTAATCTGATTAACTTTGTTTTGAATAAAATTAATATTTTTTGTAAAGGGCTTATTAGAAAATTTGAAGGTTATTTGTTTCCCTAAATGTCGAGTGGATATACCATCTTTCGAAATTTGCAAAGGGAAAAGAGCTTTTATAAAAGGTGTTCCCAAAATCACTTCATTTTTTAAATTTTTAACAAGAAGAAAGTTTGTTTCAATCTTAAGTTCTTGATTTTCAATTACAGCTTTAGAAAGCTTATAATTAATTTTCAGTTTTGAACCACTAGCAGTGCTGAGTTTTTCAGAGGTTTTTTCAAAATATTTTGTAGGAATTAAACCTTCTAAAATACAATTTGAATCAGCACCTGTATCAAAAAGGGCCAAAGTGTCAAGAACAAAATCATCAATAATGATTCTGATGTTAATGTAAAATTTTTGTATTTTGACCTTGTTGATCAAACACATAAAAGTTTCTTCTGGATTACCAGAGTCAACCTTTACAGAATCATTATCCTCAGGAAGTTCTACTTTCTCAATGTCAGAGTCATCATCTAACTGAGAAAGAATAACTTGGTGAATTTGTTGTTGATCTTTGATTTCCCTGATTTCTTTCTTGAGATTATTTATCTCAATCTGGAGATCTTGAATAGTGGTTGGTTTAATATTAGAATTCTTTTCTAATCTTTTGAAAATATCTGTAATATCGAATTTGTTTGAAGTAAAATATTCTTTAGGTTTAGGTTTATTTTCTAAAACCTCTTTGAATTTGTTTAAAAATTCTTTTCTTTCTTGAAAATCCGAAATAGAGCTTATAGCTTCAAAAAGAAGATCTTGTTCTTTTGTCAAAACATTGATTTCTGGAGTTTCATCACTGTCAGAAGAAGAAGCTTGATCATCATTTTGAATTTGGTTGACCTCTTCTTCAGATTCTTTATTAGAATCTTCCTCTTCATCAGAGGTATTAGCCAGGAGATTATTGATTTGGTCCTCTAAAGAAGGCTCTAGATTGAGGCTACTAATCTTTTTCTTTAGCCTGCAATACTTACTAATATGACCAGGTTTACCACAATTGTAACAGGTTACGCCTGTTCTGGGTTTTTTGGGAATATTGGTAGGGATGACATTATCGACCATAATCATAATTATCATAATTGATTTCTCCAGTAGAAGAATGACTTCGGAGTTTACTTCTAATAAGATCTCCGAATGCTTTAGGAAGACCATCAAGATATTTTTCTTTCCAATAGGCTTGGTTGCAATCTTCCCTAGTAAGGACCCTAGACATAAAGGTATCTTTATACCACTTGAAATGTTCTAAGGAATCACATTTGAGTTTTGAAAGTAACTCACCAGATCTTTCTCTCCAAAGAGAAGGATCACCCAGGAAATGTTGGGATATTGTGTATAATAACGTATACACAGCATCAGGGAGATGCTCATTGTCACTGACAATGGTTTTACCTTTATCATTAATTTTAACTGCAGAGAGAATGTTATCTCTGTCAGCTTCAGTGAGATAATTATCCCACCAACCTTTGAGTTGGCCAGTAAAACCAGCAACAAGAATATAGACAATGGTGTCTTCAGGCATATTTTGGTTAGTAAAATAGCCCATAGCGACAACCGACATATTTTGAAGTTTGGCAATGATATTATATTCAGATAATCCATCGATATTCCAAATATAGATATCATTAGAATTAAAACTTTGAATAAAATCTTGTTTTTCTTCTAAAATAAGATCAGGAGCAGTAGCTCTATTATAATAAAGCTTGGAAGAATTTTTCCAATTATTGATAGGATTAATAGCTAAGACAGAGTCTGTTTCAGAACAATGTTCTGAATCAGTCTTAGAGATGGCATTGATAGTTTTGGCAAGAGACCTAGTTCTGGGTTTAGCACTAGATTCTTCAGAAGGTTGAGGAGTGTCTGGAATGGTAGTGAGGAGACTAGTAATTTTACTAAGTAACTCATTTTGATTTTCCTCATTTATTTTGGTTTTCTCTTTTTGCCTAAGTTCTAAGATTTTCTGCTTAGCTTTGGCGCTGATCTTAAAAGGTTTAAAAAGAGGTTTTTCTAGTTGTGGTTGGGAGGATGAAGAAGCAGTTTCTTCAATTTTCGTTTTGACAGGATTAACAGAGATTTTCTCTCCTAAAACCTGAAGGTATTTATTGGTATAATTGGCCTGTTCCATAAGGCCTTGGATGTCATGAGGAGTGATAGACTCATCAGCACTCTTAGATTTGAAAGGAGTGGCAGTAACAGGGTTACCGCCTTTGTCTTTCAAATTA